CCCGAGAAGGGATATGCCAGGGAGGGTAGGTCCCTGGGGACTAGGTTTGAGGATGGTCGTCCTCGAGTGTGGGAGGTGGTAACGGAGAAGCAATACGTAGTTCGACGTGAGGGATAGCTTCGACGTTACCTAGATCGAGGTCCCGAAGCTTACGAAGTAGCTAGGGAGCTCTGGGAGGTTTGGGGAAGAGTAGCTCACCAAGCGGGTAGGCGTTGGGGAGCTTTAGTAATGTTCGAGGGAGCTCGGAGACTCACTCGGAAGGCTTAGACTTGAAGTAAAAGCGTATATTCGATCGTACAGACGATCAGAGAGACAATAGACAGAAGTAGAGAGAAACAGAGGTAGAGAAACAGAGAGTAAAGAGAAATCCGTATGGTTAGCAGGTACAAAGGGACAGGGACTGGACCTATGCAAAAGGGTGTGTGTTCAAAATATACCAAGCTGGGCTTCTGAACGCTCCTGGACTGATTAAATACGTATGGGGAAGTTAACAAGGAGACATGATATGAAGCGAGCACTTAATGGGGATTCTAAGTACGTGAGGATGGAATGATGGACGCATGTACGGGGTTCCAGGACCCTGTCGTGGAATGATTCGGTTGAATGGAGGGGAGCTAAGGGTTGCGGAGGTGGTTCTAGCGGTAAGGAGGTCTGTGGGACGTTTGAAGTGTTCTCAGGGATTCAAGGAAGGGGTCTGAGGAGATCGGGAGCTATGCTAGAGAGCTTATGGGCTAAGGAACTTGGGGTGAGGCATGACAGATCCTTTGTGGCCATAGTAACTAAAGAAACAGAGTGCAGCATAGTGGAATGCAGGATTATCAAAGGCTATTTGTAACTTTGTCATGTTGGAACATACTCTGTACATACTGATATAGCTGTAATCCCACTTGGGGACCCACATAACTGAGAGACAGTGTTATTACTTGATACTATGCAGTTCTACATAGATCACACTGTTTAGAGTACTCAACTCCCTCAGTTGCTAACTGAGGTAAACTTGAAGTATATTCATATAGATTAATTGCAGTAGATTAACTTGACTTAACAGGTACCCACAGCTGCCACACCACCAACTGAGATTAAGTTGACTTAACACCTCAGATAAAATATATGCAAAAATGAAAGACATGGACTATTTATTGCCAGCTTCAGCTTCAACAATGCATTGTGAATTGTACCATTTTCATCTTAATTGATAGTTATATATTGTGTAAATTATTCAATATAACAATCTCACCAGAATAAAAATGACAAAGACTGAAATCAATCTTGTGCATACTCTGACATACCCACTGTGAGCTTGTCCTACAAACAAGTGATTCAAACCCAAATCCCAAATACTTGCCAAAGCAGTACTGTACATTCTCAATCAGGGAAAATACATTGAACATTAAACTTGTCAATATTCTTTACTGCCTTAGGCATATAATATAGGGATATATCATTGATAAAAGGTGATAATGACAGAATCTCCAGAACCTGCAACAAATTTCTGCATGAAGACACTGTAGAATGGAACTTTTTGTAACACTCCTGTCTCTTGGCATCTGCAAAACATGGATATTTGGCTAAGGGCCGAGGACAGATCCCAGCCAATCCCAGTACTGAAAGCACTGAGAGCAGGTTGCTCTGAGTGCTTTCACTGCTGGGAAATGCTCTCAACTGCTTTCAGACCCTTAGCCAAAATACAGGTTTTGCAGATGTGGCAACAAGTCTGTCTTGGATAAAATGAGTGACCTAACAAAAATGCTGGCTGTTGCTGATACCAAAATAGACTCTGAGTATATGTTACTCCAATGCAAACAAATGAAGAACTGGAAACTGATTTATACCATTAACCATAAACCAATGTCCAGATCCTTTTTAAAACCAGAGCCACAACTGCATTTTCTTTGAGAAGTCCCAATGACTACAGAAACAGCTCTGGGGATAGTGATACATCATGAGCAGAGCTTGCCTCTAAACTATGACTGAAGACATTATTGTACAATAGATTACACTCTGATGAAGCTATATATACTCACCCTATCAATATCACAGATTGACTCAAGACATTGAATGACAATATCAACTGTGAATTAAGTGCAGTAAAAAATGACTTTCAACAAACCTGCATATTGGATATTTCAAGATATATTAGTGATATTACTCTTTCCTTCAAAGACTCAAAATGACTCATTACATCAGTTGCACTGACTCAACATACATGTTTCTCTGCACAGCCATACTCCATTACATATCTTATGGCAGCAAAATTCTATTCAAAATATTACTCGGTCATCAATGACTTGCAGTAAGTCAAATCTTGTTTTACATGATCATATATTCTTGAAAACTCATAATATGACTCTTAATACTGCTTTACAACAACATTTAATCTCAAACTTAGTTCATGCTGGCCAAATGAATGGAGTCATGCCTAGTCATGCCAATGCATTTTACCCCCCAAAAACACACCCTTGATATAACTAAAGCTGTGTTTCTACAGCTTTGCATTCCGATCTACAGACCCGATTTTAATACATCCAAAAAAGGAAATTTCCTGCCAGATTACCGATCGCTACCTACAAGGACCTCCTCTTTCAGAGTCGGTGAAGCGCTGAAAGACGGGAGGGACCGGAGTGTGACGCGACTCAACATTGACATATATGTCTGCGTCTGCAAGGCGTCTGCTATTTTCCAAATCTTGGCTCTGCAGGAGTGCTAGGATAAGGGTTCTCACGATCGAAGACATGGCCCGCATCAAAAGACATGGCTCGCATCAACCGTTAGCGTTGGATAGATGATGAATCAGATACAAGGAAAGCTCGCCGGACGTGTCTTTTCGCTTAGGGCCGGCGGAAGGTTGCGAGACAACGAGGATAGTGACTCGTGCTCAATCTATATGTTTTACAGCATAACCATCTTGCATACTATCGATATCATGACCAATGAACAGCAAAAATATGATAATCGTACTTGAAGAAGATTGCGCGCATAAAACGGAGGAGAACAGGCTAGAACAGGAGAGCTAGTCGACATTCAAAAGCTTTCAGTCTTGATCGCAGTTATCCGGAGAAGCCAGAGGTATTTGGAGCTTTGTTAATCAGGGACCCGCAGCCAGTGGAGGTCGGGATATTTAGTGTCAGTGGGTGCCTAAGTCCACAGTGGCAACTCCATCTGAGTGGGCTCTGAACCAAATATAGCTGTTCGTGGGCCACGCAGTGAGAAAGCTTCGTTGACTTCCTTGCTCGACTTCAGGTTCTGTACTGTACTTTGGGGAAGGATCAGCAGGTCATGCTGTGAGTAGGGGACGACTGTGGCGTAAATAAGTATTGAAAGAAGGCCTCTTGAAGTTCTGCTGTCCCTACAAAATTGGAATCAAATTTTGAAGCCCCAAAATACTTAGCTGTAAGCTGTACCTTGCCGTCAAAGGAAATAGACCAAGAGGATACTGATCCAATGAATGCTGTTTGAATGAGTTATATACTGTTATATGTAATCTCCGTTTTGACTCGAGGTAGAGCACTTATTCAGGGAACCGACCATTTCCTATTGTAGAGGCCATTGTTCCTGCCATTGTTCATCAACAGCAAGGGCAAGGGTAGAATTGACGTCAATAGAAGTCAAGTGTCAGCGACGAGGAGAATATGATGAACATATGTGATAGCGAACGGGAAAAAGGAAAGAAGAGTGCATGTGAGACTCACCGCGACAATCGAATTTCTAGAACGAACTAAGACGCGGGGAGGCTACGGAATCAAGTATGGAAGAAGAAGAGTTCGAAACCTTCGTAGTTGCTTGCGATTCCATACTGGACGGGTAGACGGAGTGATATCTTCATTACGAGAATCTCGCAGGAGTATAGGAGTCAAGTGGAAACAGTTGGTCGGAAGCGGGTACAAAGTCAAAGGCAAAGGCTAGTCGGAAGACCGAGTGAATTAACTATTTAATACAAAAATGAAGCTGATGTTATGAACTTCTTCTAGAAATTGGCAAACTGGCCCACCTATAGATACTTTAAAGTATCAGCTGTACATACAGCAGATGTGATAGAATGAACAAAATTATGTCGACTCACATCGATCGACGGGACGAGAGATGATTCATGGACTGTCCTACCAAGTACATACGAGACTGACTGAGTCTGAGCCGAGTTCGATTCGCAGCAGTTTTCCCGTGCTGGGAACACGTATGTGTCGTGGCATCGTTTTCGGGTGTTTTTTTTTGAGTCATTTACGAGGGTGTATCATGTCGTGGTGGGTTGCCGGAGTTACGAAGATGTTTTCCCTCGAGTGATGGGAGGATTCCGAAAATCCCCTGTCATGTGAAGGCCGGAGAGAATCGAATCATCCTTAGGTGGGGGTAAGTAAAGACCGCAAATGGCGGGGGTGTCGGAATGTTCTAGATATCGTGAATGTCTTAAGAAGTTCCAGCATATACTTAAGCAGAACTGTAGCAGAAGAACGGAGATTGAGTCAGCTGGCGTTGATGGATGACTGTACAGCTTGCCACAAGCGACCGAGACCGTAAAAGGAAATTTGAACTTCACAAGCATGGTACACACTTGGAACACACGATTCTTGAGAAAGCTGTAAACAAGTCACTCGCCTTGTGGAATCGCGTTGTGCCTGTGTATAACACCATACAGACCCCACGAGTTTACAATCTTGGAGAAAAAGAGAACTAATACGACTACGAGTAAAAAGTTGAAGAGAGTACGTAGCTGGTCATTCTCCTAAAGCAGCGGGGTCGGGATAAGGGAAGAGTTCGGGATTGAATGACATAAGCAAGCTTACAGAAGAAACAGAAACCGGTTTGAGCCGGCTCACTTTTGTTGCGTGGCGAACGGCTGAGCCGACCCGAAAGATCCAAATCGGGTTGACTCCATCTTGTCTCTTCGGCTTTGTCAAGTTTTCACCATTACACCCGGATTACACCTTTTCTGGAACCAGCCATGTATATAAGCCTTTATCCGAAAGCGGTCCTGATTCGTCCAACCCGCAGTCTTTACCACCAAGATGTTCTCCAGCGACAACTCCCCCAGCTCGTCTTCATCTTCGTCGACCAGGTCTTCACCCATTCATCATGCCAGCTTGGTAGATGCTTCAACTCATTCACCGGCTCTACTCCAGCTCGTTGACGTTAAGCTTTCAAGGCAAATCTTAGGTGAGTCATGCACCGTATCAGCCTCGATCCACTTTTCTTATCATCCTTCTCCAGATTATGTCGTCGATTGCGTAGCAGATACCGTCGATTTTGCCATGGGTCGGCCTCCTCTGCCACCTAACAAGAGGTTATCTCGCCGCGCAGGACTCAGCTCATTCACCACCTTTGTCACAAATGTTTATACTCGCGCTGAAGTGACAATGCCTGTCATCTTGTCATCACTGGCTTACATCGATAGAGCCAAGCCTCATTTGCACATTGCCCTCGAAGAATGGGCGCTCGAAAGAGTATTTCTTGGCGCATTAATCCTTGCATCCAAGGTGTGATCATTCATTACACGACTTCTATTATTATAACTTATTAATTATATTAGTACTCCAACGATTCCACACTGAAGAATATCCATTGGGCACTTTGTACTGGAGTTTTTGGGAAACGAGATGTTGGTCGAATTGAGCGAGAGTTTCTTGACGTCTTGAATTGGGAGCTGAGTGTCTCTGAGGAGAATATTCTCGCTCATTACGACGGTATCTTTGCCGCAATCGCTCCTTCACCTTCACGTCGCCACACTCGTCAGCGCTCACCTTATCCAAGAATATCTCGGCACCACGCCCGCAGTCATCATCGTAGTTCTTGTCCGGAACTCGAACCTTCTAGTCCCATGTCATCGGAAGGCACTTCATCACCACAAACACCATCTACATTGAACAGTTCACCCGAATTCTTTTCCCTCCCCAAAGCTGCTCCAAAACCGCAGCCTGATGTGGTTGTCCGAGGCTGGAAGCAATCGCTGCCCATCTCATCTCACTACACGCAGCAATCAATACCGATCCCAATACGAGTTTGATTCGAAATTTCGCATGTTTTCTTCTTGTATGATTACCGCTTGCTTGCCCTTTTGCTCTTCCCTATGATTGTCATTATTGCATTTTACAACATCTATCATTCGAATTCGGTCTGTTTGTCCTTTGCATCATCAGTTCCAACGAATTTCTGGCATATACCTTATCCACATTTACTCTTTACTCTAGCTTATTTACCTCGCTACATATTTAGCTACACGGCTTTGCACTTTACTGCAAATGAACTGCAAATGAAAACGCAACAATTGCAAAGATCAGATTTCTTGAGATTCGAGATTTCTATTGATTGTTAATTGCATCTAGGAACATATCCACGAACGTAGAGCAATTTTTAACCGCTTCCGTGCACAATACGCGAATCAGCAGATAACCCAGCCTTGCAACAGCTTGCAACCCAGGTGCAACCACAGGCAACCACACAATGCCGAATCTCGGAGGAAATCGGAAAACAGATGAAACTTTCCAGCCGATTAGCCGAACGGTCAAAGCTGAAGATATCGCTCTACTAAGTACCCTCTACCCACAACATCTCCAGGCGTCCCCGCGTGCTTACACGGGTACTGTACCTCAATGGTGCCGAGGCCGATGCCGCATTGAATGGAGGGAAAGTTGTTCCAGGCATGTTCGAATCATTGGCGACCTCGTAGTAGGGTTGTACTTGATTGCATACCGTTGATGATCTGCGGCGGTGAAAAGACACGATTAGAGGATGAAGGCTGATCCACTGGTACGCCGCGTCCATATGCTTCCAGAACAATATGATCCTTTGACAGGTATTCGACGGATGATTGCTGATAGACCGTCTGCGGTGGGTACGAGCGTTCTAGATCCCGGTCAGCAACGGAAAGGTGTGCGATATCATGATTTGCTCAATTATAATATCGGTCATGTTCAAGTTTAGTATATTCAAACTGGTGAGTAAGCACATATGTGAATGCCTTCGCTGAAGAATCTATATTAAACACCTCCTGTGGATCGTCGGTAAGTGTACCACAGTCTGTCTGAGAGAGGCTGCTTACACAAAGGCTATAATTGTGCTATGGTTTGAGGCGGAAGGTACTCGGACAGTGTTCCTAAATGACACGAACAGTACGAAGCGTAAATATAACAAATGTGGTAGACGAACCAAATTTGGATACTATGTGCCCAGATATATGAGCAAGCCTCATGATAATCCATGACGGAAAGGGGAGGGACGAGAAAGTTTTTGCTACATTGGAGAACCAATGACCCGCTATAGACAAGATCATTGAACGTTAAGAAACGTTAAGAAATGGCACTCGTGCTCAACATCTACTCAACCTTTGTCGAAGGAAAAGGCAAGTCAGACTTAGTAGTTCAATGAGTTGATGTATTCTCACAAGTTAACAAATACTTCTGATGAAAATTCTCGACACACCGAGTTGAAGACGGAAAGCACGCTGGCAGCTAAACAGCATACAAGAATGTCCCTGATGTCAATCAGCATTTAACAGCTTGACTCAGGTTGGACCTTAGTTCGGCTACCTCCGATCCCCCGCAATCGTTTGCTTCAGAAGATGAGATTTCAGTTATGACAAAAATTGACCTTGTCTTTCCCGTGATTTTCATGTGGTACATGAAGACACATAATGGCAACCTGAACGTTGAATTTTGAACACTCAGTGAAGCCTAGGTAATGTGCTAGTAGCAATTCGACAGCAGACATTGACGACGTCGCGGCGCAAGGTATTGTGCGAAATATTGCTACTGCGAATTCCGCTCAGAAATCTCCGAGTAATGATTCATCCCAACATGGAACACGGAAAATTTATGGACGGACCACTTAGTACAGGTGATTTTGCTTGGGTATTAGTCCGCCGCGAAGTCATCTCGTTGATAACCGATATCGCATGGGTATCTCTGCCAAGGATAATGATATGGAGAGAAAGTATCATGCAGTCACAGAGTTGCTGTGGCCGGTTTAGTAGAGGATTGTAAACTGGTTTTTAGATTTCGGGGTTGAACCGAATTTAATCCTTTGGATTTCCGGAATCTACGAGGAAATAATCAGTGTAGCTCTATGTCACTAAATGAGGCACTGGAGACAGAGCTGCGCGCTTGTTGCCACCTTTGAACCTGAGCTCTCATCGACATCAGGGAGTTCGAAAGCAAAATCAAACAAGTGACAGTGACACCCTGGAAAGGAAGCGCAGGGAAGCGCGTCAGTAGTCGCGCACACGTGATCATTTACGATGTCAGGGTGATGCCTGTTGTAAGCTAGGTACTTAGGATGGTCTGAGCAAGCAGTGGCGTTTCCTTTAAATATTTGTTACTGCTTGCTTAGTTCCTGGACCCTTTCCTTATAAGCGGGTACCCCACCTAATCGGACTGCCTCAATAATTCCGCCTTTACCGCCCCTTCTACTACCTCTTTTGATTAGCTGAATCGCGCAACTAGCACTATTGAATTTTCAGGCATACTGCGCAACCGTCTCTCTTTTGAGTACCAGCCCGTTCACAGAGACCCTTATATTCATGGTCTTCAAGCAGTGCCGATGATTGTACAAGATCTGATCCGATTAAAATATCCATTGCATCTCAATGACCAACCTACATACCTCCATATAAAGTCGGACTCCGTCGACTAACTTCTAAAGGAAGGTCTCCGACTTTGTCTGAGGCGCCAAATGCCATCACAAACACCTGGTAGGAGGAATTCATGAGTCAAAAAGATTCTCGTGCGCGAGGGTAATGGCTGTACTATATGCTGTAAGCGGGCTGAGCTATGTACACACGTCGGGAGACGGCCTCTTCAAGGATCTGACCTTATCAGACCGCATCTCGTGCAAAATTCACCGGCGTCTAATCATCTAGTACTTATTGCCAGACTTGAGTGATCTGAACTGAATGAGGTTCAGTTCAGATTTAGATTCATTTAACACGAGACAGACCAAATCAATGTCAGATTTGGTTTTATAGGGAAGACGACACCTGGTCGACATGAGGATAGGGACTTGGAATCATCGTACAGGGTACGCATACTTACATTGAAGATGTTTGAGATTGGCTGCCAAGATCGGGCACAAGCGTTCGGTGAAACGTTTAAATTTAGTCCGGGTTTAGTTGTAGTGGACCCCGCCCTTTTCTTGACCAAACAAGGAACACCGCTCCCTTCCAGAGTATCCACGATTTGGCGAGCTGCAACTTACTTCGAGTTGTTGTTGCCGAATTTTCCACCAATCCTTGGAGAACCATGTCATTGGCGAAGCACAAAGCAATCGACCCTGCGAGTTCAACGTTCAACTTTCGCACAGGCATCGAAAGCATTCGCCGATGTCTTGCGTAGATTTCCTTTGAGGGTTTTACGGTCATGTCCGCCCATCACTAGTCAGGAGTTCAGGATTCGAACCGGTTAGGCATAAGTCTGCAACTCACTTTCCTGTCGCTGCGCAGGTTTAACAACTAATTCCATCTGCATAAGAATTTCAAAGTCTCTTGACTCTAGAATTCGGGGCAGGATGTATGAGATCTTCTACAATAGTGTTGAGCACCTTGTTACCGCCGCCGCATTGACAAAGACATGAGACCGTTGACAACGTCCCAAGCCCCCTTAGGCCTAAGACCTTCAGTTTTGATGGTTATATCAGACAAGGTGTTGAATAACGTATACGTACTAGAATGGCGTGCGTGATGGGTTGTGAATACGAGGATGGGCATGACTAGATCATGGGATAGAGAAACTGTGTATGATAAGACTCAGCCCATTCGTGAGTAAGGATCATTCAAACTGTGATTTTTCCAGATCATCCCGAACGGGAGAAATCTAGAGAGAATCGTGGAAACGAAGACCAGGCCGTTTGAGGATAGCGAACCTTCGATAAATATGACCGGTCAAAGTACCTGGGGGAGGTTACGGGTAATTGATGTGAAAAGTACCCTCGTATCCCTCTTCGCAGTATTGAGCGGCGCTTGAGCAATAACGAAGTTCCAAAGGTTCGGTTTGATTCTCGTGTGAGCCTAATGCAGGATCCGAGTCAGTCATGAGCTACATCTTCCTGGATGTGTTCAAGACTCGGAAGTGAGTGAGGGAGGAATTTAACTGTATTTGGCAGAAAACGCTCGACACCGTGACAAGGTAAAAGGCAGCCTTACTGTATAAATGCAGGTCAATTCAAGTTCGGTCTTTCATGCGCGAATTATTAAAGACCAAGAGAGTGCGGCCTAGGAAAGGAAAGATCCTCGTCGTCCGCTCGCAATGAGAGTCGAAGCGGGAAGACTCGGAACCGGTAAGCGCCCAACAGCGACGTTCAATTCCATTATCATATTCGACATTGTTTGTCTTTCCTGTCGTTCTCAATTGCGCTTCTACCTCTCTATTATTTTTCCATAGGCGCGACCAATATTTAACATGAGCGTAATTCGATCATTCAAGGCCTCGGACATGTTCAAATTCAATAACGTGTCCGTGTCTGTCCAGAAAACTATTCCTTCACTGACGTTGTAATTGCAGGAACTTGGATATTTGGACAGAGACAGTACGCGTTTAAACCTTCCGAAAGACTTTGACCTGATACTTCACAGTACAACATCGGCTTTTACCTACACTACCTTTCCCGCTGGCCTGACCTTTGCTGTGTACAGGAAGCTCCTAGTGGCCGTATGATGGGTTACGGTGAGTTTGTATCCCATCTATTCGTCGTCTTCTGACACACTGTCTATAGTTATAGGAAAAGCTGAAGGACAAGGTTCCGAATGGCATGGTCATGTTACAGCTATTACCGTTGCACCAGAGTATCGTCGTCTGTCTCTCGCCCGAAAAATGATGTCCCTCCTCGAACTTGTCTCGGACGAAACTTACCGAGGGTTTTTTGTGGATCTCTATGTGCGGTGTAACAATTTCGTTGCGATAGATATGTACGAAGGAATGGGCTATAGTGTGTATAGACGAGTGAGAGAATATTACGGAAATTTGGGTGTAGGGAAAGGTGGTCGAGACGAAGAGGACGCGTTTGGTATGTGGCTTGGTTGAAAGTTATAACCTAGCAGGACTGAGCATTCACTCGCTTTCAGATATGCGAAAGCCACTTTCACGAGACAGCGCTCGACGTTCAGTACGAAGTAATGGTCGAGATATAGTTGTTAGCGCACACGATGTTTCATAGTAGCCTCTTGATTTTTCACACTTCCCTCTCTTCTGTTCGGCTGCCGTTTTTCGGCTGTATCTTGTGCTCACGATACCGGCGCTAACATTTTCAAACTTCTTCTCAACAACCACCACATGCAAGAGGTGAGGGAGATTCAGATCGGGGGTACTTATGTTGCCACGCGAAAGGCCCTGACCTGGGCTGACCAAGCCCAAGCCGAGCTTGCACGGCATCCTATGACGGTTCGAGAGGCCATAAAACTTGTTCGAAATCTTCGAATACCTGTGTTTGTGTCACTTATTGATGATATCCAGCTACTTAGGTACAGTCTGGAAGGTATATGTGAGCTTGAAGGGCGTATGAGACAGTTCTACAAATAGACCCTGCCTGGACTCTCTATTCATTGGGGGGGGGGGGGGGGGGGGTCGTGAGAATCGTGTACCCGATCTGAATCTCCCTCACCTCTTGACCACATGTCATTGTCAATCATTTGCTTCGTGGCACAGGTATGACCTTTATTTCTCTATATGTCCCGGGCTCTCAATATTTCTTAGGATGAATGATCTAGCTTATGAAGATTTACCAGCTGTCTATCGAATCCCCCCCGAACTTCTGACAGAAATTTTCCTCCATTGCTACCACGACAACACTGTGTATTCTTCGCATACTGAGGCACCGTTTAACCTGTTTTCAACTTGTCAGCGCTGGAGACTTGTCACTCTCAGTATACCCCTCCTTTGGTCCAGTATCAATGTTTCCTTCACACACAATGCATGCAGGCCATCACTTCCGGTCCTAAACTCGTGGCTTGATCGGTCTCGAACGTCCCCATTAGCTTTCTCTCTAATGTATCAGGGCCGGAATGCTTTCTTTGATGACGATCTCATATCAAAAGAAACACTATTCGCGCCGCTTGAAGCATTGCTGGTACATCTAGCGCGATGGCAGAATGTATACCTAGATTTCAGCAACGTACCTAATGATGCGATATTTATACCCTGCCCCCCATCAGAACCAATGGTTCTGAAAACGCTTGCTATACGAACATTCGAGTTCCATCCCCGACACACAACATTGCTCATACCCGTTTTTATGGACTGGATCGCAAGTCTCGCTGAATGCTCTACATCCCTCGATAGCTTCATCTCTTACGGTAGAGGCTATATCACTCATTTGTCTGGTTTCAATTCTTTTTTTTCTGTTCCCTGGAGCCGCTTGACCACCCTCACCTTGGAACATGTCTCAGAGACTCTTGCTCTCTTCATACTCCAGCGTTCATTCTCCCTGGTGTCTTGTAACTTTGCCGGTTTGGGACATTACCCTGATTGGATCCCGGATGACCAGCATGCTGGACCCCAGTTGCGCGATGAAATTTTCTTGCCTAAGTTAACGGTTCTCAATATCATCACTGAGAATGATATTGACAGATTCTGGGGTCATTTGATTGTTCCAAATTTACGAGAGTTGGAGGTTCATATGCTTCCTAGCGCTCGTCAATGGCATCAGGGAGAAGATTTGGTTCAGTTCTTCAGGCGCTCAGGCTCGGTGTTCGCTGCCGGTTCGGACACGATGCCTGCCACAACGAGCACATTAATACAAGGTCCACTCACATCGACTCGTGGTCCTCCGATTTCGCGGCTAGTCTTGCGTAATTGTAATATGCGCTCTAGGCTAGGTGTTTGTGTGAAACTGCTTTCCGACTCATTGAGAGACTTGTCAGTGACAGACAAAGCAATGGTGGATGATGCAATCATGAAGCTGCTCACCTTTCCTGATAGGCCCACAGACAATACAGCTTCGTTATCAAGACTGGATACTGATAATCAGAATACAGATGTAGGAAATGAAAAAGAATTTCTGTGTCCTCGCTTGGAGCAGCTCACACTACGGAGATGTATCGCCGCTGCGGACGGCAAGACTAGTCGGATGGTCAAGTCTCGATGGACTTTACCCAGTCCTGGTTTGTCTAATGGTCGCATTGATGTCGATGTGGACAAGGAAGGCGACGAGCTTGCGCGCAAGCTGAGATGTGTCCACATCGAATTTTCCAATCCAGAGCACGCAGAGGATTTTGATGTACTAAAGGAAATGTATTCCACAGGACTGGGCGGGGATGTTGTTGTAAAGAAAGGGTACAATTCACCTCATGTCTACAGTCATTCTCGACACTGATTCCCTCTTCTGTAGAGTCAAACTTGCCAAAAGAAAACTTACTGCTGAAAATCCGCCTCCTGCCAACGTCCCAATCCTCCAACCACCTCCTCTGTGGCGTTATTGATTGTTCGAATTTCAATCCTTTCTGAGACCTATAGGATTAATTCTCCGTTGAATGCGCATTCTCGTTATGTAGTACATTGCGATCCTGTGTTCATGTTGTCGTTGTACCCAGGTTGTAGCCTGTTATAGCCTCGTACTTTTGAAAAGTGTATCCAGACCAAAGTGTATTTAGCCCTAATGATATATTGATTCACAATCTGTATTTCGTAAACTGTCCAGATTTTCTTGTCATGAGAATAAACGCCTGAATAGGAAAACACGTCCGACCGCGCTTCCTTTGCTGAGTGCTCTTGAAATAATATAAAAATGAGAGAGAATCGCGTACTTGTTATGTATATGTAGAGTTTCCCAGTTTTCCTTTGTTTTGAAGATGGTGCTTGTTCCAGATTCGGTAAAACATTAACTTTGGCACGATTATGGTCTAGGGTTTCCGCCAGAGACTTACGCTTACATGTCACAGTCTCGTCAACGATAGTTGCTTCAAACGGAGGCTCATGTATGCAGATGTATACTCGCGTTCCAACTTTCTAAGCTGGTTACTAATCATAATATAATCAGACAGAGGGGCCGGAGCTAAATACGTTGCTGTTTTTTGTCAGCTTTCCTTTTTTCCGCTTCTACTCTGAATAATCACCAAAAGATCACCAATCAACCATACTTAGAAAGCACCACTGTTCGTCTGTGAAAAACACGTCCGACCAGGCTCCGTTTATTTGTTTCTGGAAAACAAGTATATGCACTCTCCATATAAATATAAGAGATTAATCCTGGTCATTCTCATTCATACACCCACAGCTAATCGGCCCCATACATCAACATGTCTTTTGAGAATCGTGTACAGAAAGCTCTTGTTATAGAGTCACCCAAGACACCTTTCGTCTTGAAGACTGTGCCAATCCCGAAGCCTGGTCCTGGCGAAGTTCTCGTCAAGATCATAGCATCCGGACTGAACCCAGCTGATTGGGTCATACAGACTCGCGATTACTTCGCTCCACATACTCCTTACCCAGCGATTATCGGATTCGACATTGCAGGCGACGTCGAGGAAGTCGGTCCAGGTGTGAAAGAAATTTCTAAAGGAGATCGAGTGTAAGTGGATCGACGTGGATATTGGATGATTATATAGCTGACTAGATAATTCTCTTCCTCTATAGATTCCTCGAACCAAAGATGAGCTCTAACGATCACGCTGCTTTTCAGCAATATGCTCTTGCTCCGGTCGAATTTTTGGGAAAGGTGAGTTTTGTTATCGAAAATTTCAGGATTCAACCTACAGCCATATGGCACTGCATAGATTCCTAAAAACCTAAACTACTCACAAGCAGCTTCGGTTTCGCTCACGTTCACTACTGCTGTATATGGGTTACTCCCCGCACACCCGATTGGTATGGGCCTCAATCCAACCTTCGACGACACAGTCAGCTACCCCGAGGAAGCTGCCCTTGTCATTGGAGGTTCCACTTCCGTTGGCCAATATGGTACGTTTCAGGTATCGTAGTGTTCCTCAATTTGGTGCCAACTGAGACATATAGCCATTCAAATCCTGAAATATCTTGGCTTTGGGGCAATCATTGCCTACGCTTCTGTAAAACATACAGAATTCCTTAAATCCCTCGGTGCGACACACGTCATCGATCGCAACCAAATCTCTTTTGCAGACCTCCCCGCTGCTTTGCCAAAAGTCTATGTCCAACCCATCAAAGTTATCTACTCTGCTGTGACTTTGCCGGAGGCTCAGAACGCTGCATATGCATGTCTTGCTAATGATGGAAAGCTTGCTGTCGCAACTCCTCAATTAGCTCTGAAAGAAGACGCGGAGACAACCGGGAAGAAGCTTTATGGTGTGTTTGGATCTCCGTATACACCTGCGAACAGGGAGTTTGGCCTCGTATTGTGGAGGCATCTTCCAAGATTGTTGGAGAGTGGCGTTTTCGTGGTGAGTACTAAGTCAAAATTCGTCTCCCTCCTCACATTCCGACCGTAATGTTTAGCCTAATCGGATCGAAGAACTTCCCAACGGATTATCGGGAATTGTGGATGGGCTGAAGAAATTAGAGAAGGGTGAGGTCAGCGGAGTAAAGCTCATTGCATTTCCCCAAAACACCACTGCTTAAACATTGAATCTACGTTACCATCCATGATGAAACTCATCTTTGTACATAATCTCGCGAATCAATAGTTTGCTGCAAGATAGAATGAAGAGTCGTACATGTGCTAATAACAGATGGGTTTGTTGTGTACCTTCAACCAACAGCCGCTTGGAATCTTACTCAGTACGATAAATTTCGTTCGTAAGAGAACAAGTGTCACCTTCAAGTTGGTGAACCTCAATGATTCAACACTTTCCACTGTCCCTATTGTCCTTCTAATTCACTGCAATATCTCCGCCCCTAATTCTGAAAAGCGCACCCCCAACATTGTCGGACTCCAGATATCCACCATCAATGGTAGCATAAAGACTGTCCTTGTCGGATTCTCTTCTCCCAAATTCTACTGCCGCAGCCCATTTGTATTCCGAGCTGTCTGGACTGCCCGCCAACACTGTAATTTCGTGTGTGTGTGCATCGATTCGAATGAACTGGTTTGCCTGGAACAGAGCCAAAAATATGTTTCCTTCTGTGTCTAATATGAAGTCTTCTGGTGTTGTCAGATTTCCAGCAACAACCTCGGCAGCTCCTGAAGCGAGGCCACTGTCATGAATGGGGACGCGACCGATGATGCCCTGTGCATAGTTGGAAAAGTAAAGGTACTTTTGAGAGTAGGGTGTGAGTTGAACAACATGTACACCGTGAACACAATTAGATATCTCGCTAGCACCTGGAGGCTGGTTCGTGAGCGAGTTATTGATAGCCACGAAATTCTCTCCGGTGTTCACATTGAGAATATTCACAATGCCTACCCGACTGTCTGCGATGTACACCAATCCTTCTTCTTTAGAAAGGAGCGCCATGCCATTCAGAATGCGGGAATTCGGGAAATCGGCTACTTTGTTGACCTCGACGTAGTCGGGGAACCGCGTCATATTGACGTGAAATACGGAGCAGGAACCCAAGACGTCGATGTGGGTGACCAAAGAGAGGTTACCGGCCGTAACGTAGAATTGGTCAGGTTGCACCTCGACTATCCCATGTAGATCCGTGTATCCTTCAAAGGTATAGATAAAAGTCCCAGTCCCGTTGACCTCTGGTTCAATCTGATAGATCGTTGGTTCGCTGTCAAATGTGACAATGATTTCGCCAGTTTGTCGGACGGCAAGGTTTTCGAGACTGATATTTAAGTTTGGAGTAAATCGATGAATAGTTTCGACCATGACAGCTGAAAGGTTAGAGGTACTGGTTAAAAGAATTGACCCAATTTATTTTTCAGTGAAGTACATACATCGTTTCTCATTCCTGGTAACATGGTCATGGCACAGACTACTGGTGAGTATGCTAAGTAGCAAAGCAGACAGAAAATTGAGGCGCATGACAAGTGTAGGGATTCCTGTCAGGAGAGGAATAAATCAGGCCGTACACCAAGGAAACCTTTTATTGTGGCCTAGGATTACGATATGTTGCTCTAACTGACGGGGGAACGTGCATGGAGATTTATTAGATGGCAGCAGCAAATTAAATTGGATTATGATCCATAGCTATAGGTAATGACAACTCGGCTCTAGCAAAAGTTCGACCATCAGTGGGGGCAAAGAAACGGACTTGCGTGGACATCTAGCAGAGAATAAACAGGTCTAAAGCGAGGAAGGGTAAATGAAACGAATAAAACTAGCGCAATAGAAGGGTAGTACATGGTGGGACTCCGTGCTAGTGAGTTGTAGTGCTCTTTGCTTTTAAAGTAGATCAAAGCTTCTCGAGGCTTCTTTTGAGCTGAAATAGCTAACCGGCAGGAGCAACTGGGGAGGAAGGGGAAGATCCATACGGCAGAGAAAGGTACAGACGGGTGTGGACTGATGATGCACCGTTTAACAGTACCAGAAAATTGCGTACTTCAGACTGGAGGCTCCTCACAACACGCCCGAGCTGTCAAGCTGAATAGTGAGCCTGCCCTGCTCAGCCTCGAGCGGCCGAGGCCGAGGAAACAAGTTGATGGTGAACAAACTCAGCACCATCCGGTTCCTAAGGGCCGGTTTCCAAGGCTTTGCAACTCTTGAAGTTGAACCTCTTCGCCCTTCTTCGTCCTCATCCTCGTACTATGATTTCGAATCCCTTAAACTGCAAGATTCATCTTATGGAAGGGACGTGGCTGTATACAGATAAATGAGTATGCGCGTTCAAATGCCAGTTCCTTGTGGTACGTTTTCACCTCGAAGGCGAAGCTTGAGCATCCGAATTAACTGCAATGCTGCAGGACCAGTCATGGACACTGTTACGACAAAAGGCATCAAGTCAGCAAAAACTTTCTCGAGTCACAATACTGTTACTCCGAGATCTTCTCCCAGTAACAGAATTAGAACGCGTAAAGGTACTTTTTACTTTCTCCCAGGCACTCATTGACGTTGAATCCCCACTCCGCTTGGATGAAACGAGCCCGACCTCAATGCAAGATGATCGAGCAACGAGGCAATGATCACAACACCGGGGATCATGGATGTCGCCACGTCAGCGAAATAGACACTGAGTAAAAGGCTGGTAAAAGGTGAGTATGTGTGGTATTTGGCGTGAGAGAAAAGGAAACTAACGTAGGTCAATTAGATTACAGCAACCTATAAGTTTCTCAAAGGATTCGATTTTCTTTTTTATCATCAATGCAAAGCAAGAGTACATTTAGCCACCCGTTCCACCCTCTCCTATATCTTTCGAAGCAGAGCAAAGTTGAACAAAGATTTAGTCCTTCGAGTAATAATTTTGCGGCGATGAGCAGACCGCGGCAGATGTTGAATACAAACTAGATGTTAAAATGTACGTGCTATTCCGTACAAGCCATTCTCGGCCCTTCTGCCTGACAGGAAAGAACAAGCTTGCATGAATGAGGAGATAGAACGTTACTACTATACTTATAAGAAAGTCAGAATCGTTGCCCAGGAAATCAAATTACCATTCATCTGCGCGCGCGTTATCCTCGAAACCGGTCTTGTGTTCCTCTCTTCCTTATGCCTCGACTCGGTGCGAACTGGATACGGATCAGGCTCTTATAGTGGCTCGCCTTACACAGAGGAGACTAGCAATTTACGTACAGTGCTCACTAGCACTGTCCCTGGGTCCGGAGTGCCAAGGTACGCACCAGTCGGCGGTTGTCTTTACTTATATCAAAACCTCGATCTTTTGTTGCGTTCGACGCTCTGTGTATACCGGGAGGGAACGACCGAGGATATCATCACTGTCTATTAGTACTGTTGCTCAACCTTTTCATACCAGGTCGTATCCTTTGCCGCATAAAATCCACTTTCTGGAATACTTCAATAAGTCGCGGGCATATAGATTTGCCAGATCACGAGTGCAAGTATGTGCCTAATATGTTCATAGATCAGGAGACAATACTCTGCGGACACGTATAGCACATCCTCGCTACTGCATTTCGAGTTGTTGTCTCTTGATGGTTTGAAGTGCCGCAACAACTACGTTGCTCAGACCTTAGACGCGTACATCAGCGTACATCCTCTTCCTCATACGCTCTCGCACGCTTGGCAATACTAAATTAGTCGCTCTCAGGCGCTCGATCTCATTTTTCATGTAGTGCCGAAACAACTCCGACTTTTTCTTCAAACTTCAGACCAGAATCAGAAGTTTCTATTTCTCTACCGGTACTCGGGCCTCCTGCTTTGCAAGCCCTTCTTTGTTGACAATGACTCAAGGTCGATTAAATATAAAATTCCAACCGTCCCAACGTTACTTGAAATCAAACCTCGATGACTGTCTCGTGTTCTGACTCCGATACCAGCTCATTGAATGAAACTACACCTTTACTGAACGATGCGCAACATGACCCAGAAGACCAAGATTCCCCCGTTAAAAAGGCTACGCCGTTGCCAATAGCTCAATTGCTTATCGTCTGCGCTATTCGCCTTATGGATCCAATCGCCTTCACTCAGATCTTTCCATACATTAACGAGTTTATAGCTTTTCTGAAGCTAACCGACGATCCTTCACAGACAGGATTCTACAGCGGTCTCGTGGAATCTACGTTTGCAGTCACCCAATTTCTGGCGATATATCAATGGTCCAAGTTGTCCAGTGTGTTGTTGTGCTTAATAGCTTCTACATACTCTGCTCGATTCTGATGCCTCTTTAGATAAAATTGGGCGCAGACCAGTTATCATGGTGGGGACCTTCGGTGTAGCGTTATCGACGATGTACTTTGGCCTTTCGAGTTCGTTGACAGACTTATTACTTTCTCGTGCCATCGGTGTGTGTGTTATTATACTACGTTTTCAATACAACGCGTTACAAACATGTCATCAGGTGGAATTTTTGGTGGAACAGTCTCCGTAGTCCAGTCTGTTGTTGGAGAAATAACCGACGGTGAGTCATAAACTTACAGGCCTGAACTTCGGAACTTGCTCATGTACTCATTTCTTCGCTAAGCTTCGAACCAGGCAGCGGCATTCCCAATTTATGGTCTGGTCTGGCCCATCGGAGGAATTACCGGGTGCGTCCTTCCTTCTACCCCAACTTTTCCCCTCATCTGACCTTGTTAATCATCAGTCCCTTCATCGGCGGTGTCCTATCCAACCCGGCAGAAAAATACGGTTCCATTTTCCAGAATTCTGTCTTTAGTAGACATCCATACTTTCTTCCTTGTTTGGTCGCTGGGATTATTGCGCTATCAGGCGTTTTGATTGGATACATTTACTTGGAGGAGGTGAGTACCCTCCCGATACGCGACATCGTCGCGCTCAAAATCTCATATTATTTCCATCACATAGACTCTGAGAAAGAAAACCAGGAATGGTAGTCAGGATTCGTTTATCGATGATCACGAACCCTCCTTACGGGAACTCCTTTCCATCCCAATCATCCGTGCATTAAGCATAAGCGCATTCGCTCTGAACTTCAACGGGACTGCGTTTGACGTTCTTTTTGTTCTCTTTTGCTACACCCCCATCAAGGACGGCGGTCTAGCGTTTTCGGTCAGTCACATGCTTATTCTCTAATACATGCTGAGTATTAAGTATTTGTTTCTCATGCCCTTCTCTTGACTTAGCCTTCCACAATCGGCTTCACCTTGTCCTCCTCTGGCCTCATCTCGTCCGCCATGCAAATCTTCATCATGCCTGTCATTTTGAAGCGCATCGAGGCTTCCAGAATATATAACATTTCTATCGCAGCATGGCCAATTGTTTTTGCTATTATACCAATTCTAAACGTCATTGCCCGACATGGACTCGTCGAGGGAACCGGCAATTTGGATGTTTGGTCGAACGTAAAGCTATGGACTGGAATTCTACTTGTCCTTGCGATATCCAAAGTTGGCGGTATGGCATATAGGTACGAGGTCAATCGTAGTGGATCCGGAGAAAGGATAATAACGTCTTGACACATCTTGTGTACAGTGTAAGCTTGATCTTGACAAAGAGTAATGTTTCCACTCCAGCTGTTTTTGCGGTTTCGAATGGTGTCATGTCTTGTTCAATGTCTTTAGCCCGAATTATCAGTCCTGCTCTAGCCAGGTATGTCAATTTGAGCTCTTTTGTTCTAGCATTTCATCGATCTGTTTTCAATTGCGCAGCTCTGTGTTCGCGCTGTCAGTGGAGTATCACCTACTAGGCGGGTATTTCTGGGCATTAATGATGGTCTGTTTCTGTTTGCTCGCATGCTGTTTGGGACGCAACATTTCTCGCCTGAGCAAGAGCTCATTAACACACCATAAACCTCAAAATCGCAAGTAAAATGGATGGACTGCGGTCATCTGAGGGCTTTACGGTTAATGAAAATTTAAAGGATTTCCTTTTGGTGATTGATGATCGATGACCTTTTCAAAAGTAACTATCAATGAGCTTCATGACACATTTATACAGAAAAGTACATAAACGACGTCTTAAATACAGACTTGGGAATGTCATTACACGAATCCAACACAAGAAAACGGATGTCTTAAACCGTCCAAACAAAATATATCAGGCCTTAAACGCCTCCCGACTTTGAACTCGCCAACCAATCCAACCTGCTCGCCCTCCAATAATCCCTGTCCCAACTATTTCAAGTTCCTCCCTTTCAATACCCTCTAAGATCGCCCCAACAATCAAAGCAGCAGCCATAGGAGCCCAGTTTTTTCCAATGCAGATGAGCGGTCCATACCCAAATGCGAAAAGGGTTGGAGCCTCCAAGGAGCTGGTGTATCTCGCCCATCGTCTTGGGTTGAATTCAAGTGCGTCTGCACCCCAGATACCAATGGACAGATGGATACCTTCGACATCTGCAATTTCAGATCGAATTAGGGGGGCTAATCCGAGTTGGTCTGACACAGATCTTGGAAGGAGGGTCCTAACGAATTGGAGGAAAGGAGGTTGTTCGACGACGAAGCTCCGAGATATATGTCGCGATGGGGGATGCAGACGGAGTGTTTCGCTGACGATCCAATCCGCACACAGCTTCGAATCGAAACTAGTGGTCTTAAACCTTTCAGACGTTGGATCCTCTAAAAGTTCCTCAAACACTCGGCGAAACTCGACATTTTCGTGTACATGGGCCAGGCATGTGGCGACTACACGCCACAATGTTTCCCATGTTGGGATGACAAAGTTGATTGGGTTTGGGTACTTTTCAGTATCCGGTAGGAGTCGACGGAGGTGGTAGTTAAGCGTGGTTAAGTCATCGATATCCGGAGACGTGCATGGAGCGTCCATGAGTGGTACCGTGGAAGATATCTTCAATTTTGATATTCCCCACAGTTTCGTAATAAGCATAGCAGAAACGCGCAGATCTTCCGCGTCTATGCTCTCGATATCACGGTCAGGATCAAGCAGCGCGACGACAATGATTCTGAGCGTCAGAACCTGTATAAAATCTGTAAAGGCGGCGGAAAAGCCTTTTTCTGTCGGGACGTAGCTGTTGAGCTCGCATGCAAAGGCTTGCCGAGCTACGTGCAAAAAATCTACCCATTGCCCACGGCGACGCTGCGCTCGAATCAGATCTTTCATCCTACCTACGAATGTGTTGTGGATGTCGGTTTCGGGTTTCACGAATGTATTGGTGAGGTTGAATGTGTGCCTTAGCCGTCGATTTGCGAGGGACCGAGCTTTTAAGAGCTCGGAAATAGATGAAGATGGCGACTCGGAATGGCCAAGGAGGTTGATGATCTCCTCTGGGGTGGTATATTTTCGATACAGCATATGCTTATGGATGTCAAGAAAAAAATAGATGGTGAGTAAGATGGCGATTGAGCCAGCTAGTGTCAAGAGCAAGAGAATAGCGTACATGTTGGCACGCATGAAGGACTCGAATGTGCTATCCGGATGCAGCCTTTTATGCGTCCAAGATAAGCAGTGAGCGAGGTCAGACGCGTAAGTATGTTAGTCATTCGATTAAGATTGGAAGTGTGGCACAAACCTTGTACAAGTTTAAATGTGTATGTATGTGCATATATGAGGAGGATCACTACAAGAAGCATCGAGCGTCTATATGTATAGTGTTGAAGCTCGAGTGCTGTAGAAATCACTACGGCAAGGACAAGATCTTGTTTGTTTTGGATCTACCAGATTCTTCTCTTCATAGCAGTGTATGACATCTCGCCGCCATGAGGTCCACTAGGCTGCTGCGAAGCTGCTAGCAACGACAAGTTGCTATTACGATAATGGTGAAGAAAGCGTCATAGATACAGAAGAGCCTATCATTTAGCTTTGCTACGCAACCTTGTACCCAGAGGCTGCGGCAGCAGCGAAGCGCAGAATAAGCGCTCAAACGCGTAAATGATCAATCGATCACGAGTGATCTTCGTGATCGTGCAAACAAGCGCTTTCAAGGTTTCTATACGACGATGATGTCCATTCATTGTCCATCCTGAATCCTACGTACATCTGCTGAGAGTTGTTCAGCTTTTGTGATTTTGCGAAGATCCAGATACAATCCTGATTCACTCTTGAAAATTTTGAGTCTTTTTAGCTTGGATTTATCACGATTCACCATGTCGTATGAGATGGTTTCGTGACGGCCAGGTGACGGCATCCAAATAATTTTTATGGGCTTCACCCTGCTTTACCCTTACTTCGTCAGGCCTCGACGCTCCGATACAGTCATCCATAACAAGGAACCATGTGCTCCAAGCCTCCAATTCATCCAGCTTGCATTTAAAAACGCACCGTCAGGATCGAATCAACCCCAAAACTGCTGGCCAGTTCCCCGTCTCTTTATCTCTTCCAAAAGACTTGTCTCCTGGCGATCTACCATTAGTTGTCGCTTTCATTCATTCCCAAATTTGAACTCCCCTCAGTCGCTGAAAAATGCATTTTCACGGTCCTGTGTATATTCTTCTCGGTCTTCTCGCTGCTTATTCTGCTCCTTTCGATGTGAGTCTTCACACTTTCAAGTTGATGGCAAGTATCTGACGATTCCTCTAACCAGGTCACTAGCGATGGGTCTCAATCAATCTCTCGCACAAAATTGACCAGCCGGGGGTTGCCGCTGAGCGGCTATGTTGACTATAGCTCCTCCAATGCTACCAACCATTTCGGCGAAGCGCATACTACGGTTTACGAAGTTTGTTTTACATCGCCAGAAGCACAACCTCGGAGGCATGGTGGAGCTCGTCGACATCGAGCATCGCGATGGCCTCGTCCAACTCAACAGCAGGTAGTCCAGCAGCAGGTGGTCCAACAACGATTGGCCAGTCATCTTGGCGTTACGCTGGAGCAAATCTCATTGGGTGATACTCTTCCATTTGAAGATCCTACAGGAAGTTACATATTTTGGTATCGTGAAAGAGGAAGTGATGGCCCGTGGAATAACGATTCACTCTCCAGAGGGAGAGCGTAGTTGCCGAGAGTTAATAGTCTAAGTCACCCGGCCGAGCAGTTCCACCGGAACATTGCATTTTCTAGTGGTGAACTTTTTTTCCGCTGCTCGTTCAATGTGTTGGCAGGGTAGGTTTGTCCTGGCCTCGTAATAGTCCTGGCCACGGTCGTAGATAAAGAGTAGATATATGCAGATATAGGGAAGGGTGGGGTGCTGTTTACTGTTTTTTTGACTACAAGTTGTACACTGAACCGCAAAATGTGTACTGCACTCGGGCTTTCACAGATATAATTTTTTAACATATACTGTATGTACACAATCTGACTTTTCTTCTGATAAATACAGATGCTATCAACATGCAGACCTTTACTTGTCCGCTACTCTTCTATAGCTCCCGCCGCTTTTCTATCGTTCTTTACCAGTCTCTACTACTTAGTCTCGCCCGTCGCTGGCCCGTCGGGCTTAGGTTTGCGTCAATCGCTTCGTAGGGACATCAAGGGACAGCAAGGGACATCGAACCGCATCTCATCGGATATCATCCTATATCATCGCATTAAGCGATATGAATGATTCATGAATTCCATATAAGCAAGGGTAGAATGTTAGTATGCGCCCCAAACTGCTGGCCAGTGTTGTCTCGCCCATCGTTCACAAGAAAAGTCTATCCTCCACCCTGTCCAAGCACCGATTCATCAGCTTGTGAACAATGCGTTTCTTCAACCATACCGCGTTCCTTTTTCTGGGACTTCTTGCTACTGTGCATGGAGCTCCTCTCGAAGTGAGCTTTTTGCAGACCTGAATGTTAGTTGACAAGCTCTTACACTACACATTGACTAGACCGCCCACAAAGAGCCAAACGATGCGGTGGAATCCTATTCAGAGTCCAAAGTGCACCCGTCCATGCGGGATCCTTTCCATGGTATCTTAAGCGGCAGCATTCCGAGCGCGGGCATTAACGATGGCTCTCCCAAGGACACTAAAAGATTCGGAAAGCTCGACACTGAAAACAATCCCTGGAATACAAGATACGAAGCAATAGTCATTGCTTTAAATGCTGGCGGAAGTCTTCGGGCCCCCCCAGGATTGAAGCTGAAGGCTCGACCTAGTCCGGCGGTGCCTACAAAAATTCGAACACGAGTAGAGCAGTACTTTCAACACCAATTTCCGAGGCTGAGAACTGTAGTCAATTTCGCTGAGGACTCATATTACGAGTCAAAAGACTTCGAGCAATCATTCAGTATTCTTTACAAGTGGAAAGGCGAGGATCGTACATGGATGGCAAATATCTGAATGATGAGAAGGATCATCTGCGTCGCGGGATCATTTCGATAACTCTTTCTTTCTTACCATCATTTACATTTCTGTATGATGAATGCCACAGAAAATTTTTCTTCAGCGTCTTCGCCAACTAAACTTCGTCCACTATCCCCAAAGCAGGAACGGCGTCTCGTCGTCTTTCTCGATAATGAATTCCTTGAACTTACACGTGGCTACAAAAAACGGTTTGTGACCCGTTCACCGATAATTCACACTAAGTTGTACACTAGATCATCGCCAGCATCACATCTTCCAACACTCGATGCCTATCTCCAAGCTGCGCAAAGGATCTTAGGATTGATACTCCAAGTTCCACCCATAGATCCATCAACAAGCCTGCGGATACAGCTATTGCTTCGTTTGACGAATGAAGTGCTGACGTGTATACCTGGCTATCCTTCAAATTCGGAAAACCTTCCTATAGCTATGGATTGGCTTGATGATCTTGATCAGTCCTGGGCCGCAGTGCTCCAAGCACAGGTTTGGAATCCCAGCGAAGGAATAGGTGAAGATCTGATCGTTGACGCTGGTGATGTCGTTAGAGGTGTAAAGTCCACGCCGATGAGCCAGACAGAGCGTACGCGGCTGAAGAGCCTTCTCTTGGGAGGTGTGGCGACGCTAGAAGAGTGGTTGGAAGGCAAGCCGATTGGTGTTAATAGACAGGCAACTGCGGTTGAGGAAGAAGACGGGTTGAACGACATTTTCTCAAACACACTTGAGGAGCTTGGGCATCTGGGTCTAGTCGCAGTTGAGCCTGAGGAGTTGTGTTCGATGGATCTAGATGATGATTGATGAGTAAGCATTCATGACTGTGGCACCACGAACTTATACTAACCCAAACCATGCTTAGGAGGGAAACCAGCATCGTTTGGCACTCAGTAATCCTTAAGCATCTGCAGTTCAGAACAGCCTTCTGCCTCGATCTGACCTTGTATTTCTTTCGTCTGATGGCCGCTGCGGTAGAGAAAGTCGATCTCCATTCAATTGCGCAGGTCGCGTCCTTGTCGCGTCCTTCTCAATCCCTTGACAAGCCTCAACAGGACTAGATTCGCCTGCGTATAGATGACAGTAGGTCATTGCAGTAGGACATACTTCATTGTTAGTGCAGTGTCACGTAAATCAAGGTCATATCCAGTCAAACGGACTCTTCACGCTAAATACAACATGTTGTAAGTATTTCCTTGTGGATGGTATCTTCGCTCGGGCAGCAAGCCAATTAATGTATATTGGTAATGAAAGCAAGTAGTATGGTATAGAAGAAGATCCGAAATGATTAACGAAATGGTTAGAGAGAAAGGGTTATTGGTAAATTACAATAAGCTTCACTTGTATTCGATGGTCGTCAAGTACAATGTCCACGTATTCAATATGCAAATGAAACTGCCAAAATTTGGTCCATGATTTCTGCACTCCGGTATGATCACTGTGGGCGGTTTTATCAGTCGATACGCGATAGCGGAAGAAGAACACTCACTGTCGACGATGTCGAAACATGTTCATCCGCCAAAACGATATGCGTTCCTTCATCTCTCGCAACAGCGCGAAGAAGCACCTCGTCACGCATCTTCTGGGTTGCTTTGAATCGCTGTGCACGTCTCAGGCCACTCGCCTTGTTGAAAAGAATGTCGCGTGGACAGGTGTCAAAGTCTTGACGAGGGTTTTTGTAAGAGCGACCACGGAATACAGTGGGCGATCGAGCCGTAGGACCGTGAAGGGATGAAGTCGTCGGGAAGGCGTGGATGGTAGTGACCACTGTAAAGATAAGACAGATTGCGAGGAAGAACCGGACGATCCTATGCATATTGGAAGTATATGTGTAGAGATGGATTGATAAACAGATGAAACTCTGCCTTAGCGATGTAAAGTTAAACGATGGGAGGGTAGAGTGTGATTTGATCCAGTAGTAATTTCCAAGGATTTATGATGTCCGTGCTCGACAGAACAGGAAGGTCTCACTAGCCCAAGGCAGGCGGGGCAGTGGTCAATAAGTAGTAACAACTAAGACAAACTATCCTTGGTTCGGGTGGAGCCGGAAAACAATCTAGCAATGGCTAGGGCTCAACGAGTCCATTTTTTGACATTGAACGTTGCCAGAAGAGCAGCTCTCTGCGCTGTGTTCACAGCTAGAACGTACTCGGATATTGCGTCTTCAACATCAGTTTCGTAACCCGAAACCGAAATCTCAACTAATATATCCTGAAACTGGCTCCGCTCAAGAATCGAAATTAATCCCCTCCAGTCAAACGCATGGATTTGGACATGCGCATCCTCATAGCCCGAGATGGCAAGCACAATTTTGAGATACTCGACATTGTCGGAAGCGACTGTTCGTAAGATATTGGTGACAAATGTTTCTGAGCCCAATTCTCTTTCGTCCACGCTCGAAGACTGGAGATCGACACAACCAATTTCCAAAGTGCGAAGGTTCACGCACGGAGACAGGTCAAGAGCGGTAGACTCATGGGCATCCCGAATCATGACATGCGATTGCAGGCCACTGCACCACCGTGCATGGCAAAAACTCGGCTCCTTTTTCGGGGGCTATTAAATATTATGGAATCAAATAAACGGGGCGCCTTACAGGCGCCGACATTGAATGTTTTTTAAGAATGAAATAAATACATGAATTACAGTATCTATAGAGTAACAGGGGGTAACTGAGTGAGATGCTGTGAGACGAGAAAAAATAATTGTGACAGAGTCACAGTCCCGTGATATCCCGTGCCGGTCACAAGAATTCAATACAATTCAACTCAGTGTTACATTTGGCCGAATAAGGCGAAACTACTGCCATAAAAGGAAATTATTTTTGTATGAAGTACCGTACATAAGGACGATACTTCCGTAAACTACAGCCTCGTAATATTCTCGAGTGTTGAGCCTGAATGAAAGAGGAATTTGGATAATGCAGCATTAGAAGATTCGCTGAATAACCCAGTGGAGAGACTCCGCATCGGGAGAGGAATATGGTGATAGGTCATCCAAGAAAAGAGGAACTCCGAAACGTCTTCTGTAACGTTTGTGTAGAGTTCGTTCAAACTAGACGGAGGTGGAGGAGTGTACTCCAGAACTGTCCGTCGAGCATCCAATTCGTCCCAATTATCCAGACCGTCGTAAAGACGTCCGCCGTTAAAGAGAACACCAGTCAAAGAAAGGCTAGATAGTAGTGGGAACGCGCCCAAGATATCAAAAAAGTGGTCCGAAGATGATAGAATCACAGAGTCCAGGTCCAACGTGGTGACACTGCCAAAATTGCCCCGAAGTGCATCCGAAGTGCTCTTACTTGTATCGCAGCGTATCCATCCAAGCTTCAATGTTTTGACCGCCGTAAGCCCAGTAAACAAATGAAGGAAATCGTCGAATTGGAAGATCTCGTAGTCGCCCGACTCTTGTATACCCCATGGCAGCTGCCAGGACACGGGTAAACGTTTCGAGCCGCCTTGCTCGATGTGCAGGTGTTGTATGAAGCGAATGATTGTTATGGTGTGGGCATTGAGATTGATAAGCTTTAAGAAGTCGTCGATATTTTTGCGATGGATATGGATGGTGCGTGACTGGAATAGTGTTTTCCAGCTTGGCCAAAGCCATGATTTGCAGGTAAGACTGCAGAATTTCAGAGTAACAGGGTCGTGATTCAGGAAAGAGATTATGAGCTCATATATGTCAGCTGGGATGAAGTCTGAGAGCTCTCGGGGAAGGGGTACTGGCTGTTCCATTGGAGGTGAAGAAAGAGATCACTGCCTCCGGTAACCTGAGCGAGTGACTCTACTCGACACGCGCTGGTGACTCATACAGGTTTCGACATATTCGATTTCTATTACAATAGTCTGCATACAACTTCTGAGCTTATCAGGGATCAACAATCGGGTCAAGCAGATGGAATCCGATGAGAACCTTCAGACTCTCCTTTGCCAACAGTTACAATCTTCCCGAATGTGCTTCCAGTACCCCAAATTCCTATCCTCAGACACGCAATCTGAACAATCTGAGAGTGATCAACGAAGAGGTTGGCGGTTGCACCTTGGTTTTGAATGTGATACGCGAAAACTTCCGGGTCGGCAGCTTCGAACCTTTTCATCCAAAAAATCAAAAATATATCAAGACGTTCATAAACAGTAATGGGAGCGTGAACGAAAGAAAAATAACGTACATGATCTTTTCCTTGGGCAACGCGGAAGTCACTGCTGAGATGACATCTGTTCGCCAATTTCGAACATTTTCTGTAATACCTTCGCTTTCAATCATGATCATCTATTAGGCCACAACACATCATGAGTAACATAGATGAAACGAAAAAAGCGGAAGACATACATATGTAAGCACCAGCTTCTAAGAAAGTTTTTGCTCGATCAATAAGCCACTTTGGATCCCGAGTACCAGCAGATTCGAGTTCCGCGATAGACGCGTCACCACCTGCGCCCCATCTAATTATCAGACAAGATAAGGATAATACGAGGTTAGGAGATTCTTGACCACTTACTGAATCCCGACTTCTGGCTTTGGCTTCAACCCGGCCTTTGCAGTCATTTCGACGAGATCGGCCCAGTCATCGGTAGGGATAGACAAAAAGCCGGAGGATATTTCCAGGACGTCGAAGCTATAAGAAAGAATCGAATGCCCTCAGTTGCCACATAAATACCGTTGACTTTGGAATGAGGCTAACCCCATGTTCTTGCAGGTCTCGAGATATTTTTGGATCACCGCACGATTCCCATTGGACGAGGAGAGAACTTTTTCGATAAAGCCACTCGTGCTGACATATATGTCTTCAATTAAGGATTAATACCAGTTGAATGAAGATAACAAAGGTAGTCACCATGTTTATGAGCAGTTTCAATAAGGCCTCGAAGCCTCTCCTCTGGCATAAGACTAAAAGCACCTCCAGCGAACTTGACCCCATCCACGAACTCTCCCCAGTCGGACAAAAGTTCATCCAAGTACGTTTTTGTCACCGGATAGTAGTAAGGTCCTCGAATTTCTGTCAATCCATGATCTCGGGGTTTCGGAGGTAGGTAGTTTGAGGAAAGAAAGTTATATGGAGAAGTAGTGGTGTTTGCATTAGACGTTGACATTTGACGAGAGCACGACGAAGATAGTGTCCGACGAGAATTGGACGTGAGGGCTCTACGCAGCAAGGTTTGTGCCGTGGTGAGATTCATGATTGGAAGGAAATTGAGTTTCGAGATTCAAGTGGAGTAGTGTATAAGTGAAGGCTATAAGTGAAGGCGTAGGGCCAAATGACTTCACAAATGTGTAAACTGAAGGTCATAGTAAACATCATACGAATACGACATGGGAGCTATTCCATTCCAGTCAGCGGAGCTATATTTGTAACATCTGAATAAGAATGAGGAGGTTGAATATTGTCCAAAAAAAAGTACGTATAAAGATACGCACAAGTCATGATGCAGAGTTATTCGAAAAACCAGGCGTTTTTTCATCCTGTATGGCCAGCGGTTGTCGATCTTTTGTATGATATTCGATGGTTTCATGGAAATTCCGCGCGCGGCGGAAAGAGTAGTAACCGTGTGCAGCTTACGTTCCAATCTACGCTCATCATGGAATTGGGTCCTTGACTCAACATCGCGCCCCTTCTTTTTGACTTGCGGTATTCCTCCTCCTAGACACAGGATGGGTGGTGACGAATCAAGTGATGATAATTGTTATAGATAGTGGACAGGTTTCTCATAGTCAAAGAAATATGGGAATGTTTTTCGAATGCGGCATGCGCATTGCATACCATATCTGATTGAAGGACACGTACAACCGCTAATCAATGATAGTGCTTTGAATAATTAGTCCTTTGATGATGAGGAATGATTATGCACACTTAGCACTAGTTCAAACGTTCAAACGTTCACCGGCTATCTAGTTTCAGTCAGTCTTTCTGTAAAATTTTCTGGCCGAACTTGACAACAGGTTGACAAACGTATGCAGTTAGGCGCTCACCTCCGGATTCGGTGACATGGGCGAGCGCTTGATTATAATGTTATCGCGGCTCCGCCACTTCCGACCCCTCACGTTGGGACCATGGTAAGGTATCCCTGAGGTATCCTATATCTCAACTATAAAATTGTAGTATGATAAGACTCCGGGTCCAAGACGCATCATCATTTCTCTTTCACTCATGCCTCTAGACTCGCTCCCTTTTGAACTTCTTTCTGAAATCCTTGATTCGACTCGCGATGTTGAGACACTTCATCAATGTGTATTGGTCTGCAGTACGTTCAAGGAAGCTGCGTTACCGAGCCTCTACAGGACAATTACATTGAAAACTGTTCATCAAATGGTGTGCTTCGCCCGTTCAGTCTCTGGCCATCATCTCAGGTATTGACAGGACGAAGGTCTACATTTCGGTGCTCTCGAAACATTAGACAAGTACGTCTATCTAAGGCCGTATGTTCGAGAGGTCAAGTTCCTCTGTAAGCAGCTCCCAACATTCCATTATTTACACAAACTAATGCACGACCGTGTCAGTCGTCCTCAGTGACTATGCTCGTCGAACTCGTCGCACCAGTTCTGGTTACAAAGTGCCGCAGAACATCTGGGTCAACTCTCTCGCAAAGCTACCCAACATCACATCTTATACATTCTGCCATATACCTTTCTTCTCGTTCCCTCAATCTCAGAATCGATTCCTCCCTATCCCACACGAGCAAATCGAGCTGACTGTGGCTGCCCTCGCAAACTGCAGCTTGTTGGACGAGTTGAACCTTCTCTACCGTGCTACACCCTCAGATATATCCCGCCTGAATCATCTAAAGAATGTCCGTTCCATACGACTAGGGCTTCCTTCAAGGGAGGTTCTTGTTGCAGTCCGTCCTTGGATTGAACAGTGCGATTCCTTTAGCGTCAGAGTAGGTCGCAATCGATTCTGTGCAGCTTTTATCTCATATACCCACGTAGGATGCCTACGCCTTGGATTCTTTGGCTACGATACGACCTCACGTCTCAAACCTTTCAATGCTCCATATAGGTCCTCACCACGCCCTTAGCAATCGAGACCTGCTCCAACTTTTACACTGTACCAGTAAACTTCAGGAACTAGATTTATTTTACGACAATTTCCTCAACGTTCAATTGGTCAGTTTACTTGTATATCCATGTATCAGGATGCTAACATTACCCCAACTTTCCAGTTAAACAAGGACGACAGATCATCCCTAGGTTTGAAAAACCTTCACAAACTGGTGGTACGCCATCAGGGTGTGTCTAACAAATCCCAATTCATGGAACTATTCACCTGGCTTGAGGCTGTAATATCGGCATCTCCACTCACGTCAATCTCCATCCTTTCCGATGACAGTCGGGAATGCAATTTCGCAATGCCGCTAATCAACTTGCTTGCCAAGAAACCTCAGCTGGAGTTCCTCAATATACCTCAAGTCGTCCTTCGACAACCGTCGTTGAGGACGCTGTTTGGACGGTTAAACAATTTGCGGGTATTGTCAATCATGCTTGTGGATGTCAATGTTCTAGTAAGTTGCATTGCCAATTGTGGAAGATGCGGCATTCAATTCTGATGTTCGTCTCTGTAATCGCAGAGTTTCCATACTTCCGCATCACCAGGAGAACTCAATTTCAATCTCTCAGCTCTTTACCTCCGTTCGAGCAAGACTACATGCCCATACTCTTTAGTCACACCACAACTTCGTCAAACTATATCGTCTCTGCGTGGTAATCCTGGATATCTACGTCGTTTGTGCCAAGAAAAGCAGACGTGGAAAGTATGTGGCCAGATATCAGTCTCTGATTTCAACTGATGTTTGCAGGCATTATGGACCTCAGCTTTGCAGACTGAACGTGGGGGAATCGATCCCCTGAAAGATGAATACGGACTATATAGTAACGCAACAGAGGAGGATGGGTGGTGAAAGATCAATAATTATCATTAAGACGCTGCCTTGTATCATTTATAAATAGGGCACTGCAAAACGTAGAAATTTACTGAAAGAAAGCAAGAAATTTAGCAGTCCTTCGCGGAGTATTGACAAGTTCGTTTAATTCAGTATTTCAACCCAAGGTGTGGGAAGTGTATCAAGGTAATTGAGCAGGGGTTAAGCTGTCGTAAATGGGACAAAGTTCGTCCCAAGCAGCTGAAAAGGATCATACATATGACTCAGTCAGTACCGGGAAAAGACTAGAACCTTTGGACATACGAGTGGTAACGTCAGTTGCTTTGACCAGAGAGGGAGCTTCAGCCATTACGACGGCAAGTCCGCTAGAAAAAGTGGGTCAACAAATTATTTCTGAAAGTAAAGGTAGAGAAGATTTCACAATTCCAAATGAAGGTCGATATGGCTTGAGAAGCAAACTTTTCAGCATGAATGAAATACCACAAATAGCAAACAGGCTCACCAATGCAAAAACCAAGGGCCAGGATTATCGGTGACAAATCGAATGGTTGTCTGGTTTCCAATAGCTACAGAAGTCACATCTCGACGGACCTGAATTTTGGTAAGTCACGACACTGCTTTGGGTGGACAACATAGGTACAACTTACGGGATTCTCATAATTGTAAGTGGTGTTATCTGCGCTCCGAACAACATCGAATGAGTGCTACAGGTACAATCAGATATTAGTTCAATATGAGGACTGAATAACTCTTACGCCATGCAGATGGAATGGATGAGGACCTCCCGGCGTAGCGTTTCCGAAGAAGTTTATCTCAATAGTCTTATTTATCGGCAAGGTATATACACTGCCTGGCGGCAACAAATCTTGAGGTGACTGTGCTCCGCTCAAAATCTGTAGAAGAACTGGAACAGTCGGAGGTATGTATTGGGTGTCGTTCATGAAGAATGTGGCGGGAAGATTGAAACCGAGCGTCAAATTGAGCACTTCGTCAGCACCTCCGGGGAAGGGAAGTCCAGGTGCTCCCGGATTTTCCAAAGGGTGCAGCATCGATTCCGTCAACACCACGCCAGTTGAATTAGTTGTGGTCGGATCAGCATCTGGAGCTCCTTGGTATCGTAGGATTCCAGAATTGAGACCGCCTATAAATCCGGACGTACCAACGCCACTACTAGACAAAGCACGAACCCAATAGTTATCCACAGGCTGAGTTGCATCTAAAACGAAAGAATAGCGCTGGCCAGGGAAGATCTGAATGTTATCGACCGTGGCAGGTTCGTGGTTCTCTCCGTCAACTTCTATGACTGTTAATCTATGACCGTCGATGGAAAAGTTGTGATTGGCATCACAAGCTATTGAAATCATCCGGAAACGATAGCGCTTTCCTTGCTGTACATTGATGACCGCGAGAGGAACAGCGGGCTATGCAACGGGAACATCTTAGAAAGCATGTCAACAATCTCATCCTGTAGAAACGTACCCCACCAAGATAGCGCCCCTTTCCATTAATCAAAGTAGCATCGGCAAGGGGAGCAACCGCGGCTGCGATCAGCTCGGTGCTGGTGTTGTGAAACCTATCGAGTCTTAGAGAGCATCATTCAAGTAGAGGACCTTCCGGGGACTTACCAGTCAGCAATAGTAAGCACGGTAGTTTCTTAATGAAAAGCGGAGCCAATGAATATCAAAACGTGAAAAAAAGACCTCCACGCGCGACTTACCGTCATCGACGTCGTACAGATAGGCCTGCGGATCTTGAGGGTCATAAATTACAAGAGGCCCTCGAAGCCCATCGCAATACTATACAAATCGGGGGGGTCAAAGCAACGTCATATCGTAGGCACCGTCAAGCTCACTTGTACCGATATGTGTGAATGATACCAGAAGGTCTATAAATCGCGTTGTCAATCAACAAATTGCTCCAAAGAAAATGACTAGATATCGTACGCCCGCTTGATCTGGAACTTGAAAGTCGTAGAGGAACGAATGGTTGGCGGCAATGGGGCATTGAGAAACAAATGCTACACCGTCTGCATAGTTGGTCGTTTTCTGGAAGAGGCCATGCCAGTGCTGATAATGACGAAGAAGGTTATATTAGACTGATATTCTTCATTAAACATGGATATACCCACAACGGTGGTGCTTCTAACCATACTTGGATCCGTAAGTTGGTCCGTGACGTTGAGGTTGAATCTGACCCCCTGTTTGCAGTAGGGTCAAAGAAATTGTAACTATTCTGATAAGGATAAAGCAGACCTTATTCCCCGAGATTAATGGGCCCGGAAAAGATCCAGTAGAGGGGGTGAGACCAGCGAGTACGGTTCTGCAAGATGTAAATGTACAGACATGGAGATGCGAATGTAAACTTACGAGCGTTGAAACCCATCTGGGGCGAGTTGCTTGTTGACGATGAATAAATTCTCGCTCACGGTCTGACCATAGGTTGTAGTATCGCGGATGACTTCGGCTCCGTACACGAGGCAGACTAGCTCAGCCGCCAGAAGATAAACGAAGGGAAGCATTTACAAGGCAGTGATCGCTGAAGGAATGTGAGCGACTGTTCACTTAGAAAACTGAGGATGGACCACCAAGTGGCATACCCTTTTATACTTATACTACGTAGAATTGATCACGGCAGCACAAGATTGGGTGCGCTGGTATGGGGGAAGTCTGACTCGCCGTGTTCCATTTCGGATCCTTGGCTCCCGACGAAGGAGCACTGGTTTCCTGTTGGGCTTATGGCAAGAACACATAATACTGATACCTTTGTTGTCAAAAATGGAAGTAAGTGAGCGTACAAAAGCAAATATAAATAGAAAAGATTTGTGCTTACAGTACCTGCAGCTCAATTATGTCGCTACCTAAACAGTGTAGTAGCAATTCGGTAGCGCCACAAATACTTCGATGAAACTGAGTAGCTGCAGACATCGATATGTACATTAGGTGGACATCACTTAGTCTTGCGACATTGCGTACTACGAGCAGTACTTGTGGCGACAGTAATACCCATGTTCTAGCCTGTGATTCGTTTTTCTTGCGACCGCGACCGATTAGGTCGCCTTTTACGATATATCGATAGAGCTGCAGTACAGCCGGGTACAGCTTAAGGTACACAGCGCATAAAGTTGAATGGAAATTTGGCAGCGGTAGTGACACTGAAGAGTGAGTGATGCAGGTGCTTATCTAATCTACTCTTTTCTTCCTTCAACAATGGCCGCCACAGCTACGCGACTTTCAACACTCCTTCCGGCTTCTAAACGGACCTGGAGTCGACCACTGCGCTGCTCCAGGCCCGCTCTTAGCTTTACATATCTCCAGACTCCATCATATTATTCCAGACGTTCTTGGTCGACATCGGGTCCATTGTACAATGCGAGTGCTGAGACGGCCTCGGCCGAGAACCGCGCTTTTGACGTCCTTCTCAACGATAGCGGTCCCTCATCTGTCATTGGGAGCATTGATTCTGACTTGGACATTGAACTGCCCTCTAGTGTCTTCGAGGAGCGTTCTAGTCAACCCGTATTAATCAATATACCACCCCAGCAGGATCCTTTACTTGAATTTCTTGCATCACGGCTCATGAACCACGGCCACCGAGCTAAAGCTACCCGAATCGTCTCGCGCACACTTCTCAATATTCACGCCTATACCCGAGCTCCTCCTTTACCCATTTTGCGCGAGGCTATTTTCGCTTTAGCACCAGCTGTGCGTCTGCTGAAACATCGGCATTCTACAAAAACGATCTATAGGCCGGTCGCATTGAGCGAGAAACAGGGTATATGGTTTGCGGTGCATTGGTTATTGAAAGAATGTGAAGGACGACAAGGTGGTCCGATGATTGAGGAAAGGCTGGCCCGAGAGATCATAAAAATTGTGAAAGGTGAAAGTAAAACCTTGGAAAAGAAGGAGGAAATGCACAAAATGGCTATGGTCAACCGGTAAGTAATGTTCTATGACTACTGACTTGATCTAATTGTTGTGTTCATCATTAGTGGAAACATTGGGAATAGAACTCGATAGCTAGCTTGTAAGCATGCTACTTCGTCATTCTAGATTACCGCTGATGCCTCCGCCCAATAGAATAATGATCCATTGCACCCCGTCTTACACCATTGTTCGACGAAAGAAGGTTGTAGCTCAAATGGATCTCATTAAAATCTCTTTCGAATTATTACAATCGAGTCAGACTCAGCCACCCGCAATTTTATGTTCGAGATCCCAGCTCAGATCATATGCGGCCTTGATGTACCCCAACAGGCAAACGTGTTAGTTGGTCAGTCATTCCGTCTTTGCACTATTGCCGATGAAATTCCTCTTCAGGGGAGAATCTAGATGATGTCTGTACCATGAATTAGCTACGTAGGATGTATATGTTATAACCTAACGTGAGTTTTCGACGTCTGACTGCCTCGTACTGTCTGGCAATTCCAATGATAGTGCCCTCCGATGACTGTGCATAGGCCAGAATTATGCGCAAATACGAAATTTGCACTGTACGTTCCAGGCTCGTTTTGATTGTACGGACGTTAACGACACAGCGCCTTCTACTGCCTCCTATTCAATCATTGAATCAGTTGCCTTGCTTTCGCTGTGTCAGTGGAACGAACATTTACCTCAACCCCAAGACGTTAAGTTTCCGATGTTACAGAATCTGGCCGCCCAATATCTGGGAGACGTATCGTCGAGGCTCTGCAAATCGCGTACGAGACTCCTTCAGAGGGCAGAGCGGGTAGAGGATGTACAATTTGAGTGACGTTGGCTCACAAGGATACGTAGTACGGAATCGCGCCCAGTGTTTTCGTCTGATATACATTGTCAGTCACTGTTTTGCTGGCGCCTCTCTTTTTTCCGCCAATTAGGTTTATAACTGCTGTGGGGATCCATGGCCGACTCGAGAGATCCCTTCGTGCAGTAGCCTCTGCTGTTGCCGCTGCTTATTGTTTGGACATCTCCATTTGTGCTATGCATGCGTACAAATGGTAAAAAGTTTTCCGTATACGATACTTGTCTCCTGTCGTTGCTGCTGCTGTGCAAAATCTTGAATGTTATGTATCGACTTCGCTGATGAGGTGGTGATGCATATGTAAATGTGGGGTTGCTTGACAGGGTGGTCTCTGCAATTTACCTTGTCCGGCATACTGCTAGTGCTACTGGTGGAGAGCAACCTTTGAAAAGGAGAATGTGGGACCTGGATACCTTACAAACTTGGACCAAAGAACTGATCAGACTTTAATAATCTAACGTATGGAAACCCCATAACATATTGATCACACAGTTGTAAGTACCGCGCCTGGAAGACTCAACTTCGTAAGCTACTGACTGGTATACATACGTAGCACTGGTAGCCACATTGCCATGTTCAGAGTTGCCCCTACAGTAATATGCTGGTGATATGTGTTGGGAAACAATTTCCCTGGAATTGCACCTTAGGGGAGGGAAACTTTGAAACCGGCGATGTGGGGTCTTGGTGATGAGTAAACTTTGCTGACCCATCCTGAGACGGACTCGGATTCACCGATCCGGGTCGGACTGGTCGAAATAATTTTCTCTTTTTCAATACTCTTCGGAACGTGGATATTTCTCTTATCATTCCCTCAAGTTGGATCACCAAGTAACACAGATAAAGCCTCGAGGACGAGTCAACGCCAATATTGTTTGTAAGATTCGGAAGAGAGTTCATCCCATCTGTCGTACTCAACGCGCTACATACCGCCTAATTTATGCCTGTCTGTCCTCCAAACTGGTCAAATACTTCCTTCCGTGCTCTCAATGCTTGTAGCAAAAGAGTCTCCTCGACGCAGCCAGAAACCGAAGCGTGTTCAGTGGCCATAAACCTGTCTACTGTCAACAAGGCCGGGGAGGAAGAACTTTAAGATTCTTTTGCAAACTTGAAGTGACTATGCATAACAATGCAATGAACACTCACCCTGAGATGATCACCTGCTGTTGAAAGCATTGTATCATACGTGTGAGTCTCTTCATGGCAGCCTACTTCTCATTCAAAATTTTCAGCGAGGTCGCATAGTTCACCACGCTTAGCGTGCGTGTCCCAAAATTACAACAGACGATGACACTTTATGTCACTGTAGATACCGTGCCAATACGTGGAATATGATCGCAGCTTGGAGCTAGTACTGTTGTCCTCTTGAAGTTATGCTTTCAATTCATGCTGAAAGTCTTGACTTAAGCAAGCACATTCCGCCTATGTTTGTCGTGCAATGTGTCTTCGAAGTAATTGGGCAGTCCACCGTCTTCGGGCCGACCGCGGAACAGATACCGATAATCCGAATTCTTTACTCTGTGCAACTGTAAAGAGAAGGTTGTTCGCATATAAATTGAAATAGCAATTAATCGAATTCTCCATCTCAAGGGTTTTACCCTTTCCTTCTTTCTCACTTCGCTGGTTCTCTGTTTTTTCGCGATGTCCAAGCTTCAAGAAGATGAAGTTTCTTATGTGATACAGTCTAACGATATCATGCCCATCGAAGCCACGTTCGCTCATCCTCAAACCCCCTTTGGCGAGCTAGGGCAGCCGCTTAATCGAGAAAAAAGCATTATTGGTCAACTTTCCGTCAAGGCTGATACAGAGTCCGCTACTACCTTAATTCCTCTTGAGGATGCATATCCCGACGGAGGGCTTCGCGCGTGGCTTGTCGTCCTCGGCTGTTTTCTGTATGCCTGCACAGTCTTGTATGTTGCTCCCTTCCCGCTTCCTGTACCCATGGCTCAAAATGTTTTGCTTGCATTCCTCTAGCGGCTGGGGTCTCAACTGGGGTGTGCTTCAGGATTATTATCACACCACAATGTTTCCCAATACCAGTTTGAGCATCCTCGGTACCATTATAGGGCTCGCAAATTTCGTGAGCCTGAAGCTCGTAGAGCGGTTATACAGTCGTGAATACTCATGGAAGTTCTAGACAATGAATGGGAGTTCGTATCTTTTCGGGGGATTAGGTGATCGTTTGTGAGTGCCAAATTCTGCCCATAGCAGGCAAGGTTAACGACGAGCCTCATGATCAGTGGCTATAAGGCTCGTGTTCTAACCTCAATTGAGTATCACGAACCCTAATGGGTTCCAACAGAAGATGATTGCCATTAGTTGTTCTCTGGCATATCTATGTTTGCTTGCTTCGGCATTCGCTACAAAAGTGTATCAGCTATTTTTGTTTCAAGGGTGTCTATTGGGTCTTTCCCAGGGGATCGGCATGCCTCTTTATTTCTCCTTATGTTCGCAGTGGTTTCTGAAAAGAAGAGGGCTGGCTACAGGCATTGCAGTCAGTGGCAGTGGTATCGGTGGTGGGATAGAGACATTGCTCATGCGCCAACTGTATATTTCTTTCCTTTCTGGTCCTGTATATCTTATTGAAATACCAATACAGGATCGTCAAAATAGGCTATAGGAATACCATGCTCACTTTCAGCTCCCTACATGCCGTGATCTGGATATTTGCGTGGTTTCTGCTAAAGGAGCGATTGCATCCAGGTTTAAATCCTACGGCCAAGAAACGTTGGCTTCCGAAGAAAATCACTGGGTCCTTCTGCAGTGTGGCTCTCAGCATGTTCTTTGGTGTGTTCGGCTACCTGGTAATCTCGAATTCTCTTATTCCATACTGAAAACTGATGAATTGTTCCGTGACTAGACCCCTTATTATCTCAGCGCAACATATACTAGACAAATGGTTACTACGCTTGATTCTAACTCCCTTCTCGTCACAGTGCCTTTGATTGTTATGAATTTCTGTCGTACGCATGAAAATATTTTCGCCCAAGCCTGATCTCAACATTTTCTTCAATGTAGTTGGCATTGGAAGAGTAAGGGATCACACAATTCCGTATTCACTCTCTCCTCCACTATTAAAACTGACCAGCTGTATTTTGTTTCAACATTTGGAACTTCATGTAGATCACGGCTGGCCGTTTAGCTGACATCTTTGGAGCGACCAACATGTTCTTTTGTTCTTTCTTTATTGGTGGTCTCCTTCAAATGGTATTCTGGACCTTTGCTCGGTCCTACGCAACGATCATGGTCTTTTCTGTCTTAAATGGCTTAATTGGCTCCTGGTTTATGAGTCTCCTGCCTGTCGTATGCGCAAAATTATTTGGTGTTGAGGGCCTCTCCACGATCACAGGATTCATGATATTGGCAAATTCACCAGGTTAGGCTTCTTTACCTCTCAAATATCTGATTCTGAATTACTTTTCCCAGGACAATTTGTAGGCACTACAATCGCGGCAGTGGTGCTTTCGTCTTCTGGTAATAACTGGACAGCGGTGTCGCTCTATTCAGGGTCTATGCAGATCATGGGCGCACTCTGCATACTATATGGTACGAGACATCATAAATCCAGCGCAGGCATGGCTGAGTTTACACGCTAAATTAATTCAGCACGGTTCAATAAAGAACGCAGCATATTTGTGAAGGTATAAAATATGTAGAAGACAAAACCCCATTTCACGGGGAACTTTCAAAATTTTCGGGATTACAAGTAGATGTCATACTAGAGAACAGTAATTAGATTACTCGATTCACTTAGGTATCCTGAAGTACGTCTCCTCAAGTTCCATCTCAAATTGATACTTCAGAGGAGGGCCCGGCTTTCTACCTGAGATGAAAAGACAAAGCCTCGATATCCGTCATCAGTAACTTCAAGGCATAAACGACCGTATTGGGCCAAATCTCCTTTGAAGTTTGTGGGTTCCGAAGTCGACCTCGAAAGCGAACGTGCATTCAGCTCGAGAATGAGGCGGCGATACTCAATCTCTGCTTCACACGTGGCCTCGATGCGAGTGAAGCACTGTTTCATCGCATGAGATACACAGCCAACGATCCAATCGCTTTGGACTTCCTGTCGACCACGGTGTTAAAAAAATTTGGGGAGCTGTAAGAAAGACGTACACTACATGTGGGACCGTTACACGCTCCCGGACTCTGAGGCCCATACATGTAGAAGAAGTTTGGAAATCCATGCACCGTCATTCCAAGATAACTATAAACGCCATTGGCCCACTTTTCTAAGATATCGGTCCCATCAGCTGCTTGGACTTTCAAATCCGTATAGGGACCGGTGAACGTATGGAAACCCGTCGCGAGCACGACAATATCGAATGTATGTTCGACCCCGTCAGCTGTTTGTATTCCAGAAGGGGTGAATCTCGATATTTCGCATTGAGTTAAGTCGACAAGGTCCACGTTTGGTTGGTTGAATACCTAGAAGATACAGAATCATCAATTCCGATCAGACTAGCAAGAAATCCAAAGGTACAAACATCGTAGTAATTAATTTCAAGACTAGGGCGTTTCGATCCGAAAGGATACGGTGGTGAAGTAGGTGCGAGTTTCTCCTGCATCACCGGGTCATGTACACGTTCGCAGATTTTGTTTCGCCAGAAGAAATAAGCCTCATCGTTGACGGCTTGATCCGAAAAAATGTCCATGTAGTTGTTGGTCACGAAGCGCCATCCACCGGCTGTCCAAAGATCTTCGAAGAACAAGAGACGTTCCTCGGGTGTGGTGGCATGAAGGCTTTTGGGATAGCGATCAAAACTAAAACCATCTCGAGAAATGAGCTTGATCAATCTTTCGCGTGATGCTCGATAGGAATCACAAACTCACTAGGAGTTTGTCTGCAGCGGCGGAACATATCAGGGAATAGTCGTTTCGACTTCTGTTGAATCTCCTTGTCCAGCTTTTGTTGTTGCATGGCCAGCGCGTAGTTCGGGGTTCGCTGGAAAACAGTCAAATGTTTTACTTCTGGACCTATAGATTGGATAACCTATAATCATAAAAATGAATTACGGATTGGATAGAAGAATAGAGAGAGATGGGCACCTGAACTCCAGAGGCACCTGTTCCTATCACAGCTACACGTTTTCCCTTCGTAACTAGTCCTTCAGGCCAGGACGCAGTGTGAATGCAGATTCCTTTAAAACTTTGAAAGTCAGCAAAGGGAGGGGTATGCGGTTTCGATGCAGCTCCAATGGCTAGGATGAAGAATCGAGGGTGTACCACAAAACCATCCTTAGTAGTGATAACCCATCGATTAAGAGTATCGTTGAATCTTGCTGATACAACTCGACTATTGAACCGTATATTCTTCTTTATGCCCAACGTCCGTTCGACGTGCTGATAGTATTCACATACTTCATCTCTACACGGGAAACGTTCTGTCCATACCCAGTCCTTCCATACTTCTTCGATCGATAATTGGTAGAAGGGAGATTCAGAGTCAACTCGGGCACCAGGGTATCTATGTCCAAGAATCAGAACTATATGTAGAGTGATTCGATTGAGTAAGGCGCTCAATTACCGAGTCCACCACCAAGCGCCTCCCAAGTCGGATTCGGCTTCAAGGATGCGGACAGAGTAACCCTGCTTGCGGTAATGATATAACTGGTGGATACCAGAGTATCCGGCACCAACGATCACGACATCTAGTTCCTCAGGAGTTTGCGTTGAGTGAGCAGTGGTTTGGGACATAGTGCGTAGGTATGTTCTCGGCGTCTTTGGTGCCTACAATGGCAATGATGGAAGAGAAACAAGCTCTAAGTGACCTTCGTGGTCGAGATATGGCGAAATTTTTATAAAAGTATGAGGAAGGAAAAGGGACGCCGTAAGTATACTTCGAAAGTATCTGGGCGAAATAAGCTCGCCCTGCGATCGCATTTGTGTGATTTAATATAATGGAGCCTCAGAATTGCACCTAGGCCTCGTGAAGGTGATAACACACAGCTATCGATCCATGTCACAAGCTTCCATTCTTTCAATCGACCCTGTCAGAAACGTTAACCTTGCTAACGGTCAACCTGCGGTCCCCCAGTCCTAGCCGGTCCTGCGTTCAACGCGTTAAGGATTTTTCAACACGGAACCGAGGTCGGGATCGTGGTGGCATTGACCGCTGGCATTAAAGAAAGTTTGATAACTTGTGCATCTTGGCCGTCGCCGACGAAGAAAGATTACACGTGCACGGGACGAAACTTTCATAGAGAAACGAGGTAGAAGTGGTTTTCTCCCGATTAGCGGCGCGAGACTTTTACTGTGACATTAAACTCCTGTCGAAGAGTTGTATGGCCCGTCATGTACATGTGTTGTTTTACAATAATATCCTATGCGGCTGAGAAATGCCGTTTCTCTATTCTGGGTCGTTGTAATCGTCAACACAGACGTCACTAGTGGCCCACCCCTCATTAAAAGGTGTACTCACACGAGTTCTCAAATCCAAACCTCCATCATTGCATGTAACTTGAGCTCCTGCAAATGGAACATTTACTAAGCCTTGGACTTGAAGAAAAGCCAAACATGAAAATAAAACATGATCAAGATACTGAATCTACACCCCACTCGAGGGCACAAGAACATCATTCCGTCTCGGAGGTGTTAACCTCTACGCTGAGCTTTCCAGCTCAGCATGATGCTGGAGAGGAACTAGTGGGAAAGCTTACGGGAGTTTTACACCAAGTGCAGCAACAACATCGGAGTAATACGGATGTTCACCGACTGAACCAGGATTTAAATTGGGTAGGAAGCGTTGTGCATACTTCAGGGAGTTCCGGGAATCACGAGTCGCCAGAGTCGCAGAGACACGAAGGGCTCGGTGAAAAGCTCATGAATGTGTTCGATTCGCACTGTGGATCGAAGCCCGTGCAGACTCAGCATACCCAACCTCCCCTGAGTCTTCCGCAGTCCAAACATCAGGGATTGCTGGACGGATTGAGCGATATATTTGAAGGAAAAGAAACTCGGAATGGACGACAGGAGGAGGAGAAAGCCGAAAGGCAGAGGCTAGAGCTAAAGGCGGATACAGCCAAGCACGCCCATCTTCCGTTGGATATATTCGAAAAACTCGGATTTGGGAATCCGCCTGAGTCAAAATATCATTCAGCACCTCCATCAAAGGCAAATGGAGAGACTCTCCTGGAGCAACTCGGCTCGAAATTACATCCATCAGGTGGGGATGTTGGAGAGCATTCACTGTCCCTGAAGGATCAAAGTTTTGCGGAGAGACTGGATTCTATGATGCACCACAGAAAGGCAGATAATTCGTCGCAGCTTAGCGGAGGGATCACCGACAAGATCCAAAGTGCGCTGGGGGGTGGAAGCGAAGCTGAAGAAAATGAAGGTCAGGAATAGCATGACCATCGTCAGTTCCGACTTCCATGTCACTGATTTTGCGCTTATGCGTTATAGACGATCTAGACAAAGGCCAGTTAACATTAAACATTATTGACTCGATTCCTCTTCAATCACTCACCATCTTCATTTATATACAGCCATTGATTTCGTACAACATCACATCCTACGTCAAGGAACTCAATCGCATGAATCGATACTCGAGCAGATGAAAGACGAGCAAATTGCCCTAACTATTCGGGCACAATACCAGAATTTGACGGGACGCGAATTTCCCTTGAAGAAGGGAGAGAAACATTGGCATTGAATGATGAGATGCAGTTGATTGCAACTTGCGGCTCTGCGAGAGCACCTGTTTGAATCTGTATATTAGATATACATATATACCAGCTTTCAAGAGATGATATAAACTTTGAATATGCCAGTGGAAACATACTTTAGTACCAACTTGTTCTGGGTAACTACAGTGGTTCTTTCGACTCAGCTCGTTCCCCATACTCCATTCGACTTGGCTTGAGTTGGTAGGTCTTATTGCATAAGAGCGTTACGTGGAAATGAAAAAGTATGTTCGGGAAACACGAGCAGATATCGATATAGTGTAAGCGATGATTGATGTATCAGGCTGACAGCCATAGCCTGAAGCTTGACAGCTGAATATTGAATCGCGAACAACGACGAGGGAATGATAAACTCAAGTACACACGGGACAGCACTGGCGCCCTTGGACCTACCCTGAACTTCGATCTGTCATACGGATCTCGTAATTTCGCCTTTTTTTTGTCACCAAGAACTGCAAAGCGGCGATTGTGCTGATGAAGATGCTAAGAATCTATCTGGCCTTCAATCTTTGTCCATGTTACAGCTTTGAGGTGCAATTAACCGAAAATCCGCTGCTCAACGCACTTGTACCCTATAAAGAGGGACTTGAAGTCCTTTCAAATCATAAACCCTAATGACTTCTAACAACTCTACACCTTTGACCTTCACCTACAAAACCTTTGAAACGGTTCCTATCAGGCTAGATGTGTATCCTCCCGCAGTGATAACGACCAGTGAAGTACCAGTCGTACTTTGGTTCCATGGCGGAGGGTTCACCTTTGCCAATCGTACTAATTTCTTCCCGAAATGGCTCCAGAGTGCGCGCTAGATCCCCTTCGATCTCTGTTTATCGCTGATAATATGTACACAGAACGTATTAATGACGCAGGCTTTGCTTTCGTCTCTGCAGATTACCGTCTCATCCCTACTGGATCCATCACTGCTCATCACATTCTTGAAGATGTGAAAGACGCTTTCGCGTTTCTACGAAGCAAAACATTTGAGGCAGCTTTAGACTCTTTGGATGTTGAAGGGAAACTCCCATTTCCAAAATTTCGCATCGACCCCAAAAGAATAGCAGCTGCGGGATCTAGTGCTGGCGGTACATGCGCCTACTTTGCAGCCACACACGTCGAACCTAAACCTGCTGCGATCCTCTCTGTTTTTGGGATGGGTGGAGATATTTTGGTACGTTGAGACTTGACTTCAGTACACCCACCGCTGAGAGTTTCTCGATTTACTTCTACCATCTAGAACGCTCAATACCTCACCCCCAAGACTGAACCTTTCTTGAGAGGACGTCCGCTGCTGGATCCTAGTCGAAGCAAGGATTATATCTATCCTCTCTCTCCATCTGTTTCGTCCGACATCTTGTCCGATTCACCTATGGCTTTCCATCCCCCTACCGCCACACTCCCTGCACTCCCGGCAAATCCTCGTATGCCTCTCGCGCTCCTCTACCTTCAACTCGGGACGTATCTCGACTACTACACCGGGGAGCATGCTCCTAGTCTGAGTGACACTTTGCGTGCAGCGCTCCCTAGCCCAAATGTTCAAAGCAACCCTGGAATGAAAAAGATTATCCTCAGAAAACACATACCCATTCAACATCACGCGATCTTTCCCCAACTCAATGTCTCTTCCTCTTGGCCTCCCGTATTCCTACTTCACGGCGCAGAAGATACAGCTGTACCTGTCACTGAATCGAAGAATATGTATGCCACGTTAAAGTGGGCGGGTGTGGAGACAAAGATCAAAATTGTCGATGGGGAGGATCATTTCTTTGACCAAACCCCCGATGCTGAGGAGAAATATGGACAGGTATTCGATGAAGCAGCCAAGTTTCTCATCGAGAAACTGTCGGCCTAACTAAGATTCGTTTAGCTTGTTGGAACCAAAGCGGACCCTAGGTTAGCATACTGCGCAAAACAGTTGTACCACCTATGATATATTACCTGGTTAGTTTCGCTAGATTCGGGGCTACGTGTACATGTATCCTTAAACTTGTATGCTGTATACTTATTTAAGTAACTTATATGGACTTGTTATTATTTTTCAAAGGCGAGTGATCGTCAAAATAATCCTGACGTAACATCTATCTTTCTTTTCAACGACGATCACAATCATGAACTACGACCTCAATACATACGTCGCTGTAACCCTAGCACCAAACTCTCCTTTCCTCGGCGCGCCTTCTTCGTTATCTACAGTCCATCCTGCTCTCACTCACGTCGGTCAAGTGGGACAATTGCACGATGTTCAGCTCGTGAGCGTGCCAAAAGAAGATTGGAGTAATATTGGAGACGATATCTTGGCTTCTCTCAAGGGATCTGAAGGAGTTTCGAGCGTCAGTGTCCAAGAACTGAGACAGCGCACGAAGAGAGGCGGTGATGAACTATAATGGAACGGAGAAGATGAAAGAGATTGGTCCGAGGGTCAGTATTTTCTCTTTCGCTCGAAGCTTCTCTTTCTTATTCAAAAGCGTTGCAGAACATCATTGAAATGTACAATCCATACTAGCAATCATGTATCATGTTGACGCGTTGTAATAATACATTCGGTCTTTGTATCACCTCGAAGTTGGTATCTCCACTGTTTTTTCGACTACCTGTGGAACGGAACTGGCGCAAATCGATAAGTGATCACTTCACTTATCATCTCTTATCATTCGATCTGCTGGGCCGTTTGGACTGCGTAATAAGCCCCAAACGCGTACTACCCGAAGATTTTAACATATCACCATAAACCACCACTTTCACTACCATATGAAGATGTGATTGTGGCGTTGTTGTGGCGAATCGGACATGAAGAGGATCCTTTTCAACCATCGCATCAGGTTGGGCCCGGCTGTTCCCTTGTGGGACCCCCTCTTTTGACGGAGGTAACTTGACATCCAATTTGTTTGCAACATAGTCCACTACTGAATTACAATATTCTACAGTCCGTTCTTTCAAAGTCACAAGCATGATATACTTGTGTATCAAGGTATCAATTATTGAAGATATAATAATAATATTCAAGAGGAAGCAGGAAAGACCTTTCTGACTCTCACTATGCTAACACTACTCCCAAGTCAAGCATCTTGACAGCACCGGGAACTACAGGGCCTCCCGCACCCAGGTTACCGCCATTCAATGTGACAAACAGCGTTGTTGTCTCGTTGCTCAATCTTCCAAATTGCGCAGCGGAAACTGACCGTAGCTCAGTGTTATTCGGACTCCCGGCAATTACAGTGACTGTTCCCGTCGAAGGGTCGATTTTCACAATCTCGTCAGATCCTATAACGGCCTGTAGAACGTTCCCGTCTGAATCGAATGTGAAATCGTCTGCCATTATTCCGCTAGCGACAACCTCAGCGTCACCGATGGGCGTTCCAGTGGCGTCAATTGGCATGCGGGCAAGGAGAGACTGGGCGGTGTTGGAGAAGTATACATATAGAGGCCCATCAGGTTCCTGGAAGACATGCACTCCATTGACACCGAGAGGAGTAGTGAAAGGGGCAGCAGGGATTGTCAATGAGTTGTTGATAGCGACGTAGTGAGCTCCCGTGTTGACATTGAGGATGCTTATTGCGCCCGCATAAGGATCCGCGACATATACCAATCCTTCCTCCAAATTCAACAATCCCATGCCATTCAAAAGCAACGCGTCAGGAAAATCTGCTACCTTATCAATGGTAGCCGCTCCGGAACTTTCGAAGCTCGTCATGTCGACGTGGAATGCGGACCAAGATCCTTCAACAGATGTGAGCGTGGCGGCTGACGCGTTCCCTGCAAGGACATAGAACTGGTCTGGCTGTACTTCTGCGATTCCAAAAAGTGTTTCGTAGCCGGAGAAAGAATGGACTAGTGTCGCCGAGGAATTGACGCTGGGATTGACCTGATACAGGTCAGGGGCGGTAATAATGGTGCAGAGGATTTGGCCGGAAGCGCGGACTGCGAGGTTCTCCATGTTAGTACCATTGGGGAAAGTGTGGACCACCTGAGGTGTAACTAATGTGGCTGCATTTGAGAGCATAAGGTGAATTCAGTGCTCTCAACGATGATGCTGACGCTTACCGCGTTTATGGGGCACAGATGCACACAGAGCGCCTGCAGCGCTGCTGATGGCTATCAAGCAGAAAGAGGCCCACATGACGAAAGATGAGAATGAAAGAGCGTAGAGAGGGATGAAACAACAACTGTTGAAAAATTTCGCACTCCAACCCTTTAAATACACTAGCCCTCGGGAGTTCCGACATCACTTCAACCTGCAGGGAGGAGAAAGTTCAGATGTTACCATATCGACTTATGGTTCAAGTCCCTAATATCGATGACTGAATACAGCCATCGATACTACGCAGAAACTAAAAATCGAAAACGGGCGAACATCAAGGTGATTTACCCGAGAACCACACTCTAATATTAGATGGGAATGGCTTCAAGTACGAGCCTTCAACAGAGACACAAACATCCGAATGGAGGATCGGCGCAACGAGAAGCTGTATACCTCGAAACGCCATACACAGACATAGGCGGGTGTTAAAACGCGCGGAACTCAGTCCAGTCCGTTTTTTGCCCTACGACGGAAGAGTAGTTCAGCACCGATATCGTATGCGCTTGATAGCTCGAGTTGACACAGGAACCTAATAGAGTCTAATCCGCCGATAATTGCCAACTGTTACCTGATTTTGTAAGTAACAGTTTTCATTCTGCTTTCATTCGGTCAGTGTTTGAAACCTGTCACAACGTCAAGAAGTCAAGTCAATATCCAATGGGCAACCATAGGCAACCCTCTACATAGATGTCTTTCAGGGATTTGACCTCCGTGACCGGTCTTTCCGTCTATGAAAGATGAGCAAAACTGGGATGATCAATGATGTCAGATGATCTACATATGCATTAGAGAAGTCGTCCTTACATATGATTTCTAACTCTAATTCTAAACACCATTCAATGTCTATTTTACTGACAAATCGGAGGACAAGCAGGTCAGTAGGGAAGTTTTCAGGTGAATTTGAAACGGTGTTTACTGACACTATTCCGAAGTTGCTCAGATAGTTCAAAATCATGAGAGCTTGATACCCATTGCTGACTTTCAGGCCCCTGAGATGGACACCTCGCGTCGTAGGTGGCATTTTTTCTTCTTTTGCTGACCGCCATGCGCCATAAATACAGTACAACAAGGTCGATGCCTGGCAGGTTAGTTTTTCGGTTGTTCCATATGCACCTACCGAGATTTCGATTTACTTCAAGCAGATGATTGTTGGGTATGTAGGTGAAAGATTCAATGAGTCCCAGTAATACCCTTCCGGTTAATCTTTCCTTTGGTTGACCGTCATTAGTTGTCATTCAAGTGCAGACAAACTCCGAGTCCGATTCCTTTTCAGGTAAGGTATTCAACTACAAGAAATACTTTCAAGCACTGTTTTCCGCCACCATAGCAACATACTTGGGAAAATGTTCGGATCTCCTCTCGAGCGGTCCTTCGGGGGCTGCCAGACCATCCCCAGAACCATCAAATACATATGGTGTGTTCTGAGTCCTGATACGGATTTCCCTTAGGAGTCAGGACCCCATAGGTAGGCCTTTGTATCAAATGAACGCCGGATAATGAATACTAAGTTTAACCCGGCCTTACTAGATACTCATTTTCAACCTTCCCCAAGCCTCAAACGATTCTTTTTGGGGAATAAACTAGAGGGGCTAAGTATAGCATTGGATGCAACGACCGTCAAAATTTCATCTTTCCTAGCGGGAAGGATAGCGAGCTTCCGATATACGATGTGTATCCCTTGGACGAATGTTGAGGCTCTGTGAATGTGTGGATGTTCTATGATATGTAAGGCTTTTGAGGAGTGTATATACTGCCAAGTATGCATGTTGTCGGATGTTGTCTTACTGGGAAAAGTTGGCTGGATGAACAAGGAATGGGTACTAGATAATGCAGGTTTGTTCCTTGCATTTTGAATTTTTACACTTGCATAGAGCTGAGAAGGCATTACGCCAGTACGTTTTTGGTACAATTGAAGGCCACCGCACTTTGTGCATGGCAAGAACTTGACTGATTTTCTTGGTACATTCAAACAGAGTAGGACAGAAGTGAAGAATTGATTTCCAAATATCGAACATTCAATGTTACTTAAGGTGCAACATGACATTGCAAAGAAACCGGAAAGAAACAGCACTGCAGGCGTAGCGCCGGAGAGTCACTTCAATCACATCACATGGCTGTCACACCGGAATGGAACTCTGTGACTATGGAACCAGTTCGAAAAAGGAAATACAGCGCTTAATTCACGACACGATGAAGGATGAGTCTTCATATGTTCAGCCTCAATACTTATAGTTCGATTATATGCAGGCAATTGTAGTCAAATTCAATAGACAGGTGGTAGTCTGCAGTCTTTTCAAGTCAAAAGTCACAGTCTGTGACCTACCGGGACCCTTTGAAATCATTGTCGTCGTGTCACGCGACCAAACCAGAACTCTACTTGGATATCGTTTCCGATGAAGAGAACCCCAAGCTCTCCCAGCTCTCCCACTCACAAAGCATCTCGTACGACAGCCTCTAAATCAAACTCTGCCAATCCGCTCCTTTGTACGCTTCCACCGACATGTAGTACGCACCCAACTGCTTTAGCAGATACTCGGGAGCTCGAGGCGCATTACGCCAAATACCATGCTTGGGTTTGCCAAGCTGCGAAACCTACTAGTGGAACCTGTGGAAATGTGTTCCCGGATGCGAGATTATTGGAGCTGCATCATACGGAATGTCACGATCCGATTGCGGCTGTGAGGAAGGAGCGGGGGGAGAAGATTGTACGTATGTATCTGCGAGGCGATTAATCACTGATCCACATCCTCTAGTTTGCCTGCTTTCTTCCTCTCACGGTTTGTCCAAAAGTATTCGCATCGCCCAAAGCACGGAGATTACATCTGATTGCTGTCCACGGATACCCAAAGGAATACTTCTTTGCTGTTGTCAACAAGGGCGTGGCTGGCTTATTGGCTAAATGGGGGGATGGCGCGGGGATGATCAGAAGGACATGGAAACCGAGGCCTAAGGAAGGAGAGCAAGTCAACAATCCAAACAAAACCGAGGATGATCAAGAAGACTCAGAAGGTACTACAGACTCGGAAGAATCGGAAGACTCGTCGGAGCCGGAAACAACGACAAAAGCTAAAACCTCCAACGGTAATCAGCCATCTAGTATGGCAATGGACATCGATGCGTTAGCTACCTCCTTCCAAACCTCCCTGTCTGTCTCCAGTGTTCCTTCTTCCATCCGATTTGGACGCGGAGCGAAACGTGGAACCAGAGGAGGTAGGGGCGCGAACTCGATAACCTCGAAGTCGCATCGATATCGATTATCAGATCCAGACGAGGAAGCTGCCATGGATGCTGCTCCCAGTCGGGGCCGGGGCGGATATCGTGGAGGAAGAGTAATGAGAGGAAGGATCAATCGTAATTAATTCACTAGGTAAACTAAGGGTAAACTTTCCAGGATTTCTGTCTTTTAGCCCTTCGACGTTTGGCTTCACGATTCATGGCTGGAAACGCAATCATCTGTATCGTAACAATTACAACCCAATTTCATTTGCATTGTTTTCTTCTGTCCAAATATACGACTAGACAGCTCGACGGCTGCTCAGAGCTGTGCGGCGGTTTTTGAGAAGAACTCTCTTTCTGATCAGTCACCCTAGATGATCGATGAACAGGAATATCGATAGTCGGTTTCACAATATTCACTAACGTATTGTATTCCAGAGGTATCTATGTCCAGTTCTCACCGCAAGAGGAAACGTTTTGGTTATTTGCCACGAGTATGCTTGCTGTTTTGCCTTCCGGGCATCCCTCACGATCAGCCAAGATTCACTCTAACCTATGTGTATGGACTTGCAACGTCAACATTAATCGTGAACCAGAAACTTTCAAAATTTAATTTCAATGACAATCTTGCCGGAACCCGGAAAGGAAAGGAAAGGAAAGAACCGGCGTCGCGTGTTATCGTCAAGCGCCTGTGCCATCTTTACCTCTATCACCATTATTCATTCTCTTCTCTCAACTCAGTGCAGATGCCAGGCGGCTCTACAAATCCTATCAGCCTGACGGGCTTCGTTGAGAAGGTGTCGGAGACTGTACATAAAGCCAAAACTCATATGCACGAGAACGCTCATGATCTTGCCCAAGTCACGAAACAGAAAGAGGAGGCCAAGTTGAATGGACCTTGTGTGGACGTGATAATCACGGTAATGTTTTGTTGTCAAGTTTCCTGCTGAGATTTCAGCCTCTTATGATATCCTTCGCAGTTTATTAGTGCCTCTGGAATACCCAAACTCGACGTTGTTGGGGCTTCAGATCCTTATTTTGTGGCCAAACTGGATGATCGGGTCTCAATGGTGTCAGGAATATGCTAAGGCTTTCACATGCATACTCAAGTAATTTCCAGATCAACCGTGAAGACTAAATCGCTCGCTCCCGAGTGGAATGAATTATGGCGAGTGAAGAACGTACCGACGACTTCGGAATTGCGAGTAGAAATTCTCGATAAGGATACCGATACTCCTCACGATGACTACATCGGGAAGTTTAAGACAACCATAGAGGCAGGAGAGAAAGAGATTGATATTCAAGGGCCGTTGTTCAGAAAGGATAGAGGGACTTTCAAGCTGAAGGTATGTTATTCATACTCCTATGTATTATCATATTCCGTCGCTGATATCCTTACGTTCATTAGATTGAGACAGCACCCTCTACCGATCCCGCTGAACCCAAATATCTTTTCGATGGTCCCATTCGCTACTCGCGCCATTTTTCACCGCTAGTTGGAAAACTTACCGATCTGGATGATGCCCGTCTTTACTCCACCTGGAAGATGTACCTTATCGATGTGCCTGTTTACTTCAAAGACGTATACCAGCACTGGAACGTCAAGTACAAGGCAGCGCAGAGTATCTTTGGGTCCGGACCCACGTCACTCGCAATTCGGGCGGGTATACATGCTGGGCACAAGATGCTGTATGCGCGCAGCACGTCTAATGGGTTTGGAGTCATCCAGTCTGTTGACGATGTGATGAGACTGTTCGAGGGTGGCAGTCTCGACCCGAAAGGCATCCTTGGAAGTGAACGAGAAGATTTGTCTCAAGAGGAACAGAGGCAACTGGAGGTTGCGGAGGAGGTCGATGCGACTGCTGCTCCTACTAAAGAGAGCCCGTTTGCTCGTCGTATCAAACCTGCTGTCTACACATACATCATCTCGGCTCAAGACGATTCTCTTCGATTTTCTGAAACGGGCGCAGCGTTTTTCGTCGACTTTGCCTCCAAGCATGCGCTACATGCCAACTGTGCTGAACAAGTCCGCTATTCCGGCGAATTTCACCTGAGACCACGAGCCAAAGACCATTCTTCCTGGTGTGGCTGGCAGGATTTCAATGACTCGATGCCTGATGATTCTGTAGATTGGGAGGTGGTGATCGACAATAATTCTGGGACGTACGCTCCAGATAAAGCAATGTTGCCTACCCTGAGGGATTTGATTGATTGCAATTTTCCTGGGTTGGATGTGGTGGCACTGGATCGGGAGGATGAGGAACTGAAGAAGAGTGTGGATGCATGTCAGGAGTATGCGTTAAAATACAGGGGAGTGAAGTCGGAGCATTTGCAACCACATCAACAGGAGGGTCATAGATCGTTGTTGAAGCCATTGGGTGCTGTTATGGGAAAGGTTGCACATCTTCAAAGAGGAAACAAGGAAGAGGCCTAGGTTATCTATCATGTATGAATGTAAATTAATCTACAGGAATACTTGTATTATAGTATATATCGCTTCCGACAACTTTGTACTATGTACAAATATCTAAATTCTTCCCCAGTGTAACACAGAGGCACCTAGTTTATAACCGGGGAGAGGTGATGAAAAAGGATGAAAAACTCTTTTTGCTGAATTCGCGGGAGAAGCCAGAAGAGCACCGCCAGTGATCATGCCATCAACGCGACTGAGACCATCAGCAATGTTGGCGGCTGAGTCGCTGGGGGCAGCGAAGACGTCCGACTTGCTGTGGTAGGGGAGACTACCCTACGTCGAGGGGTCCGATGAGTTTTCGACGCGGAAAAGCGCGGAAACGTATAAACGCCCAACGTCAACTTCCAACTACTTCCATATCTTATCTTCTTTTGAGTCAACCATCGTCGAACCACGATACAATAAACTCTGTTCTCTCCCCGAGCCATGATGCAGGAGGCGGAAGGTCCCATACAAGTTTAGTGGCTCGAAGTTTTTCAATACTCGTTTCCGTAATTCTCTCCTTCAAGTTTGTTTGGTGACTACCACGCCTCTGTCAAATGATGAATCGTATTGCCTCTGGAGGTCTTTCAAAGGTCAAGCGCCAACGTTCAAAAGCCTTCTGAGGCCGAGGTATATTCCGGAGCATCGCTGGAAAAAAATAAGCGCTGGGTATGGACAATGGGACGCTCCAGTACGTCGTCCATGCATTCATTTTCGACATATCTTCAATCACACTGAAACTTCACTTCCCGTCAGCTTCTCCGGGAATCCGCAGCATCAAAAGAATGTCCTAAATGTAACGGATTACTAGGGATTACTGCAAAAGCGACTTGAATACAATCTATCGTTAATGCTATCGCATCTACCACCAACCTTGAGAACACGCACAGCTATCGTCGCCGTTTAGACAATGATTCATGAACTTGATCCCGACGTGATCATGGTCAGACACCTTTCAGTGTCCGCGTCCGCACCCTGTCGTTGCTTACTATCGATACAAGAGTATCGGAACTTCGGAATATCCTGACTTTCTCTTGTTCGCATATCAAGAACGATATGGAACTCGGTCTCGGGGCACCTGACTCGCCCGAACCAACATAATGATATGTATGGTTTGTATAATCCATCTTGCTCTCACAAAGTTGACTAACATGCCTTAGGCCAGAATCTGTGTGCAATCTCACCACCGAGGAATACGCTTGCATCATTCGACCTCTTTGTTCTGTCTTTCTTCCTGACTCCCAGTACATCCTTATGATTTAAGCAAATTGTCAAATAATTGACATCAGTTACCATCGCGCGCCTTTTGCAGGCTGTGATAATTTCACGAGCTTCCGGAAAGGAAACACACGCTGCGATACTCTTGCCCAAGTCACGAATCAAAAGGAGGCTATGTAAGTAGGACCTTGTGTGGACTTGATAATTAATGTGATCTTACCTAAACTTGACGTTGTAGAAGTGATTGACAATAACTCGTGAATATGTGCTCTCAATGAAGTAATGCTGAGGGGATTTTGATTGACTCAAATCGTGATTTCCCGGGGTTGGATGTGGTGGCGCTGAAGTGGAAAGACGATGGGGTGAATAAGGACGTGGATGCGTGTTAGGGGTATGCATTAGAGTGTAGTGTGCCAGGAAATGCATCTACAGGGGGGCAGAGATCATTGGTGAGGTCTTTGAGTGGGAAGAGTCGCACTTCTTCAATTCCGAGGCGTATCCGTGTATACCATGTAAATGAACTGATTTACTTCGGGTATGTACTATATCTAACTTTTCCTTATAGCTACTCTAACTCCCACGTATCGTACCTCGCATTTCAATCGAGGCCAAATTCTCATACGTTCAATCTCGGTTTGTCTGGTCATCATGTACACTTTCGTTTACTGATGTCCGAAACCTTCTCGGTATTTTTGCAGGTAAAGTTTGTCTGTATGCAATTTTATTAGGAAAAATCTCAACGCAAGCACAGCATTTGTAGTTGCTAGAGATTTGTTACAGTTGCTACTGTATCTGAGTCCTGTATCAGGCCTGCTTCTTGTCGGCGGTATGACGATCTACGCACTTACGACAATGCGGACCCGGTAGAAGCTCAAGCACTCGACACTCAGTACTAGTATCCGCTCCGCGCTCATGAAACCATTACGGGTCTCAAAAATCCAGTTACTTCGGTGCGTACTCATTTAGACTTATGAAGACTGAGTTTGTTTCGGAAATTGCCTCTATTCCCATACAGTAAACAATCCATCGCACCCCGATCTCACGTGCAAGAGAGACTCCAAGAATAAACCGACCCATAAGTATAAGTATAATATTACTCAAGCTCCCCGTAACGGGAGCTCATTTTCAGTAGTAACACAGCGCTCGCCCCGTATGTTTTGCATATTGCCATTAGGATAATCCTGAATCATTCTATGTCGAGCAAGATACATGTTCTTGATGCAGGAGGTTCCCTGAAATCGTTAAATGGACAGCATAGACGAGCTGAGCTCGACCAGTAAGCGTTTGTATTTGTTACTATATATTTTTTCATCGATTGATTTGATACTAGTGACTCCTGCCTGCTCATCTGTATTGTTAGGTACAGTATGTAGGCTAAGATAACAATCAGTCGGTCAGACACGAGTAAGCCATGAGCCATCTAATGCATGCTTCCGCCAAGTCGATACCCCCCGGCATCTATACAATTCACCGCAAATCCACAAAGTCAAATTCGAATTATTCATTCATTTGGGGCTATGGTGGCCAGGGCCGTTTAAAAGCTCTGTCTTTCCTTCACTCTCTGTACAACTAGACCGACCTTTACCTCCAAAGATTTTTTGTGAAACCCTGACTGCTACTATGCCTGGTCATGTGTAAGTCCTCGACGCAGTTTTTTTTCGAGACGGACTATCAATGACTGTTCTAGGAATATGATGGACGATGTCCTCATTTCTCAACGTATGCCCAAGGCTCATCCCTAGCAATTCTTTTAGCGAACGCATAACTGACTTTTACGTAGTTCCCCCGGACATTCTCAAATCCTCCCTACGGGCGTTGGTGTCGCAAAACTCCGCTGCTCAAAAAGTGTTTGTAGAGCATGTGCGCATTCTCTTGAGAGCAAGTTTGCCTATCTACCCATCGCCTTCGGGGTTGTTCGGGGACAAACCTTGTTATGTCCAATTTTTAGCCTCGATTCGCTGTCTATTCGCAAGCAAGATGGCTATCGAGTCACTTCCTTAGTGAGTATACATTAACACATCTATCAAAGACACCGTTTCAATCAGAAATTGTAGCTTTTCCCACTTCCTGTCGTGTATACCGCTAGCGCATGCACAATGGCAGTCAAATGACAAGCTCGAGTTAGCCCTGGAGGAGGCTTGTGGGGACATTGTCCAGGCCATCCAAGCTCTCAAAGAATCACGTTCAATGCCGACAGAAGAGCTTCGAGAACGTCTCATGAGCTTGAGCAAGGCAATTAACAAGTGTGAAGCTTATTCGCTGTCTACAAACCTTCAATTTCCCTTCGTCCGTGCTCAATTACAGGTTGAAGATGCACTGCGCCTCATATTCCCTGATGTTCAATTAAATCCCCACGCCCTCGGTCATGCTCTGAAAATCAACAATAAATGGGATATCAGTCCTGATTCTGTAACGTACGCCAAACTGGAACACATTGACCTCGGTCCCTTGAAAGTTCCTCGAATTTTCAACGGACTATGGCAGCTGTCTTCACCGGCCTGGGGCGCAGCATCGCTTTACAAACAGCATATGAATTTTGAACAGCTTGTACGCGTAGGATTTGTGGCAACGGATATGGCAGACCATTATGTGAGTTGCGTTTATCTACGGGACCAAAAATGATGCATGACCTTTCAATGAATATGAGGGAGACGCAGAACTTGTATATGGGGCTTTCCGCAATCAACTACCTCCGGAGATCGGTGACAAGATTATTGCTTGCTCGAAATGGTGCGTTTTTGGGCTACCAGTCAAGCCCGTAACACCAGAGTTTGTATTGGAGGCTGTTGTAGAACGATCGAGGCGACTCGGAGGTCGAGTGGAACTGTTGCAGGTAAGGGCATATTTTTCAACAGTACAGGTTGTGTTGAAGCATGTTATTTTCTAGTTTCATTGGTATGATGTTAGTAATTGACACGCTCTCAGTTGATTGAAGAATGGGACTCCTGACGTCGTTAACAGTATAACGCCAAAGACTATCTACAAATACTGGTTGAACTGGTCAAAATCACAAAGAGTCATCCGCACCTAGTCACTGCCATTGGTCTTTGCAACTTTGACTCACAACATACAGAGGAGGCATGTCAATTTCTTCTGCAAGAAACTGGCGAGGTTGGAATCGTGTCCAATCAAATTCAGGTCAGCTACTGTCTCAAAACTTTACCAGGTGTTTTACGCGTAGTGCTTGACACATACAGTACTCCCTCGTTGACAGTCGTCCTACCATGAAAATGGAGGCAGTTTGCCTAAAGTACGGAGTCAAATTGCTCACTTATGGCTCGTTTGTGAGTATCATCCCCTGTCTGGTATGCGTTTGATTGTCTAAGAGTGAATCACCAGTGCGGAGGTTTCCTGTCCGAGAAGTGGTTGAATGTTGATGCTCCAAACATATACTCTGAGGAAGCACAGCTGACTCCTTCTCAACGAAAGGTAGATCAACTCTGCGCTATTGCCGTACAATTGAATAGCTTTCGTTTCCCAGTATTTTGATATGATCAACAATTGGGGATCATGGGGGGAGCTTCAAACGTTACTTCATGTGCTGAAACGAATCGCTATCAAGCACGACGTCGATTTGGCTAATGTAGCAGCCCGTTGGGTTCTGAACAGACCGGCTGTGGGAGCTGTCATTGTAGGCACTAGAGCCGGTATCTCGGACAACTCAGAATCCAACCTGAAGGTGTTCTCGTTGATTCTGGATGCAGAAGACACGGATCAACTTGATGAATATACATTGAGGACAAATCGCACTCAGATGCTTTATAGAAAGATTGGTGATTGCGGGAGCGAATATCGATAAGGCGATGTTTGGAAACGATCCACTATAGAAGTTACTGGTAGTGCTACTTCATATAACATTAACATTAGGGATATTCACCTCGAAGTATAAATGCTAGTTCGAGCTGGTTAGTGCGGTACATTACTTACAGATCTAATCAATAGAATGGATACGTCCTGGATACGTCAGACGTGATAGCGGACCTAGGGTTTAAGATGCACGAACGTAACCATCTGTATGTACAGAACATGGAAAAATCATCCTGTTATGGCAAAAGACTATCCATACATAACAGACAGACGTACATATCGAAACATCATCGTGATACAATTTAGTTGCAGTGCTCAATTTCGTCGCCCTTAGATCTTGGGAAATTGCAGCTCCATCTCCTTCACAGCCAACTCAATTTCCTTAGGAAGGCTGTCATACAAACTCTCCGTTTCAGTGTGTTCTGCAGACCATCCAAGCTCCTTCGTCAATCGCTCAGCGCGACAGAATTGGCTGGATCCGAAGATATTGTAACCAACTTTGTAAGTTTTTGTCAAATACATGAGCCTAGTGGTTCATAGTAGTTCGCAAGTCAAAAAATGTACTCACAAGGTCCCGCCTTATCTGCAATTGACGCAGAGAATGGGGAAGAACCGGTTTTAGAGATCAGACCCTGCTTGTAGAGAGTCTAGTAAATGTCAGAAAAGTAGAAAGCGAAGTGAGTAGATGTTATTACATCAGAAGAGATGCAACTTACATCTCCAACAATGTTGCTGAACTCCATCATTGACAACATGTACTTTGAAAGAACAAAGTCTGGAAACAGGTGGAGAGTTAGATGTCATTCGTAGCACACTATTCTATTCGGTTGTGCCCCATGCCAGGTGAGTCAATGGAGGGGACAAATTCGAACTCACAGAATCCCTCCTTCCCTTCCCCGATCTTCTCACCCACCTTCCCACCGTTCAAAGCACCTTTGAGTACTGCTGATACAGCACTCGCTACGTCCTTGAGATGAATTAGTCCTGCGATGTTGCGTCCTGGGCCAAAAGAACCTATATATGGATCCCAAAGTTAGGATGACCAATCAGGCGTAATCTATCTCTATTGAAGGAACTGAAAGCTGACCGGAATGCCCTGCCTGGGCCGCAAGATTCAGGTAAAAACGGTGAGGAAGAGATATTTTTTGTATGCCTGGTCCGATACCTGATGCATGATGCATGATGTCCCGCCATGGTCGAAGTATGTATAAAATCAAATCTATATTTCTCACCGTAGATTAACCCAGGGAAAACAATCATCGTACGTATCTCCTCGTTCTTCCCAGCATCAACAATCGCTTCGCACGCATTTGTCAGTAGCTTAGTCTTGATATTTTCCAGATCGAATTCTGTATCCACCCAAAGCCGATCTGGAACGATAAGTTCACCTCGAGCATTATCGCCCATGATACCAGTACCAGACATGTGGATGTAGATTGGCGGAACAGTAGGTGTATACGATCGGCTTCGCTGTTGAAGACCTCGTATAATGGCTTTCGCCAAAATGGATTGTCATTATTAGATTGAAACACGTTGTGGAAGGCGCTCACCATTTACGCTGTCCGTGTCGCCTGCAGCTGCAACGTTGATGACAATGTCCGCGTTTTGTGCTTCTGCCTCAATTACATTATGATCACTTAGAGAGCCTTCTACCACTTCAAGCTTCGAGTGCAAAGCTTGCAGTTGTGTCAATTTTGGAGGTGTTATATTCCTCGCAAGCGCGCGTATAGGGAACGATGGAAAGTCATGAGCGAGAGAAACAAGTACTTGGCCTCCAACGTAACCGGTTGCACCGAGGAGAAAGATCGATCTGAGGTTGGATGATTGAAGTTCAGTGGTCATTTTGGTGAGAATTTGAGTCTGAGAGTGGTGGAAACAAAAAAATTCTAATCCAGTTGTGGCCTATGTATGTATACTTTTTGCCGATTGAATTTTCCGGCAATTCCAGAATCCAGAATCCAGAATGACGTTTTCTGTCGGCTTCCTCATCAACCAGTACCTTTTCAGATTCTTCACCATGCATTTATTGCATTTAACCGATGTTCATTCTCAACTACCGCTACGCAGTACCAGGCGCTATCGCTCTTATTTCTTCTGCTTACTATAGCTACCAGCTCACCATGCCTTCTATCTCGAAAATTCGTCAGACAAACGCTGCTGCCCTTTCGGCGAAGCAGTATATTCCTACAGTGGTGTTCGTTGGAGGAACATCCGGAATTGGAGAAGGAATGGCAGAGGCTTTCGCTAAACACACCCAAGGGAATGCTCATATCATCCTCGTCGGTCGAAATCGTGCCGCGGCAGAGAGCATCATTTCACGCTTCCCCAAGCCAACCTCGCCCGACGCCAAACACGAGTTTGTACAATGCGATATCGCTCTCATGCGGAATATCCGCAATGCATCTGCAGAAATTCACTCCAAGCTCCCAAAACTCAACTATCTCGCGATGAGTCCCGGCTTCATGACTACCAGTGGCAGGAACGAGACCGAGGAAGGGATAGATAGGAAATTGGCGGTCCATTATTATTCGCGTTGGATGTTCACAAAGGAGCTTATCAGCCTACTTGAGAAAGCCCAGGAACAGGGAGAAGACGCCAAAGTATTCACTGTCCTTGCCGCAGGAGCTGGTGGACCTATCGACGTGAACGATCTCGGGTTGAAGAAAACTTATTCACTCAAGAATGCTGCTTTGCAAGCACCGACGTATAACGATCTTATGACCGAGGTACGCTTTCTTGCTCGACGACTTTTCTCGATTGACACCGCTGGACAGGAATTCGCTGCTCGTCATCCCACTATCACGTTTGCCCATGCGATTCCCGGTGCTGTCCGCACAAATCTGTTTTCAGCCGCAGAGGTCTCAACTTTCACTAAGAAGGCCATGGGATTTTCCATGACCATGTTCGGCTTTCTGTTAACGTCCATAGAGGATTGTGGAGAGTACATGCTCAATGGTATGCTGAACGTAGCGAGCGCTCCTGGAGCATGGAGGATTGATTCGCACGGCGAAGATCTCGCTAAGAGACGCTATTATGGCTCTGAGGAAGAGAGAAAAAAACTCTGGGAGCATACTGTCGAGGCTACGAGGGAAAAAGCTTAGAGGTGTGACTCGACTTGCTCTTCTCTGATTTACATGTCTGATCAAGTTACCCAGTCCACCATTTACTACTCAGAATACTATCGTATCTAAGTAATTCAAGTAATGCGAATAATACACTACAGACGTTCTTGACTCAATCGACCGTGACTGCGTTCAAGCTGCTGATCACGGAGTCAGTATAATCTACTGTAGTTGAGCCGTCGTAGGTATAGCAGTCCGCAGAGGCTGTTCCTATAGTATGTGCCCTTCGTCAACATCGGATCGAAGTCAAAAGAACACGATTGTGAACACACCAGCACCGTCATAACCGGATTCGCAATACGAAAAACCATCCCCGGTTGCATTTGCTTGACTGTCTCCCGGTGAGTTGAAACGACTCATAAGAAAGTAATTTATCACTTACGCCGCACATTCCTTGTTCCAGGCATCACAGAACACACTCAAAGTCTACAAGATGAATAATACAATGTACCTGTCAGTACACACACTTCAGGTGGATTGAATGTGAACTCACGTAAATTTCTCGACGAAGGTCAACAGCCGAGATGGAGGAGACGAAAAGAGAAACAGCGAAAGCGGTTATGGTAAAGAATCTCATAGCGGAACGGGAGAGTAGATGGAGATGGTGCGTCTACGTTGTATCCGACCTCTTCTTATGTACTAATGGAACACGGCGATGTCTAGCCGCACGGAAAACATTCACCGCAGACAAACCATGTCAAATGACCAAGGGAGCACTGAGGCGGCTAGACTATGCAAGTAGTGACCGCGAAACGGGTAGGAGGATCAAGCGGATGTTCATCCTAAGTATTTCCGTTCGCTCAGACGTGCCTATAAATAAAATGCGTCAGCTTCTTACTCCTTACAGTTGCTTTGCGGACTGGGAATTTAGCTTTCACGTTCTTGCTCTCATATTGGGTTGAAAGAGGTTGAAAGAGTGTCGTAACGACATCCGGATGACGGTGACGCCGAAGAGCTGTTCAATGGTAGAAGCAGCGGAACCGCGTTTTTTGCACGTCTTCAGAAAAAGAAACGCTATTTTTCACTTACCTTTCCTTCGTTTCGCCACTGAGCGTCAATAATTGACGTCGAACCTGGTTCTCAGTAATGAAATTAACAGGTTACTGCTTTCTTGGTTTCCACTATTCAACTCAGCCTTACCCCGCGTGGACGATATGAACAGCTCTCAAAGATCCATAGCTTTAAATCAATTTCAACTGCATATTCCTCACTGTTAGGATCCAGGAGTTCTGTCCATTTGAGCGCCCGGAATAGGCGCTCGTTTTTATATCAAAGGTCTTGGTCGCCAGGTAAGTTGAACATATCCAAGCTCATGTTGATCAAAATATCCCAGCGTGGAAACTTCTGGACATGTCGAGCTTCGCGGTTACCAATTTGAGCGCCGATGAACACGAAGAGGATGAAATTCAAAAATGCTAGTAGTACACCTGCAGTATAGTACACGCCCGAGCCAGATGTACTGCGTCAACGTATTGGCTGCACGACCTTTTGTTTAAAGAAGAATTCAGACATAGTCATCTTTGGAGGAGGAATGCAATGGTAGGCTTTTGATTCTTGACGCAGCCCCCTTATTGCCACAAAGCGGTGTCTCCTTTGTTCTCTTAGAGATTTTAGGGATTTGCATTCCCTGACTCGACGTTCGATTTGAATGCTGTTGAAGGATGTGTTTTGAGTAATGGTGTGTGGGCGTGGGCGGCTCGTTGTGAGGCAATCTAATATTTTAGTTAATAGGTGTGCCACATTTATCGATTACCCTTTCGGAAGCGCTCACCTATTTGTCCTAGATTCTTCTCTAATGACTCGGTTTAAAAGTCCGCTGGCTACAGGATATAAGAACTACAAAGGATTTGGTTTCTATCTCATCCAAGATATTCAAGAATGGCGTCCTCCAAACTCGGCTCTGCAGTAAACAATCGCGACAAAAAGTCGAAAAGTTCAAGCAAGACCGAGATCGAGACGCTCCAGCTAGGCGTCTTCCGGGTTTTGCTTGAGAAACGAGTGTCGTCTTTCTTTGCTCCTGACTTCGCAGAGAGTGTGGAAGCGTGGCGTACAGGGCTCAATGTCCTCAAACGACTTGTTGAGGACGTCATCAAACTTGCGCCCGTGATGCTTTCTATCATGGCTTTTGCAAAGGTATGGGACTCGCTTGAAGAAGTCGTACTTCTGGGTCTGGAAACCCGAATGCTTCAAATCGTACGCACTGACATTTTATGGCGCCGAGTTCGACGATGTTCATGATTTTTTTGAATCGTTTATAGATTGAAATTGGGCTTAGTTCAAAAGATGGAATAGAGGGTCAAGCTCTGATCATGGCGGTTGTGGCGAGGATGGTTATTGTGATGTTCTCCTCTCTGATAGATCATTGGAGGTAAATATATTTTAGTCAAGTAAAATCTCGCATAACTATACTGAATTGTATCATACTTAGTCGGGACATGGAATCACGGGCCAAGACTAGAGTGTTGCATCACTACGACGACTTCCTCCTCGTTGGTTAGTTTTGTGCCTTCATAGTGCGCACAAGGAGCTAACAAAATTGTATATTCAGCCAGATTCCGTATGGACCTTCGCACAATACAAGGCTTGTTCTGCCGTATATCGTTTCCTTCTTGCACTGACACTCAATAGATAATCGAACTGATGATCACCTCAACGCGACAATACCATGGAATGCTTTCAGCGCATTGCTCGGGCTGGGTACGAAACTCTTTGCAGTAGCCAGCCAGCTTGGGTTCATGTTCCACATTGTCCGATCTGGAAACCATGGGATAATATTCGCCACATTATGCCTCATAAAGCCTGTGATTGGAGCTTTTTCTTCACGAAATATGTGGTCAATGCGTTCGTGGTGGATTTGCCTTTTTATCTTGTGGCACTACTGACGACCTGTATGTAGGTCGCGTTGTCGAGGCCACCAATCCTGATTTTCTCAGAATGAAATCACTCAAAAGCCTGGAGTCGAAAGAGTTCAGATCAGATATTTTAAGTGGCAACTTGATTCAGTACATCATCACCGGTATGCTTATCCGCTCTTTCGTGGGCTACAGGAAAACTTATGCTTACTTGTAGAGTTTCGAAATGCTCGAAGAAGCCTAGGAGAGATATCCATGGAATCACCCGAAATGCAATATTACACAAAAGGCACGGTGATTGCAGGTTTAATCGCAGGTTTTGTTGGAGATTTTCCTCTAGTGTGTATGCCGAATGTGTGAGCTTGATGATTCTCTGACCATTTTTCAAGATGTATTATGTTGCTATCTCCTTGCTTCAACCCTCCTCCATGAGCCTGTCCACCATTGCTTCTTTACAGCAATCAGCCATTCTACTACGATGGCTTTTCTGGAATGTCTTCTACCAAGCAAACGAACTACGCCAATACACCAGCCGCACGCAACACCTTTACGATCTAGAGAAAACACTCCCCGTGATCAAGGAAGGTGATATTTCGTACCCGCCCGAGAAGCATTCAGGCAAAGGTATGGCTCTTGAACTGAAGTGAGTAGTAACGTCGTCGCTCAGAGCCTGCGATTAACAGTCCTTGTCACAGGGATGTTTCATTTTCATATCCCGGAAGTAAGGAAGATAAGAAAGCTCTGAGTGATGTTTCATTCCGAATTGAGCCTGGGGAACTCGTCGTGATTGTTGGTGCTAATGGAAGCGGCAAATCGACGTTCGTCAAACTCTTGACTCGCTTGTACGACGTAGATGTTGGGACTGTGTTTGTTGATGATGAAGACATACGTCGGTACAAAATCCATGACCTCCGAAAATCCATCGCCACTCTCACGCAGGAGCATTTGCTTTTCCCTCTCTCGATCGAGGAGAACATCGGGCTCGGTTACCCGGAAGCTATGACAAATGTCGACTTAATCAACAAGGCAGCACAAATGGGAGGAGCGGAAGAGATATTGGATCAACTCAACAACGGAGCGAAAACTATACTGGATCCTTTCTCAATCCAGTACGGTTCTCGAGTGGAAGAAAATGAGGGGACAGAATTGTCTGCAGCGTTGAAACAGCTCAAGAAAAAAGTAGAAGTGTCTGGTCTGTTCGTTTCAAATTTACTTTTTTCTGTTGCTGAAACTTGGATATAGGAGGAGAGCGACAGCGTCTAGTGGCGTACGTACTTTTCAATCTATGTTCACCTTTGCTAATGTCTCTGTGCAGCTCCCGAACATTCATGCGCTTCAACTCCGAAGATATAAAGTTTGTAGCTGTCGATGAGCCAAGTTCAGCGCTTGATCCAGAGGGAGAGTTACAACTCTTCAACAATCTGAGGGAAGCAAGGGACGGCAAGACCATGATTTTTGTCACCCACAGATTTGGACACTTGACGAAATATGCAGACAAGATACTGTGAGACAAGACGTTTATTCTGCTAGAATTGGATTTGACCGAAGTTTTTCATTAGGTGTATGAAAGATGGAAAGGTGGCCGAGTATGGCTCGCATGCCGAGCTTCTTGCTAAGAAGGGAGAATACCACAAGATGTACAAGATTCAAGCCCAGGCTTTTGAAAGTTTGCTGTGACTCAGAGTTAATCAACACTCCTCGAGGATGAATTGGAGATACAATATGTACATTCCCTTGATGGATATGTAGATTTTGCTTTACCAGAATTACCTAGTCAATGCTTATACAATTAGCATATAACACATACAGTACATGAGATGATGAGCAATTTTCTAAACTGTCAATTCAGGCTTTTTCTGATCGGCATGTTCAGTACTAGACGCATTCTCCGTCCAAGATGTCTCGTAAGTAGAAGCCCTAGCATCCGATTCTATCTCCGTACGCACATCAACGCTCACAGGTCCGAATGGAACTGCCTACACGTAGAAATCAGCGGATCAGACAGGGCGCATAACAGTGATACGTGAGACGCTTGCCGCAAACGCGCCCAAGGCAAAAACACCTGTCGAATCCACTTCAGAGCGAGACATATTACGCAGCTTCACCCGCGAGTTCATGCTGAAACATAAACATCACCGATATATACCCCGACTTGTCACGAGTGTTAAACGTACTTGGCGAGCATCGCATTGGAGAATACTGCATTCTGATATTAAAGATAGATGACAAGGACGAACGAACTTTGTACCTTTGGGAAGTAACATCAGGAGGGCCAGCCAAGCATCTTCCGTTCAGTTCATCGGTCAGTAAGCTTCGGTAAAGAAATGTGTGAAGCTCACAAGTATTCTTCAGGGTCAAGTACTATTATACCTACCCTCTATCAGCGATGTAGATTATGAAGACGGGCTTTTACTTACGAAGATGATGGACAAAATTCCGAGCATGCTAATATCGGTGTTGGCGAATGATGGAAAGGACTGTAAGTCAGCCTAAACTAACCTGGTAACAATACCCGTTTCTGAAACCGATTCGTCAGTAGATGGCAAAACAGGTGGTTGTAAACTTTGACCTATTGACCATAGAATCAATTTATCCACAATGGCAACCGTACTAGAGTGAAAAAGAAGAGGAAGTTGGTTAGCAAAGATAAATTCGGTTTGAGAGTGTATATCAAGGTCCTTACGATCTGTACGCTCCATCTCGGCTATGCACCAGATGATAAACAAGACTGCCAGAGATCAACACATCCGCAATTGCCCGCAAGATGAGAACGGTGAACATTAACCACTCCCATTTATCCATGAAGTCTCTGAGACTCTTGGTGGCGACTGTAATGAGCTGAGCACTGAGCGTGTAGACAGCCAACACTTGACAAAACATCAGGATACCGCTCAAAGTAGGAATAATGTGAGGTTTCCCGGTGAAAAGAGCGATGCGATAAGTGAAAAACCCCTGCACTATCCCGCGAGTCGCATTAATTGGTTCAAGTAAACTGAGAATAAATAACCCACCAATGAGGAGGACGAGACCATGTAGAACGACGGCGGCGCCGACTGATACGGGAAGGACTCCGATCACGTCTGTGTCACCAAAGTGGGTAACAGTGTAGAAGTAAATCGCATGAAATACGCATATTGTGTGGCCGAGTTCGATCACCCTGAAAATAGACAATTACTCTTGGAATCGTTGGAGATAGGCGTATATTTGACGCACCACATGAGGTCCACCTACACCAGAGAGACTGCATCAACGACCACGATTCATCTTATTGACTAACCACGTACCATCCCATGTTTAATCCATATCGACTCATGTGGAAAGCTCTGGTGGTGAATGTAGACTTGCGCCGTGATGACTCCAAAGAGAACTCCTGTTATCAGTATGCCGATTTCCAAAGCACCTAGCAAGGCGGAATAATATCAACACTCTTCGAAATCCTCGGTTGAAGTTTGAAACATTACCTAGAGTGGCATCATAGGCCATCTCAAGCCTAGAGGTAGCCCACTACTTGAAAGGTTGAGGGAGGCTGGACTGGTGGACTTGGACGGTGTAGGAAATCAAATGAAAATCAGGGTGGTCTTGTACCGGTCTGCATCGCGTTTAATAGTATAGTGTAATACAGATATACGGCCGAATGGGGCGTTTGATCTCGGCCAAGCGCAGAACTCTAAAAACGGTATTGTATGTACACATACAGTGATTTGGGTTCTATGATATTACCAAAAAAAACCCATGTCAGAGTCATTCAAACAGTGAAAACGGAGTGAAAATGAATTCCGTACTCATAGATATTTGAATCCGCCTTCAAGCTAAACGAAGTCAACCGGTGTCCGAAGTCGGCGTCGTATTTTCTGAATGTCTCGTATCCGGCAAATTTGGTATATGTACACAGATGGAGGCGAAGAAGTATGTCCATACGGGTTTTGATTTGTCATAGTTTTCAAAAAGTGTCAAGTGTATGTAGCATGTTCTGAGAACTTCTGATGTTGATACCCTTAGGCCTTCGATTTTGACAAAGTACACGGTGTGATGTCACCAGGAAGGCAGTTGTATATTGAATCGGCGTTGAGCAACCGTCAATCTTGTTGTGGAGGTACCGGTAGATACACACGCAACAAGCTACACATCACACGCCGCAATGTTCAGTATCAGGCTATCCCGATTGAACAGCTATGCTCACGATGATTATGGCCCGCTGAGGATGTACATCCTCAAGTCGGCACCGTCGTTGAGCCAGACCGTCCTCAATATTAGCGCACAGACGAAGGGAACGGAGTGTCCACGCAGATGTGATGTTTAGAGGAAACTCAGAACGGGACCGGGTTGATCTGTTTCCTTCTATTTCTGACGCAGATCAAGCAAAGGTAAAAGGGAACGGATTGAACTGAGACTAAGCTGTACTTACATCATCGCGGAAAGTTTTTGAGTTGACAATGGGAGTGCGCCCAGAGAGATAATCATAAGCTGATCATAAGTAAATTCAGCTCGGCCTGTGATGAGCGAAGAACCTTCAGCATAATTCATCAGTGTTAGCACCGAGAGGACTGCGTACCTCGGTGTAAAGCCAAACTCCCAAACATATTTTATACGATGATTTCCACGGGCAAAAATCTTACTAAAACTGTAGCCATAGACATTGAACCAGCCTGAGAGAGGATCGACGAAAGAAGAATGTCGGTAAAATGGTTACTTTTTTATCCAGGGCTGCTTATGCTTCATGAATGCGAAGGAAAACCCGAGAGTTTTCCGCATCAGTAATTTCTTAGTCATACATTCTCGAGACTCGCGCAGTTGAACCCGGATACAGAATTGCTTATGTCGAAGGCGTCTAGCTCCTTTTGTGTAGCTCCCACTACTAAGGCTCAAGCGCCTTGCGGATATCATCCCTCAATACCAAATGTATCCCTCCAATTATCCAAGAAGAAATAAGAACCGATTTTCCAGTGTATACATAAGTCACTTAATATTAATTCTGCAGGTACTCATCGATAATCTGCTTTACACGCGGATCGACTCCTTTCAAGATGTCCAGCTGTTGATTCTGCAAGAAACGAGGAGGAGATCTAATGAAACACTTGCGGCTGAGGGAATAACTACTTGAACTTACCCAATATTTCTCTTCTAGTGCTTGTCCTTCCTCGCTGATAGAAAAGTCGCTCGGTTCCACGACTTTGCCGAACGAGACATACCCCCCTTTGAGCTTTTCCTCCGAACCAGATCCACCGACCGCAGCCCAGACAAGCTGACGGCCACCTTCCTCAGTCGAAAGTGCGACAAGCATTTCCATTAAATGGTCGATAAAGGCTCTCGCTCCTGAGAGACTCGAGCGGAATCCGCTGTAACAATATCCAGGATTAACAGCGTCGATGATTATAGAGGGATATTTTGCAAGACGGGCTTGAAGCGCACGCACGAAGAAGACGTTGAGCACTGGACTCAGCGTCAATCGCTTTCCTTCAAAGATGCCTCGTATACGCACGTTTAGTGTCAAAATAGTGGCTGTTCAAAGGTCTGCAAAATATTTGACGTTAGTACAGAGCGCACAGAACGCAGTCCCCATTCCCTATTCTACTTACGTCTGATTATGATATTCAAGACTCGACAGCGCGTCAATTATGTTGGACTGGTCCGCAAACTTTTTGTTCTTCTTGCCCATAGCCCTGTAGTGAACGTCGCTAGAGACCTGAACGATCCTTGGTTTGGTCTTGTGCTCCTCCGCGGTTTTTATCATGTAAGGGAGAAGTAGAAGCGTATGGAGAGATGGGGATATGACATTGGTTTGGAGGCTATTGAAAATGAGGTCTTGAGGGCTGAGAGCCGTTCCATAGAAAAAGCTCACATAGAGACGTATCCATCTTCCGTTTTTTCATATGAAGTTGAACCGATTATACCAGCATTTTCTACCAATATATCGAGACGCCCGCCTTCACGTTCGAATCGATCTGCAAATTCACGCACGGAAGCGAAGCGGGTGAGATCAAGAGTCCAAATTTCCGCTTTAGTATAGCCTGTGTCTTGTGAGAGCTCTATAGCAGGATTTAAGGAATGATTAAGGAGGCCAACAAACGATTTGGAGTACCGTTACTTACTGGAAAGAGCAGCCTTGCCCTTCTCCTCGCTCCGGCATGCTATAATCAAGCGACCAGGATTCATAGTCGCAAAATGTTTGGCAGCCTCAAAGCCGAGACCAGCATTTCCGCCAGTGATGATGACAGTCTTGCCAGTCAGGTCGACTTTCTCAACTGGTTTGATTGTCTGCCACTGCTCGCTAATAAAGCGCCACAAGGTGAGACGGCCCATTTTGAGAATTTGGATGTCATTACTCCTTGAAATATTTATATACACCCCATCATGGTCTGAGAACCAGATGCCGACAAGCTGACGTCGAACGCGCGGCGCGTCATGATAGAGGTCTCGATGAAGAGAACTAATAGCGGTCCTTGAATCGGCCCGGATTTGCCTTCTTTTATCACCTGTTTGTTTCTCACGAAGGCGTGAACTTCGTTTAGTCTTCGAGACGGTTAGCCAAGTTCGTTGAATTTCTTGGTCAAATTATTCACAATGAGAGGCCAGCCAGTTAGAATTGACCGAGGATGCGAGAGGTGCTACCAACGTGTGTGTAATTCTCCCTCTTATAACGATTCTGATGCCTGATTCTGCATTCTATAGTATGATAGCGCTACTTCGTATGGACGAGTTACCCATTCATATCATTGAAGCCTGAAGCAAAGGATTTCACGAATGCATGCATCTCTCCGAGACGCGGGTGTGCTATTGCAAGACCCGCACCAGCAGATTGGCCACGCAGTTCCGTGATACACTTCAACTCGTCGTCGACAATGAAAGTCAAGAAGGAAGACCACTCGTGTCAACCGATTCTACTTGCATCAGCGTAATAGCTGTCCGAGATGTTACATATCATGTAAGTGTCTCCAGTATTTATCAGAAAGTCTTCAACAGCATGTACTCGATTGCCTTCATTTTTTTGTTTTCATAACTTCTAAACGATTGGGAGGAACCGGATTCTGACGCATTGATTTAGGCGGCTTTGGACACCCAAGCTTGATGCATCGATGAACTACAACAATCGTAGATCGTTGGGATATGGTCGCTCGCAAGCGCGCGTTCGGTACAAAAGGAATGCAAATACTCCAATCACACCATCTATGTTCTGATAGTCCCCATTCTACGTCAAGAATGACAACTCTTGATCTATACGAACGACTAGTCGTGATTCAAATCAAATAGATCCACCATCCCCTAGTCTTCAATCATTCTGGACCGTGCTATTCGATCCGACCACAGCAATACGCAAAAGATACTCACTGTCGAATCAGAAGATGATTGAGTGATACAATCTGGGGCTACAGCCTACAGGCTATCACAGGACTAGGCTAACGGTCTTTCGGTTAATCAAACTTGTTTACAGTTGTCTACCCAGGTCTACCCGAATCTGCCCCGCATATGAGCGTATATGCCTCATCCTCAGGTTTCCTCCTCCTCGACTATTTTTAGGCCTAGACTGTATGGTCGAGGCCCGATCGAGGCTGATAACATATCGGTCCCCGGAAAGCCACGAATCGCATCACAAGGTCGTTCGATGGGTCACTCGATGGGCGCGTATATAAGGAAGGCCCTCTATAGAGGATGCGCTACTGTAAAGCACTCCAATTCTATCTACTCACACTATATAACACAGTGAATCTATAATCAAATATGAGTATGTCCTCCTGATCTATTCCTTGTATATTTTGTCAAGCTTTTTGCTAACCGTCCCTCATTATCCCCACTTAGGCACCTTTGAAGAACAAGCTTCCGCCGTCTTCGACGTCCTCGAAACCAAAGCGGACGTCCTTGTGTCGGATCGAGCTACTGGAAATGAGCTCTATAAAGTGGAGAGGATTCCGCATCACGGGAAAATGATTTTTCATCGGGCGGGGGATCAGAGCAGTGAACCCCTCGCAGTGTTCCAGCACCACCCGATTGTACCTGATACGATCACATTTGCTGGGGGAAAGAGTATGCACTTGAGCCATTGGATGATTGTGCAAGTGACTGCTTTGGCGTACGTTCCTTCTGTTCTCCCCGAAATGAGCACTCGCTGAGTTACCTTCTTGTTTTGATTTAGTGCGACATTCGAAGAGAAAGGGCAGAAGTACACTTGGATGAAGTACGACAATGGGCCGTTCACGGTATGTTTCAAGAATATATGCTAATATACTTCGCAATTGCTGAATACAACATTCTCCGTAGCTCCTCGCCGAATCGAACCAGAAACGTATAGCGTCCTTCGAAGGGAAACGACATGTGCAGACACCCTCAGAAGGATCTTCTAAGGCTGCATTACCGCACATCATCATGCTTCCAGAGGCCGAGGAGATCAAGGATGCAGTAGTGATCTCAGCCTTGATTCTCGAGCACGATAAACATTGGACGAGGAACAACGATGAGTCGATATTCATCTACAACATATTGTAGTTTCAAGATAACGATTATACTATGTATGTTATGTATGTTTCATAATGCAAAGGAACCCATTTCCAACCAATCGATTCGGCTTGTACAACAGTCCCTGTCAGGCCCAAGTAGATTTCTCCTTTCCTTCCAGCAATCCTTCGATATAGATGAACGTCACAAAAATTTCGTCTACCATATGTAGACCCGGAGGGAAGATCTCGAGGCGCGCGCGATTCTTTTTCGAATTAAACAGCACGAGAGGGTGGAATGTTGCTATGCGAGTCTTAAGGGCATCATACGAGACCAACTGCAATCGAGAGGTGACGTTTAGCATTTGATTGGGTCGAAGGAAGCGGCAATACATTACCTCGGAGTGTCCACTACTCAAACGCCATTGGTACTCTTTTCCGTCTTCGGCCGTGAAAACACGATGTCTAACGGAGTTCACTGCTCATCAACAGACCAAATCAGCAAGGAAAGAAGAGCAGACTCGCCGACCCCCAGATCCCCATCCTTTCTTTCTAAGAAAGTCCTTTACCAACACTTCTCTTCCGCTGTGCTGACCCCACCCGAATCGTATCTTTGAGCTTTCAAGTATCTTCCATTCAATTTGAGCAATGTATTCAAAAGTGCTCCGGTCTCCATCGGCCTCGTGAGATGGTGTTGGATGTTTATCATCGCCGTCAGGAGGCAAGGTATCCAAGTCCGATTTCCGCCAGGTAAGAGGTAGAGCCTTATCGATAATACCATCGGAAGGAATAGGAACGACTTTAGAGATGGTGGTAACACTAGTACTATCGAACAATTTGAGTGGTGTATGCACTGTGTAAATTGTGTTTCCATTGTCATCGAAATACGTGTTTTTGAGGATGGCTTCGGGATCGTGGGGCCTGCGCTGGTGAAGGTTGAGAGATGACATGGCTGAGAGTAGATATCGATGCCCAGCCCTCGAGAATGTCTGTATATATACACCTTCTACAGTTTATTACATATTACATGTTTTGTAGCAGGTTTCCTAAGTATGTTGCGCAGTCTATATATGTTAGAGGCGTCTGGTATATGGCAAAGGCTGAGCAGCAAGGCAGTGTCACGGTCAACTCCTTCACAGGACTTCTTCCCGAGCCCCCACATGAAGACCAAGTACACATAGTCACATTGCAAACGGTGTTAGGGAAGACCTTCGGGAAATTTGGTAGCTTTGAGTTGGGAGTTGAGAGGAGAGGGACCGGGGAAGAGTCATAAATGCCTCTGACGGGTACGCAATCGATATCTGATCCAGCCTGATCCAGCGGACTGCAGTGGGTGGGTACATATACTGCCTCGATTGCTTCGAAGAATTTAATCATGGATCATTGAGGTAATTTAGCGTGGTGCTGATTTATATACAATACAACAGTTGTTATCTGTCACCCTGCAGCAATCAAGGCGCAGATAAAACGAGGTCGTCGAAAACGGTATTGCCCCTTATTGCCCCCCCAAAAACTGCTGGCCAGTTTTGCGTTACGCATTCGATTCACATCACGCTCTCATCCAAGCAAAACTCAATCTTCGATGCGTCCAGGTTGCCTTGGATATCTCCTCGTTTCAGCATTTCTTGCTGTTGTGCAGGCTGCACCGTTCATTGCGAGTTCTGACTTTACTATATGGGCTGATTACTCTTCTCACTTTCTGTGAATCAGGCCCATGACAGCGGACTGTCCTCTGCATCATACCATGTCAGACAGAACATAGAGCAGAAAATACCAACGAACAACCTGATTCGTAGTCTCTCGACTCGGATGAAGGACTCCAATTCAAAGAGCCTCGAACAGGGTGGTAAGAACGTCCGAATAGCGAGCGATACCCACCGAAACGTTCCCGAAACAGCACGAAAGATCGAAATTCTGTTCATTCTCGATGATGGTGACCCGGGAGGAAATAAAGAAGCTGCCCAACACTGGTTGGCCACCCTTTTCAAGACATCACATTCCGAGCTAGGATCCATTCTTCCTGATCAGTTTACATCCAGTAATGACGCATGGCCAAGTGATGACAGAAAAGTTACTATGTGGTGGTGGGATTGTAATCATCCCAATCCTGGACAGTTTTCGCATCCTCAAACGTGGACTCGGGAACAACATTACTTCCCTAAAAACACAGGGTCTTCATGAATGGGCATGGATGCTTCGAGAGGTAGTGATGGCAGGGGACTAACTTCAGAAGACGAGTAGGCTAGTAATGTTATTCCAACTTTGGAATCTCTTCTTGCCTCTACTCAACTGTTGAAGGGGTGTCAAAATGATGGGATACAGACTCCCCGAACCTACGTCGCTGGCTTTCCTTTTGCATGAGTTCTATGTGCGCTCTATCTCTCCATTGATTTTATGATAAGAATTGAGATAGAGGCTCACTATAAGTAGCCATAACCCATATGCTAGTAAGAGAAAAAGGTAAGACAAGGTTAACTGGCATGTCATCAAGGAACAAATAGAGAGGGATTTAGCATTACAACTTACTAGCAGAAGAAGCAATGTCATCTCATTGGTCTCTAAGAGACCTCCAGTAGAAAAAATGGCTCCTGCTAGAATTGATCATCAATCCTATCCTGGCGAGGTCCGATTCCCGAACAACCAGTTTACCATGTATCCAACCTATGGCGTTCTGAAGTTTGGTATGCAGATGCAGGAAGACCAACGGGATGCAAAATAGAGTGGGACCAGTTCGTTACTCGTTGAGCTACACAGTCATCAAAGCAAAAAGAGAAAAAAAAACGCTCATTGCATCAAAGTTGGATGATGGTAACCTCAAGCAGTAAGACCAAGTAAGTATGTAAGGGTGCAAGTGATTGTTCACTATCCTCCTTAACCCTGCGGTCAAACTCGAAGTAGGGGAGAGCCGTTCGCGATCCGTTGACCTTTGAAACGAAAAGCGAGATAAGAAAAAATATCGCTCGGTACATCAAAGATGGATGATGATCGATAGAAACTAAACTTTAACAGAAAGTAAGATTGTCTTCCGCGAGCCTCTGAGTCGCTCCGACCTTCTTAACCTCTACACCCACCAGCAGATAAAAAGCCAAGCTAGAAGTCTAACCTCCTTCGGAGCTGCTGGCCAGTTACTTCTTTCGCCTCGCTGTGCGCTCCCCGAATTCGCAAAGCGAACGTCTCGTTCTCTGCCCTCCCTAGACAAAAAAAGCTCGCTCCGTCTCTCATCCTCCAGAAATTACCCACCAATGCATTTTCGCGCAGTGTGCCTCTTCATATTGGGGGCTTCTCGCTGTAGTTTTGCAGGCTGCACCACCTGGAGTCTTTGTGAGTCTAAGCTCGTTCAAATTAGCAGTGATACTGACGACAACCAGAGGGAGCCGACCTACACGTACGGGCCAGCACAAGACCAAGACCTTCCAATCATCAGAATCCAATTCCAACTACTAAATGATCATGCGGAGGGGAATCCTATAATCAGCCGAGATCGACTGGTCCATTTCTTTCAAAAATATCACTCCAAAAAAATTTTTATCGAGAATTCTGCTACTCAGATCATATCGCACGACGGCCGTTGGCCGTCTACGGCAGCCAACGTGATTAGGATGTGGTGGTATATCACTAATAGTCCTACTGCCGAGCAGAATCCGAACAACCCACGAACGTGGAATTGGGCAACGATGGATAACGACGACTTCGTGTGGAATTAGCGTACCGATGCTTGGCGATGCTCATACATGTCCGTAGATGACAAGGTGGGGGTGCTCGTATCACCTATTCGTAGATCATTGAACGAATTGACGGACGATCGTTTTCCTTCGACGAACCGAGTAACAAGGGACGAGTCAGAATGTTACTATGTCAAAAACGCGGGTCGCTGCCTAATCATGAGAAACGAGGGTTCAGCCACTACCCACGATTGTAGGTATAAGAGTCTGAACGGGAACGCAGTTTTTCCTTCTCGAACAAGACAAGAAGGCGACCACACGCTGTCGGTCTGTTATCGACCGTACCCTCAACCTGTCTGTGTGGGTGCATTTGCATTATGTAGACGGCGGCTGACCCATTGAATGTAAAATATTGATGCGTAGACGATAAACAATTACTCACACTATGCCCATAGAATCGTCACTAAGCATCTGAATGTAATCCATCGTAGCGGACAGCCATATTCTAAATCCCATTCGCGCTCACTTCAACGTCATTTCCATGCGAAATACTGGTGAATTCCGTCCGAGAAAAGAGGTGAATGCATACGCAACGCTAACAGCGGAGCCGCGTCTCTGATTCGGTCGCTGTTTCGTGGTCGTGATAGCGAGAGCTATGACTGGTTGCCGAATTCGAAAGAGAAAGCCCCTAGTACGTGTATTCAAGTGCGTGGCTCATGCTCGTGAATGTAGATTCCGACAATACGAAGCTGGAGGAAGAAGGTTTGAAAGTATTCCGAAATTGATCTGTGAGGCTATACAGACGAAGCATGGACAAAGAATACGGTGAAGACATCATGGATGGGTGAATGATAGCCTTCAGTTCTTCGCGGACCTCTCCTTCGCTCTGCGTAACCTCTCGATATACGTGAACGTCACGAAAATTTCGTCGATCATGTGTTGGCCTGGAGAAAATATTTCCAAACGCGCCGTATTGTTTTTGGAGAATAGTCTCTCTTGATGAAACGTCGCGACGAGCATCTTTGACACATCATTTAGGACTAACTGGAGTACCAAATTTGAATCTTGGGTCTGAGAACATTGAAGCCGCAGCAAGACGAATGTACGTACCTGGGGATGAGTCCTCCCAAAATTCCATCTGTATTCTTGACCATCTTCACCGGTGAATACACGATGAGGACCCCAAAATCCCCACCCCTCTTTCCTGAAAAGGTCCTTCACCGGTATCTCCGAGCCACTACGTTGACCCGTACCGAAACGGATCTTGGAGCCTTCGGAATACCTTCCAGTCGATTTGAGCGACGTAGATGAAGTTGTGGTCGATAGTTCTTGGGCGTGGCATTGTAGGAGGAGGAGAAACAGGTGTGGTAGCCACACTATTGCTACCACCAACGATATCGCCTATTGTCGCACCGGGAAGAGATACAGCATGTTCGTCGTCTGAGGTATGAAGGAATGAATTTGTGTCGATCAGAGATCCTCCCATTGGTTCGTCGGCAACAGTTATCCGTCGAGCAAGAGCAAAAGTAGAAGCCTCTCTACTACCACCACCACCGGCTGTGTCATGAATGGCCTTGGAGATAGTAGTCGTCCGATGAAGACTCAGCGAAAACGGAGTGTGCACTGTGTATATTGTATCGCCGTGGTCGTCGTAGTAAGTGTTATTCATTATTGGCCCGAAGCCGCGATGGCGTTGGTAGAGGTTGAGAGACATGGCTCGACAGTAGATCCTCAAAGTCTTGAGTTTATATGTTGTACCAAGCGCCGGAATAAGATTTGTTGACATACCGACACTGATAGCGTCTGCAGTACATGATATTCTTTACCCATGATATTAATTATATCTTGAATTGATGCTCCTTCACTGTCTGAAGCCTCATCTGCAGAAGACATACAGCAAGGAAATGATGGTTGAAATAGAAAAATATTTCCAGCGCTTCGCTGTGTGTGTCTCTCTCCTGTCCAGTAATTACAATGACATTGTCTATACTTGAGGCTCTAGATTTTATAGATGTGATTGATCAGGAACCTGCTCCAGCTCGGATAAGTTCCTACTGTAAGTACCTTACTTGCGTTGAATGGTAAAGGCAGTGATATTTATGTTTCACGACCAAATTCCAGTCAACGCACCAGACGCCGACGTTACCATTCGATCTTCCGACAATGCCATGTCTACTTCATAAAAAGTATCTTGAATGCACCACAGCAGCCCCCCTGCAGAACTAGTGACAGACGCCAAAGAGATAGTACATCTCACTGAGGGAGGTGACACATTGGAAATCTTATTCCAAGCTATCTATCCTCGTCCATTCCCCTCTTTGAAAGACTTGAAGTTTGATGATATAATGCTGCTCGCGGAGGCTGCAGAGAAGTATCAAGTTTTTTCGATGATTTATACGTGTAAAATCCATCTTGGTGCGTTCAAATACATTCTGTTGACCAAATCGATGAACAGCTATTGCGCATCACAGAGAAGTTCTGTATCCTAGCTGCTCTTCGTGGTGTTACGATGGGTCAAGTCTGCAGTCTAAGCGGAGGCGACTTTTAGCACATGCTGTCAAGCACGACGATCTTGAAATGGTTCGGGAGCTCCAACCACTTCTTATCAACATCCCTTTATCAGAGGTGGCAGATATATTCTTCCATATGAGTCCTTCAAGAGTTGGGTAGGACCTTCCATCTAAACAACTCATATCTGTTTTGACAAATATGATTTTCATCAAGAGCCTTCAAAGGGAGAAGTTTTTAATTGAGGCTTTGGGCTCGAAACGAGCTCGTCAATTGCCAGTCAGTACTTCTAACCCTATAATGGCTGTTCTTCTTTGATCATGGTAGATAAGTCATTTATGCTCACATCTCATATGAACTTGATTTTGCTCATTTCCACACAGGGTTGCAAAGGAAAGGTCTATATTTTTCATTCAACTAGTGTTCCACGTTCAAGCTTTCAAGATCCATCGTCATCTGCCTTGAAATTCACATCATGTATTTTGGAGTGTAACATTGTACATACATGAGTTTTGAAACTTCGCTAACATACTAAACCTGTGAGGGGATGCCCAAACAATAAACCAGCTTAGCGAGAGAGAGATAACACCTTTGCCAATATGTACAGGAAAGTGTCGAAGTGGCCATAAGCGCACTTGAGAAAGTTTAATTATATTTCCGAGCAATTATTCAAACAAGTACAGCAAAATACACAGTCAACAAATAACATCTAATGCGCTGCGAACTTCGACTTTTCTCTCAACCTCGGCCCAATACGTCGAAATATGAACCTTCATTGTAGGACATCAATATCAGCATCCGAAATAGTAAGGACGACGATGCACTCACGGTAATGGAGCCATCACACTCATTATACTTGCCAACAACGCCGTCGCACCCACAGTACCCATCCCATCATACATATACCCAGCGAACAGTGAAAACACCGCCGCGAACGTACACCTCATCGCAGTATTTCCTGCCATGGCACTTGCTGCAAGCGGTCGGTAGGCAGTGACGAGGTAGGTAAAGACAGCAGTGAAGACATAGTACAGCCCAATGCCAAAGGGGATGGAGGCGACGATAGGGACAACCCAGGGGACGGAAGCATAGGTAGTGAAGGAGAGCCAGAAGAGCGCTATGATGGGAGAGTTAGGGTGAGAAATGTCAAGAAGGCAAGTAAAATTTGACGCACATATCGGAACCAGGATGGCTCCGATTTCACCCATATAAAGTCTTGATTCTGGGGGAGCTATTCCACCATTTCGCTTTGCATCCCTCACGACTAATCTTCATTAACCATAGACACATCAGAACTCTACGCACAGAATCATCGGATACGCGGAAACTCACTTATTGAAATACCCCTGCGTTGGCATCGCACAAACTATCCCTATACCAATCCCAAGGAAGGTCAATCCAGATTGTTGAATTGAAAATCCATGTTTCTCAGTGAAAATAATTGGAAAGGCTTGGAAAGTGAGGTATAGAATACCTAGGACGAGCGATGTCCAGAGATTTAAGAGCAGCGCCATGCGTTCATAGAATATGAGTTCTGTTCAATGCAAATGAGTTCAGTGAGCATAGATATTGAAAGATAGCATAGGCTTACCAAAAGGTTTGTAGAAAGAAACCAACATCGCTTTCATGACATCCTTGTCCTGCTTGTCAAGAGGAGCCCAATAAGCCTCTTCTCCTGTAGATTTTCGCATTCTTGCAGCTTTCCATTTGCGTAGAATGGGGGCATAGGTTTCTGGCACACACTGAAGACGAGATAAGAGGAACTCTAACTGAGGACTACAAGTAAGATGGAGATAAATAGCCAAGCACGCACAATGTACAACAAGATCGTCTGGACAAAAATCCATATTGTTAGGATGTAGTACGTCCATCGCCAATTGAGATTCTGAGATTAGGTTGTGAAGTTGAACGGGGCTGTGAGAGAAAAAGAGACAGACGAACTTGATTGATGAATCTGAAATATCTAAATGCGGTGAGTCGATTTAATACAGGGAGATCGCTCACCCGCTGACCAATGGGCCGAATATAGGACCTATAAACGGGGAACAAGTGTAGAACGCCATCGGACTGCAGAGAAAGATACATCACAGAAAGAGCGTCAGTGAATCGTCTGATCACAGCATTAAAAGCTTATACAAAACTTACTTTGCCACCTCCTCATTCTTGAACAGATCGCTCACCGTTCCTCCAGCGACACTGAGGAACGTTGCACCGACGAACCCAGAAAGAAAGCGAAATATCAAGTAAACAGCTACGCGAGAAGTAGTGTTAGCGTATGGCCGGCGAAACGATAATTGCACAGCGCACCTGTGTCCGGAGCAAACGCCACACCGAACGAGAACGCAAACATTAAAGTGAATGAAGCACGGTAAGTGATGTTCCGCCCGTACATCTCCGACAAGGGTCCCGTAAGTAAAGGACCTAGAGCCATGCCCTCAGTGAATAGGGAAACCGAAAGAACAGCGACTTCATGAGAAATATGGAAATCTTCGGAAACCGCTGTTTCTGTAAAAGCTGCCTATTGCAACAAAATTCTATGAGTTTGGCACAGAAAATACAATATACATGGGAGACGTACCATGGACGAAGACCCTGTAACGCAGAAGGAGCAACAACTGACGACAACGACAGCTAACCATTTCCTCCACAGCGGTAGCTGCTGAGGGTGTTCCTCTGGCAGAAGATCAACCTCGTACTCTGTTTCGAGCTCCACAACTTCCTGGACGGCAACCCTAAGCTGCTCTTTCCCTTCCTTGCTTCCTTTACCTCCTTTAGCTCCGTGCCCACTCTTCTCCAAAGGTAATTGGTCTATACGCTCGACAGAGATGTCATATTCGAGCCTCGCACTGTTCCTATTAAGTTGTGCCCTCTCCACGCGATCCTCGGTCCCAATGGGCCGATCGATCCACTCCGAAGATAAGAAAGAGGCAGGAGGCGAGGAAGACGTTGAGGACGCTCGACGGTCATTACGTGGAGATCCGGAGAAATATGAAGCCGAAGCGTAAGCAGAGCTGCTATATGGATGAGCAGAGGAGAGAGGGAAGGATGGATGGCCTGGATAGTAAGCATGTGGCGGCGGCGATGGGACACCACGGTCTTCAAATGAAGTGATAGTTCTTGGTGCCATCCCGTTGTGATTTCCGAAGTCTAAGCTTGTACGCTTCTTCGTGGAACACCGATTATCGAATTGACAGTGGTAAAAGCTAGAGCGGAGGAAATATCTGGCTGAAGAGAAGACCTTGTCATAGCGGGTTCCCTTTCAAAAACTCAAAAGGATTCCGACATGAAGACGGGTTCGTTCCAAGTTGATCGGATGCCGCGGCCGTGGACATCAACGCAGTGCAAGTAAGGTAAGAATGGATTGGTTCAATTGCGCGAGAACGAGTAGGAACGAGTAATATATCCGCATGGAGCAGTGGAGGCCGTTGAAGACGGTGAGAGTAGGTGAGAGTCCATAAGCTTGCTTGCGTGATATATCCGCCTGTATGGCATCGCGTTTTCAGCAAAGAACAAAACTTTACGAGAAATAGCCTCGTACCTGCGCAGTACAAAAAGCAACCCTCCAAAAAGATTGTATAAGCTCTGTCGAGTATGGACGAAGGCGAAGTAGTCGATGGAATTCAGCTATGTCAGCAACGATAGAAAGCGATAGACAATTTGAATGTCCACAGTGTCCAACGAGGCGTCTTCTGAACCAGAATTTGTCCGAGTTTTTTTCAGTCATCACTCCTGCTCGGCTTACTACACCCATAGATGCGTCTCTTGGAAATGTCTACACTGACTGTAAACTAGTCCTTCCTCACAAAACAGATATCGATTATGGAGACCTTCTCGAAACTTCTTCAATTATCATCATCTTCAGCACTTTTCTTGCGACAATACATTCACAAAACCGAATCCGGCACCCCAAATTGAGAACGCAGATATCGCATACATGATCGTATTGCTCCGTAGAGAATGGTCTTTGAGTATAGACAGGTCTTGCCGGGATCAAATTTTGAGCTTTCTATCAGCGAAAGATTTAAGATTGTCCAAGGTGCTCGAGGCAGGCTCGGGAAGTGTATTACGGCGTACATACTCATGGAATAATTTGCTTACAGTGCCAACGAGCTGACTGGACCTCACAAAGATGAAGACCCTTAGGAAGACCTACGACTGAAAGAGAACGAAAGACGTGCGGCATTCACGAACGTGTTGAACAATAAATTTCAGAGAGGTCGGGCTTGTTAAGCTGACGGTGCTACGCACTTGTACTCACAATACCAATTCGAGTTCTTGCGCGATTTCTCAGCACTGGTACACAAATCGACCTCTGCACACTGAAACTGTTAATATCCGGCTAACATACGCGCCTGAAGTATTCATAGGTTGCCCCTGTAAATCATGATGCATGATGCATGATGGGGATCCCAAGCCCGACTAAATAGAATACAGGAGAGATATGCACGGGGAGTCAAAGCAAATTTGAGTCTCGGTAGGTATATTGGATGTAACTAGGCTCCACTGCCGTGGATGGCACCCTGCTTGGTACTGGATGCTTTTCATTACATGAAGATAATAATTTTATTGCAAGTACTACAGATACAATGTAGCATGATAATCAGTACATACATTGTATTGCAGGCATTTACAGTTTTGACATGGTGTTCTGCTGTTTCAACACCAACCTCTCTACTTTTTTGCCCAGTCCACCATCTCTGACAATGTATTTTGACCACAGATGTCTGCCAGTACCTGCATCAGTGAATGTGTCCCACAGCCCACTGCAATGCCAGCCACAATCCAATGTGTTCAATGCCTTGTTTTCCATTCTCAAAAACTGTCTTTGCACATGCAGTGGAGGCATCATATATGGACCTGTGTGTTGAGAGGAGTATTGAATTCAATGGAAGAAAATTTTGGAGGGGAAGTTGCAGGGCACATAAGAAAAGGAGTGTCTTGTGGGAAAGGTTATCATTGCAGGGAGGTATTGAGCATTGAAGAATGATACACAGAAATTTTGACTGCAATTAGTGCATATTTGGGAGCCACAGGAACAGCATCTGAAGAAAGCATCAATAGCAATGGGATAAGGGACATGATGTTCAAAGGGTAGCAAGTGTTAGCATAACGATTTGTTAGTGTAACGATTAACTTAGTTGATAGCGGAACAACTGATATTGTGTAGATACCTGTTAGCATAATGATTCACTACTGTGAACTTAGCAGGTGTGTGTCTGAATGTACTGCTGAGCTCACCTCAGTTGATAGCAGAACAACTGAGGGAGCTTGCGCATCTCTACTAGGCATTATATAGCTGGTGGTACTGTATAGTTATATGGTAAGCACAGCGTATATGTGTATGGATGGTCGGTGTAGTCATAGCTTGTCTTCTTGTATATATGTACAGAGTATGCGCCAACAGCAAGACAATACAATTTTGGGTGGCCACAGAGGGTACATGAATAATGAGATGGAGGTGGGTGGCAGCAGAGGGGTATGGAGAATTAGCATGGATAAAATGATTAATATGCTTTGGAGTTCCTACGGAGGAGTAGGAACAGTGAGTATCATGCAGAGAAGTGAGAAAGCTAAACACTGATAATGTAGAAGGTGCACCTCAATGTCAATTCAGAAAGACAAGCTGGAGGAAAAAGGGTGCAGTGCATAGACTGGAGTGTGCAGGTGTACCTGCATGAAGAGTAAAACTTTAAAATAGAATACATATTTCTGACTAGATATATGCATTTAGCTGTAATTTATGGAAGACTTGTCCATATGAATGGAGGCCATTTCTTGCTTATGTGAGATTTCACCATATATAGGTCAATAGTCACAGCAAGATGAAATCCAATTTATTTGAACAGTGACATCAGGTGGTTTAATGCATGTGATATAGTGGCTTGTGTAACTTTTCTTAAATTCTTTCTTCCACATGCAATTGCAGGCCTGTTAAGATCATATACACTGGAAAGCCATGCCAAGGGCCATTCAGTGTTTAAGCACAGAGGGTTGAATGGGACAGTAGTGAAATTATTAACAACACCACTGTCTTGCCGTTAGTCCTTGGAGCAAGGGTGTAGGGATGAAAGACAAGAGGAATGAGGAGCAGCAGTGACACTGACACGCCTAAATTTTGGCTAGACGTCTATGCTGTGAATTGTGACATTTTCACGTATAGATTCGTATCAAGAGGACTGTAATTGAGACCCAGATTGACAGTTAAAGTCAATACTGAATCAGTCTAATAAGTTGAAGGGACCATATACCCATACTACCACAAGTTGGTTAGTTTACCCATCCCCGATACTACCTTCAGATAGCAGTCTACCTGTTTGTCAAGCAGGATTATACCAGACTTGGACTACATCTGAAGGATGACCATTCACATATGACATACCAAGGGTATTCTTATTGGACCTTACACTAGCAGGAGTTTGGAAGAACTTACTCAAGTGACCATGAGCTGAGGATTGACTCAAAATGACTTTCTAGAACTCAGGAATTATCAAATACTCCTTCTAGGACGAGATCATGCATTAATCTAAAAGACTGCAATTTAGTCTAATAGACTAATCAGGTTGCATGGTTGAGGAAAATGACTAGAAGAATGATTGAAGTACTGCGAGGCTCCGAAGACATATCAAATGAATGTCAAAGAGTCCTGACGTAGAAAATATTGAAGAATGCAATTAAATGAATACTATGTGTAACTCCCTTGATAGAGTATAGGCACAATGGGTGTCTATTGAAAGAGAGAAGCAATTAGTTTAATCCAGATGAATCAGATTGATAGGATTAGAATTGAGGAGAGCTGATTTGCCTCCAGATGAGGTGACAAATGATTGAATTAAGTGTTGAACAGCAATGACAGCTGAACACCATTCGAGTCATTCTCCAAAACAATTAAATTAAATGAATATTGAAGTACCTACCTATGTTTGGAGGTATACTAGAATCTTGGAACCATTATGGACCAAATAAGGACATGAAGATTCAAATTAAATGGTATCTGACCGATTGTAGAAGTTTCCTTGCGGTTCCGAACATTTATTGTATTAAATTAATTGTACTGTGCGACTCTATATTCTGTATGTATAAATAGCAATCCGATGTATCTGGAATACAAGTGATTTTGGGATGACGTTGCAGTGCTAATCCGTAAAAAGGAAAGACACACTCCTGCCACACTGAAACCTCTTTGCTAGCAGCCATTCGGGCCCGGCACTTGTGAGTATAGGAACGTTGTGTTCTGCTCCTTGTGACTGCGAGAAGTATATCCAGTTGTTGGGTATTCTTCGAACTTAGGATCAGTCGTTGGTCTTAAGGGCAAATCACGCTGTGTGGTTGTGCCAGCACATAGTTCTAGCCCTCCGTAGGGGTCTGTGTGTTTCGGTTTTAATTTACTTTGATTCAAAACCCCAATTCTTGATATACCCATATCAATACAATCAAAGCACAAATCATGCTGAATCTACCTTAATCAAAGGAATATACCGAATCCTTAGAACAATTCAAATTGATTGATCGAAGCTTCTTACTTAGCTCTCAAAGCTTTGCGGAACCTTTGCCAATGCTACCCCTTGCTATTAAATAAATTTGATAGCAGTGAACTCGCATATTGTGTATTAGATTGGTTGGTTGGAGTGCTCATTAGATTCCTTCCTTTCTCTTTCACACAAAAACAAGGCAAGCTCGTTAATGCTGATGATGAGGAGCAGACCAGAGGACTATAAGTTTTAAGATTGAAGTTGAGAGTGCTTAAGGGAGTCTTAAGACTTCAGAGGACAGAGAGTATTGATCTAAGATGATAATTAAACTGAAGAACTAGAGTATGGTACAGGAGTATTTATACCAGCTAATTGGTGTATTGGGGCAGAGAGCTAGACTAGCTACTAGGGGTTGTACACTTAGTGTCTTCATGGTAGAAAATAAGACAATAAAAATAAACTAGGGAGAAAGGGAATGTGTAGCGAGAAAGGACAATAAGAAGGATAACAATAAATGATAGATTTTGGAGTACTGAGCACTAGAGCATGGTGCTGAGGCATGGTCTTGACAAGGACACTGCACCACTGTGCGTGGCAAAAACCTGGCTCCTTTCTTGGTGCCTTCCAGGTGCTGATAGTGAATTCTTTTGAGAAAGGCAAAATAAAAGCAAATCTACATAAACTATTCGATGGAGTAACAGGGAGTAACTGAGTGAGAAAATAAGTGTAACAGAGTCACAGTTCCATGATATCCCATGCCAGTCACAAGAAATAATACAATTCAACTCAGTATTACTTTTGTTCAAATAAGGAGAAATTCCCACCATAAAAGGAAATTGGTTTTGCATGGAGTGCCATATATAAGTGTTGGGAAAGTACTCTGTACATACTGACAGCCTCTCAGGGACCATATAACCATGAGACAGTGCTATTACCTGATACTATACAGTTTAGATATATCACACAGTCGGTGGCACCAACTCACCTCAGTTGCTACAGTAACAACTGAGTTTAATTTATTCTAACAATAAGGATGATACTGGATGGATTCCTGTCAACCTTTGCCCAATAATCTGAGTAAATAATTTTTGAACTGGTCTGATGCAACAGACAGACAGTTGATGCGCTGTTCACTTATCCCAGTAAGCAAGTGCAAAACCCTCTAGGGAGGGGTCCGGACCCTTCTGTAGATGGTTCTGCTTGAGTTCTGCTCAAAATCTGTTGATCGGACTAGTTTGCTTAGGACATTAGAAATAATTAGAAATAATTACTGTCCAATAATCCTTATGGGAAGTCACTTCCGTGAACTCCAGCCTCATAATTGCTGGTGTAGCAAAATTATCTCAGAGGTAGCTGCAATACCCTTTGATGCAATTGTGCATCTTTGTTGTCATGTTAGTAGTTGGCACCCAAAGGGTGCCCAAATGTAATACATTCAATAAGTAATGTTATTTTAGAAAACCAGCTGAGTTTATGCCATGCACACAGTGCAGTGGCCTGCAATCCCATGTGGCTAATGCAAGTGAGAGTGGAAATGAACATAATCACATGCGATTGTAGGCCACTGCACAGCATGGCAAAACTCGGCTGGTTGTTTTGGTTGCATAGAATGAAAAATAATATATGATATGAATTGACTACTGGCATAATTAATTATTAGATCTGGAATAAATCACAGCAGAAGCAGAACCTGACTGACATTGGGCCCAATCTATCTCATTGAGATTGGAATGTTCAAGTACAGGTACACCATTGTTGAACATACCATCATAAATGTAAATTACATTTTCACTGCTAACAATTCGAGATATGAAAATTCGACATCGAGTTTTCTGCGGAGTCGCCGCAGGCTCAGTTGAAGGAAATTTTCGGGGAAGAGTACGAGATGTGTGTCGTGCGTGGCATCATTCTGGAGGAATTGCAACCGCTGTCAACTTTGAAGACTGAGAGGGAATGTGCGCAAGTGTTCTATGATATTGTCCAATGTGAGTTACATTCATCCTCGCTATCATCTATCTTACACCCAATTCCCTAGGTCATCATTGGGCTTGGAAATATCCTCAAATCCTTCATCGCGATATCAGTGAGGGTAATATCATGGTCCGCGAAAAGAATGGGCAGAAATACGGTGTATTAAATGATTGGGATCTTGCGAGCTGGTTGAACACGCAAAATGAAGAGTCGACATCCAAGTTCCGAATGGGCACCAAACCGTACATGGCGCATGAACAACACTCGTCTCAGTGGCAAGGTCCACATCGGTTCCGCCACGATTTGGAGTCTGTCTTCTACGATATTCTCTTACTGGTTTCCCTTTATTCCAGTCCTGCTGAGAAGGTCCGTTTTCCTTCTACTGGAGACCATCGTTATGAGAAGTGGCACAAAGAGGACGATAGCTTTCTTGACGGGAGAAAATCGAAGATTATTTACAATGGGACGTGGCGAGCCTTCCCGCAGCCCTTCTTCAGCGGCTTCACTTTGTGGTTGGCCGCCCTTCAAGAAAATTTGCGTCGTGGTATCTTCAACCTTGAGAATCACAAGTACGCAGTGTTAGCAGCATCACGACCGCTCAAGCCAGGGAGGCGACCACCCAAGGTGCCATTTTTTGACGAGGATACCCTAGGCGGAAATTTCTCATACGAGAAAGTAGTTATGATCATGCACCAGTTCAACCAAGAAGAACTCAAGACTTGGGGTCACGAGTGGCAAGTAACACTAGAGGAAGCATCTTCTGAAGATTGGGAGTCAGAAGAGTCGGAGGAAAGCTAATAACGTCGATTGTCTTGAATGCGCAGAACCATCAAATATCTTGCCGGTGAAAGAGAGTGGGACGGATTCGATGATTATACTCACAGTAGTATGTGTTATTGTACATAGGCCCAAAGATAATTTTTCTTCAGGCTCAGGCAAATATATCTTCCTCGTTTTTCGCACGAATAGCTTCGGATATCGAAAACGACGAAAATGACAACGAAGACGGCGAAGAAGATGCCAGGATGCGAATGAAGGGAATGGATATCGAAAACGACGAGAACGGTAACGAAAGGGAAGGAGCGTGTGAGTAGTAATGTGTGTTACTGGTCGTATGAAAAGCGTAAACAAGGTATCACATCTGAAGCGAAGAAGTAGAGTGGCACGTAGGATGAACAGTCACATAGTCACAGTGGTGCTGATTAAGGTCTCGTGCAAGTCACATAAATTCAATTCAATTCAACTCACTGTTACATTTCGCCAAATAAGGCGAAACTACTGCCATAAAAGGAAACAAATTTTGTATGGAGTACCGTACATAAGGACGATACTTCCGTAAACTACAGCCTCGTAATTTTGGGAGGACTGGTAGGAGGAACACATGAGAAAATACATTCGAGCAATAGATATGATACATAGAAGAGGAAAAATAATGTGGCTAGGGGTGAAGTAGAAGCTATAAAGTAGTATAAGACTGGAAACAAATAATGAGAGAGAGATTAGTGGTGTTTGGCAATTTTGAACCAAAATAAACAGACCTAAACATGACCAACATGTGCCTGCACAAAATAATCTAAATTCCGGAGTGCAATAGACCTTGCAAGCAAGGTGATTTGGTATGTATATTATAAGTAAAGGCCTGATAAGGGCTACACATACACAACCAAGAGGGAATAAAAATAGTCATTTAAATCGATTCCTGAAACTCGGTTGACTTGCAGGCTGATAGAGTGATCTTCTGGTGGAGGCAGTCGATGATATATGTATTATCTGTATTTTTGAGAAACGACCTTCCATCCTCCCTCGAGGGACTATCTTTCAAGGATTTTCATACGTGTCCGCCCAATGTTATCCTAAAGCCGCAAAGCAATACATCAGATTGATTCCAGTAAGCACCGAATATCATCATGATCATAAATACATGTCCTTTGGGCAGAATACAAAGAAACACACCATGGTTCTGGTATTCTGTCTACTATAGACCAGCCCGCAAGTAATCACTCGAAACCTTCAGTTGCACCGGCGACTGGCCGCGCAACTGGCAGTACATAGAAAGTCGTCATGAGGAGCCCCGAAAAATTCCGTCCCGCTCTAACCTTCGATTTTTTCCTGCACATCCGAAGACCCACGAGGAGTCAGTTCCCAGGCACAAACGCAGTTCAATGAAGCGCTGACCAGGGCATCATTTTATCCATCCAAATCCATCTCGACTTCCTGCTCCTCCTTCTTTACATCAACCATGTCTCCTTCGTCACCCCGGATACTCATCCTCCTCAAGCCTAAACCAACCTCTGGGCCAGAGGCATCCATCGAAAGCCCATTATGGAGGAAGGGGGAAGGCACATAGGGACCAGACGGATAGCTTGTCAATCCAGGGGTAGCAGGTAAGCTGCCACCTCTCTGGTCGAATCCTGTGCTACTCCCGAAACTTCCTCGTCTACTCCTTCCCGCGAGGCTGAGCGGAGAGAGAAGGGCGGAATCTTCCGAGTCACGGTACACATAGGGCATTGAGGCCAAATCGTGGTTCGTACGACCGCGATCCATTTCCATGGGTGAAGATGAAGACGAAGATGTTGGGCGATCTGAGTCAGCCTGAGGATTAGATGATCCATCTCCGCGCTGAACGCCGATCGTTTTCAACCTCTCGACCCAGGCATCAGCTCTTTCCAAGCTCTCTCTTACTACACCAGTGACACCCCGCATCATGTCCATACTCTCGGTGGCAAGGGTCAGGATTCGTTGCGCGGCAACGACGGCAGTACCTGCACTTATCGTACTTGGTCCATGTCTAGAGCCAGATATGCCTTGATCCTGCTGGTCTGGAAAGCCGGAGACTGAGGAAGTAGCAGAATGCAGTCCTCGTGGGTGCATCCTCGGAGAAGCCGCAGGGGAGTTTGTTCTCGACGACATTGGCGAAGGCGCAGCAGACGAGGATCCGATAAGGCCACGATCGCCTCTTGCACTCCTACGTGCTGCAGTTCGTCTATCACTTCTTGCCCGTCCAGACGCAGCGGCAGCCACACTATCTCTCTCCATTCCAGTACCGCTATTGCTACCTCCTGCGAGACTCATGCCAGCGTGCATCTCGGGGGAAGGGCCACTCATCTTCATGGCTTCCCCTACCTTTTTTGGCAGTTTCAGTATGAAACTTTTCATGGCTTTGCGCGCAGGTTCTGGTAACGCCGCACTGCCACCATATTTCGACACTACACTGACAACCTCACGCACGGTCTGTATTACATCGCGTCGCATAGAAGTCAGCTTGTGCATATGCGCAGAGGAGATGGCTTGAGACTGTGACTCGGAAGACGAGCGAGAATGGCCTTCTTGTACGAAGGGAGAATGTACGGAGGCTTGTTCGGAAGAGATTCGGTTGTTGATGGGTGTCGTGGGATCAACAGGAGCCTCGAAATAATGCTGCTGTAATGACTCGGTAAAATCACGTATTGCCAGGATCTGCTGGTCGATATGGTTCGTAGCGTACTAGAGATGAAAATCGTCAATGCCAGAAGATAGGAAAAAAGAAAAAAAATGACAGTAAATGATTTTACAGAATGGAAAAGACGAAACCAAGAGAAGATTGAAGGCAATATTTACTTGTAGCCATTGAAGAACATATCTTAGCTTCCGCATACTTTCCTCACTCCACGCGACACTGAATCCTCCCGCTTCAAGCAACATTGTCTGCCAACTACTGCGTTGGACTACCTGCTGCTGATTGTCCTGTGGTTGTTGGTGCGGACGTGAGCCCTTATATGCTGGCGATAGCCTACGTTGGTCATCGAAGGCAAGATCATACGATGAATCGTTAGGAGAATGAAAAGCGCCTGACGAACTACCGTCTGCCGGAGGGGAATTTTCCTCTACATCATATCGTTCACGCGAATACGAGGAATTGGTAGGAGTTAAAGAGTGTAAGCTTTGGGAACTGCTTTCAATCTCAGATGGTGAGGTCACTGAAAAAAGGTGGATTATTGGGTCACTGACACGCTTACAAAAGAATATCACTTACTTTGCACCCATCTTCCAACGTCGTCTCCTTTCCTTTTCCTGTTATGGTCCTCTTGCGATACACGCGTTGGTGAGTGCAACGCTTGTCGCACTTCTTCCGGGTCCTGTCGTTCAGAAGCGCCTTGCGACGACCTACGATATTTGTCCAACTGGTCACCGTGGATGTCACGTAAGCGAGGAAGGTTTTGAACATGATCAGGACCACGTATACGCGGGAGGTTTGGTACACCATCAAGGTCAGGGAAATTGAGCATGTGCGCAAGCCCAGGCAGGTCATGCAGGTCGCGGGAAGGGCGTCCGTTGGTGTCAAGTTTCATGAGCAGGTGTTTGTGTTGAGTGTTGTCCAGACCAAGATTGTACAAAATGATTCCAATCGGCGGTAGCGTGACCATGCAGGGTGAAGATAGAGGAGAGGAGAGAAGGTTGAAAATCGTTAGCAAAACTCGTAATGGATGAAGAATTTGAAAACCAAATAATAGGAACAAGAAAAAGTGGATAAATAGTATTAACGAGTTCAGAATCGGAAGTGGTACCTGTACGAGGAAAGAAAAACAAACAAGAGTGAAAACTTCAATTAAGTTTTTAGTTCTCGTTTAAGTCGAAAGAAAAGACGCCGTGATACTCCCAGACAGAACAGCCCAATGATCTCGTATGTGATGGGAACGCTGATCTCGCCCCGATGTATAATGTAGGTAGAGGTCATACATTCCAGTGGAAGAAAATGAGTACCCAATGAAAGTGGAGAGGGACGGGTGACAGAATAGATGGCAATGAAAAGAAGCATCGACAACATGATCATCGCAAACACCGTAATGATATAATCACGGGTTTGAAGAGAAATAGATCGCATGGATCAGAATGAACAGCCTCTTCAACACTGCAAACGTTGAGGTAGCTCATTCCTTGACTGAAGACTGCTCAGCATGTGGATAAATATCCATATCAAAGGACAAGTCTCTGCGGGAACGAGGCAGCGGCTGTACAATGACTGTGCTGCAAATGTCATGAACGGGATGACATGCTGATTGCACCACAGAGCGATTCCCTGCGATTCCCTGATACACATGAGCCTAATCAACGAACGGGAATAGTAGACCGTATGATAGCCCGCCTATCGACCCAGATTTTTGCATTGGGAATGTCCGATGGGTACGTACTATGTTAGAGAAGACGTTTCGTTCATCCTTGGGCATTGCCACAGGATTGTCCATCCGTATACCCGAATCAACGGAGATTGATCGTCGGACAGAAAGGAAATTTTTTGGAAAAAGGCAAAGAAATTCAAGAAAAAAATGAATAAGACCCCAACCCACATCCACCGGTGCTGATGGCTACTTGCACGACTCGGTCACTAGTCAATGATAGAAGGTGGAGGGCACTCGATAACAGTTGTTTACTATGACGGAACAACAGTGGGCTTGGATCATAGCTGTGTCAAGCTACACAAGGATCATCTGGCAAGTAGGAACCTTATAGTATAAACTCATCACTATCCCAGATATGATTTCGAGCACGAGGCTGATGAGCGAGTGTTCTCAGACTTCTACGTTGCCAGTAGAAGGAAGAGCATACCGAAACTTACAGCAAGACGCAGACATCCAACCGTAAAAAATGTGAAAGAGAGAAGCACGAGGATACGAAGGGAATAGTAGAACGTTAAGCGGTTGTAACTCACCCTATCGAGCTGACGACAGGCGAACTCGTCAAGTTGACCGGTGGGCAAACGGTCGATCACGGGCTTTGAGATGGTCTTGACACCAGATTCCATGATTTCTGCGCCATACTAGGAAAATTTGAGGTTTTAGCTTTCGTACCGAATTGAGGTTAGTTGAGATCATAGCACCTTAACAACTCGAGAGCTTGCTTTTCCTTGTTCATAAATTCGGAGGGCTCCGTTTACAATCGGAATATGGGCCATCCTGCTGACAAAATCTGGTTCCAGTTGTGCATCATGATTAGAGATAGAAGATATAGAAAGGCTGGATAAAGTAGGGCTTGGTATAGAAGTCGTTGATATTGGCGAGGTACTCGATAGATACGATGCAGGAGTTGCCACTGATTCAAGGATTCGTTTGAACTTCTTTTTCTGGAGTTGAAGGCTACCACTCACCTGTTTTGCTCAAGGATCCTCCAAAGTTTCCACTTTTCATGTCCCCTAGGGCTCGGACTGCGATTCTCACATCTTCGTCCTGGTCCTCGAGTAGTGTGGAACTCGAGGCAAGACTCATACTGCTGTGCGTTGAGTGTCCCAATTTATGTGAGCATTCTGAGGAAGGATCATTTGAACCAGGATTATCCATGGGTGCGAAAGAGAAAAGAAGAAAACGAGCGAAGATGCATTTGACATATTTGCGTCGATTTCCATGTGAATTACCACTGCAAACACATGCAATCGGGATAGGCATCCCTGGAAATTCTTCCACGTGGATGCTATTTTTCAATGCCTTCATTTCTCGTCCAGTCTGGAGTCAGTCTCCCTTTCCTTTCCAGCGCTTAAATCAGTCTTGAATACCAACCTCGATACTATTTTCTGTCTGCCAAAACTTGAAGTATCCGGACATAGTTCATTATCCGTGCATTTAGAATGCACAGCGGTCTACAATGATGGTCCAAAAAGACACGATCAACTGAAATAGAAAAGGCCAACTTCTTGAACGAGCACTTGCAACAGGCTAATCTTTGGAACAATGCTGTACTCCTACACCAACTTTCCGTCGAGATAATCATGCGCCTCTTCCACCTCTTCTGCTCAAATCCACTGCTTCGTCGACGGAAGAAGCTCTTCCAGATCTCTCGTCTCAGCAGATTCTCCACCTCAGCTTATGTTGGGCTATGTCTTTCTATTGCGAAGCCGTGCTGCTTTTTCAACTCAAAGCTCATGGACCACTTTGACTAGTATGGATCTCAAAGATAGGCGATTGCACCATCACCTTGAGTTGTCGAAGGCTTGTTTAGACCGCAGCGGACCACCTCCGGTCAATATCGCACTTTTCCCTCGGTATAACAGCCAATCGTCAACGTCTGTGTACAACCCTCATTTACATAAAATTCTACTTCGCCTCAACTTCAGAACAACGCTTGGGATCTGGGTAAATTCCCTCAGCTGTCTGCCTTAGTACCAACTGCTTGAGCGTCATGTATGGCTCACACAAAAGAAATCCCAGTCTCTTAGATATGTCCCCAACACCATCTGCAAAACATGGATGTTCACCAGAGCAAGGATACTGGCTAAAGAGTGCTGTCCAGCACTGAAAGCACTCCCAGCAGTATTGATCAAATGCTGGGAGTGCTTTCCCAGCTGGACAGCACTGTCAGCTGCTCTGCAGCAGCTATTAGCCAAAAATCCAGGTTTTACAGATTGGCACTGGAAGAGCTCAGACTATCTGACTGTGAGATGAACTTGGAACCTCTCATGGTCACATTCATGATCCCAACTGCAGAATCCGCTCGCACTATACCTTTCAATGATTGACATCAGAGGCAGCCACTGGGATGTGCGTCGGCTTCTCTGTCTTTTGGATAATTTATGCCTTTTGACTTATGGATTGTTTGCAAAAAGATTTCGGGAACAATATGATACTCTCTCTATCTGAGCAGGGTTTCTATAGATGGTCGAATATTGAACTGCGTGGCGGTATGTGGTGCAGGTACTTTCATGCTAATTCTACAGGTGTACAACGATGTCCGCGCTCAGTCTCCTCCCTCCTGACTCATCACACAATACTTTCTTGAATGATTTAACGCAAAGCCACACAAAAGTCCCCATGTTTCCGCATACGACATCCACTTCTGCTAGTAGATATCATATTTGCTCTGGCCAACTCATAAGCGAATTGGATAGTCCACTCAACAACAACATCCCCAAACCTTCTAGTACCCTCGTGACGCACCAGTGGAAATCAATGAGCTGAATTGGGTGGCTTTAGCCTTGAGCTAGCTTTCCGTGTCCTGTCAAAGTCGGCTTCGGGGATACCAGATCTGGCTTAGGTCTAGGCAGGTCTAGGTGCAGACTTTCGTATGTTGTGATGTTCCCCTTCACGCCGTTCACCTCAGCCATTCACCAATAGAAATCCGCTGTGAGTAGTTACTAGTATCGTTCAATAATTAGCCACTGAATAATTGACTTGCGTAGGGAGACCGCTAAGTGCAGTGTCGTGCTAATAGTACTTATGCTCATTGTTCAGAGCTTTTCCTTCGCTGGAAGTAGATTAGCTTGGGCACTATATTGATGATTACTCAGGGTCAACTAATATGATGCGTGTCCGAAAGGCTGTCGCTTCATGATCACTGAATAATCCATATCCTCGAGCTGTCGACAGAACTTATGTAAGTAAATCATATCTTACAAGGTTTGAACAGGGAATGAGGAGCATTGAAGGTAGTCATGGTCCCATTTTATCTCTCAAAATGGCAAAATTCGGCCTTGGTCAACAAACTCACGATCATTTCAAGAAAAATTAGGCCTAATGAGGCCCAATGCTACCCTAACCTACCTGCTTAGATCGACTTCATTCCCGCCAATGACCAGACCTTTAATAATTCCGACAACTTTCCCGAATTCTTATCTGAGGCATCCAAATCTTTGCTTTCCCACAAGCGTTAGACCGTGCTAGTGAGAAGGGTGCTGATGGGTGTCACTTGTGTCGAATTGAGAGAATGAAATGCTCGACAGTGCCATACTTTGTAGTTGGCTGTCATCAGAATTGACTTGTCCTCCTTTCTTTCACAGACTTATAATCAATCTGCTTCCCTGTAATTCTCTGCCTTTCTCCTCGTCGACCACCTTTCTCTCGAGTTCTTCTCAACGCGGCCGAGATGGCTATTGGATTGGCGAAGTTGGATCTAATAACCGTTTTTGTTGAATGTGTACTTTATGGTGAGTCCTCATTAACAGCTGCCGCGATCGTCACTGACAAATGTGTCCCTACTAGGTTTCTTTTTCTTCTTCTGTCCATAATATCTTTTTCAATAGTTATGAAACGGCGGAGAATAAAACACCTTCAATCGAGAGGAACTCTGAAAATTCTTTTTGTTGTCCTTGTAATGCTCTTGCTTGCAACATTGGTCCGTTCACACCGGATATCTTTTCCTTGCCTCCCGCTGATAAGTAATCCATACAGCACGTCTCTGTTCACTTTCATAGAACTCTTTCTGCGTTCTTCAAATCAGGGACATCTGGTGCAGCAACAGAAAAGATAAACACGATTGGAAAACTCGACGGGATACTAGTTAGTATTGACAGTGTGGGGTATACCTTGAAGACTACTACATACTACCTGCAAACATATGTGGGTGATGCTTTTGTGGTACGTCCTTCTCTAAAATGATGTAAATCGCTGAACCCCTCGAAATTTTAGATATACCGCGTGCATATAGTTTGGAGCGGGAACAAGAAAGTAATGACACCCATCGTGGTATCATTCCTTACCAGTGTTGGTCAGTCATCAAACAAACATGGTTTCGGAGATTCCGTAGCCTTTCTGTCAAAATTCGTCTCACCCTGCGTTCTAGGCCTTTCAATCTATGTTTTGCAAGAAATGGCACAAGCTGCCCGCGGAGACACAATCTTCGAAAGCCGGTTGTATGACTCCATCCTATGCTTTTTCGTTCTTACCCTGTTCACGAATCTGGGCTCTACAAGTATGTGTTTTATACCAGAGATAGAACTATTAAAATTTCTACCCGCAGTCTTGATTGCTGGTCGCATTCATTGGCTACACAGCCAAGTAAGAGATGCTAGTCGAATCTTTGTCTCTTGCCCCCTTTTTGGAACCAGCGCAAGGGCCGGTTGCAGTGCCATATTTGTCGCGACCGTCATTTCAGAGTCTGCAGCCATCTACTCCGCAACGTTAGTTGTAATTTTGATCCTCTATACTCTCAAGATCCACACGGTTTATCTCCTCCTTGATGCGGTATGAACCTTTTTTCTCTCGGTTCAATCTTGCTTCATCTTCTAAATCCGACAGGTGACTCAACTCATTGTAAGTCTCTTCTGGAGTCATAACAAGATAAATTTCAACAAAGTGTTCACAGGGTATCGTCTTTACTTTCGTGGTCATTCGAGTAGCCATCGGAGTGTCTACAGAGGCAACTCCTCCCTTAAGGCCGGATGATGAGCCCGAGTCCCCGGTGTCGCTGTCAGGACTCGAGGACAAAGAGATTGTAATGAGTATGACATGATTTTAAATGGCATCCTTTGAGAAGAAAAAATTGAAATGGCCTTTGCTGCATTCTACCGTGACCTTCTGCTGATTAGGTATGCTCAGTTCCAGAATGATATGATAGAGTTAATCCTCTCCTTTCAACGAAAAGTACAGGTAGCCAACAGGTTCGAATTACATGTAATATTTGGGAACTTACTTTCGGATGAGTTTATGTGGCTATGAATGACGCGTGTGTAGCTTACTCTGTCATTGTGGTACCTTGCTAAGATTTTCCTGAATCCTGGATTGTATTAAGTAGGTCTTTGAATTATCTATAGGACACTGCAGGAAGATAAAAAACACTACTTCTGAAGTTTCAAGTCTTGTCATGAGCGAACAATCATCCTTCAAACACTCATACATCCTCCTGAGTCCCCATGCCTGTAGCCCTTGCTAACCCCTTCTGCCTGCTTCACCGCGATCTACTTCCTCGCTGAAATTTGATACTTTCACTTTTGTTTTCAACACCTCTTTCCAACCTGCTCATTCCAACATTTTCTTAGTGTAAGTCCCTCCGAATAGCAAGCACGTATAAAGTTCACCAGTTCCTTCTTCAACTTACGTTTTAAAAAAATTCAGACACTTCCCGGCCAATCCAATGTTTCACAAAAAACCTCTTCATCCTGGGCCTTCAAACACCCTCCTCGCCTCCGCTACCTGTTACGCCGTACCTCTCTTAAAGATTCTCTCAGCCTGTTTTCAGCATAAACCAAGACCTTGCGTCATTTCGCTGATGATATATATGTGCTCCAGCATTCTCAAGTTGCGCATACCTCTTCTGATTTGAACTGGGTCAGGACATGCAAACTTCTACTGTCGGAGTGATATCTTCGTTCCTTGACCCCAGCGGCAGCTTGTAACATTTACTCACTTCACGATCATCAATTCTTTGGTCAAGGAGTCCTGCAGAACTATGGGCCAGCAGTTTTTAGAGAGGAGATTTTGGCAGAGAAGAAAAAGATTGTTTATGAATGGGTTCAGGGAGGTTCGGGGTAACAAGTAGAGGTGGTGATGATAGTTACCAAAGGTGCCATGGGAGGTGGTTGAGAATAATGAGAGCTACCGGTCTGAAGGTGATCCATGGGGGAAGTTTAAAATGCAGAGTATTGCATGCATGTTGAGGCAGGGAAGACCATGTCCACTGTACCATAAGAGGGTTTTTTTCCACTTTCCCCCAAAAAAAACCAGGACATGGATAAGCATAATTGCCCCCCTGTATGAGGCATGTGTTCCATTATTGTACCGTACATGGTAAACCAGTTGTTCGGGAATTAGACTCGCCAGTATAATTCATATATATATCCTATCCTATCCTATCCTCATGCTAGACTCTATCACTCCTCTCCAATATCTGGATCCCGACGAGGACTAGTATGGTCAAAGCTACAAAATCTCTGCAGCCTCTGAGAGCTTTCATCGTAAAAAATATATGTACATACGCTCCACAGGTCTCGATGGATAAATTACTATCACGCCTCATGCCTCATGCCTCGGCAGGGCCTCTGCGGTTATGAAACTCGCATGATTCTCTCCCTTTCCCCTATGTCGACCTTTCAATCAAACTTTGACCCATAGTAGACTCCACGACACCATGTCTCTCATAGTATTGTGGTCTTTGCATACCACGATATAGCCTGATATAGCTGAGCAGTTTTTTAGTATCAGTATTAGAGCCATTTTGTCTGCCATATGAACCGAGTTGACCTCTCAGCGACGGGGAAGCTACTTCCTGAATGACTGGGAAGCACCAATATGTACTAAGTTGTTCTAAGATATCGGCATTCTGTTCCAAAATTCGGCCATATACTGTTTATTTCGAATGATCATTAGCATCAGTTGCGGTAACTTGTACAAAGATGAGTTATCAGAAATGAATAAACGTTCTGTTCAGAACATTGACCACTGTAGTGACCACCGCGGGATCTTTGTAACTGCCAGAAATTAGGTTCGTGGACACCTGAAGTCCTTTGAGGTGGGAAATCTGGCCCACCCGAAAATGTGGATGACTCGTCCCATGTTTCGAATCCGTGAGTTTCGCTTCGCACCTATGGTGCACGTCACCTAACTGCCACTACCTGTGCACAAGCGTGGGAGTAGCCTTAAGGAGTAGACGAATCCTGTGTTCCTCTTGTGAAAGGATACTAAATAGATAGAGGATGAAACGCTCTAGAGGGATTTTGGAACAAGTTGAATTTCAGAAAAATCATGGGGCCGTTTTTGCCGTTTCCTTTTATGGTAATCTTATGTAATATGATAATTCCCTAATATGGCAATATTTATCTACTGATCCATTGCTCGAGCCAGTGATTCAGGAATGCGACGGTGAGAAGTATAGCGACGTGAGCTGAGCTTCTTTACTTGGGTCACTGCATCTTTAGCCCCCAATCCATCACTGTAAGCATCAATAAATCTCCAAGCTCGATGCTCCCACTTTCGAATCAACTCGATCTTGATTGAAGCCAAGGCCTTTGGCATATTTTCACGCAAGGTCTGAAAGGTATGTTGTCGTGCACGGCCTGCACGAGCACGAGCTGCTGCGGCTTTCTTGGCGTTACGGTTAGCGGATGTCATTTGTAGCGTAAAGATTAATTCTACATTGATTTATTCAGTCGATGCCTGTCTACGCGTAATTCTAGTGTATCCCGCACTGATCCCGCACGTCGTGTCTGATGATGAGCTGGCGATTTTGCCGCTTATGTAAGATTCCCACGCTAGTACACAGGTAGTGGCAGTTAGGTGACGTGCACCATAGCAGGCACCTAGTATACTTACATGGTTTGGAATTTATTTATTTCCTTCAATTGCGGGATACCCTCCTGAAGATATAGTATACAAGTTCAATCCAGAGTACTATGATACACGATAACAGACGGCGGAGAATCAATCGTACCGAGGCGGGAAGTGTGGATAATAAATAGAATAAAATAGGGAGGCAAGCGAGAATGGAAACAAGAATTATATACACGAATAATCAACCAAACCGACATACCTGGTTCATTCAAACATGATAACAGTTTTGAAGAAACGAATGATTTTGCACATTGCGGTATTCAAGAAGGTGGTCGGCTTCGGAGTTAGAGCAGAAGAAATTTGGGTGAGAGTAAAGACAGATGGAGAGGGGATGAACGGCATATCGCTGTTGGAGTGTCAAGAAAGATGTAGATAGTGAGGAGATATTGTATAAATCAAGAATAAACCTTTATCATCCTGGTAATACATTTCCGCAATTTTTTAGCACAAGACGGTGGAAAAAAGAAAGGAAGTGGCAAATCGTCTCGCGCGGTCCGTCTCAAAAAAGAACGATGGATGGAAAGAAGGACACGGACCAATAAGGGAACTTGAAAGGAATGATCAGGAATTCAATTTGAATCCCGCTAGAATCATTACTGGCCCAAAGAGAGGGGTGAGGAAATGAACGTTGAGTAATCTATAATGGCATCGTCACTGGGGTGATGATATCGGTAGTGTGCTTGGTTTTTTTCGAAGAGGATATTGTCAATTCCACCGCTGCAGGTAACCTCTGACGGCGGGAGGCCATAATCATCAGGAGCAAAGTTCGCAAGTTCATTACCTGCTCCAAACACCATCGGCATCGGTATCTCTGGACTATACTGAGGATAGTCGCCTGATATCGCTGGAGAATAATATTCGTTCGAATAAGCACCAGACAAATCTTCATACGAAGCTGTCGAGTCAAACGACATCGTCGATTCAAGAGAATTTGAGGAGGGGGTGTGACGGAGAGTATGCATCGGTTGGTACAAGGAAAGTGCAGGAGCAGACATTGGGCTGACAGGATAGCACGGCGTAGATGGAATGCTCATGTTATTCATCGATATGGGGGACGATGTCCGTGTCGTCCAATCATCCATCATAAGCTGCATATTCGGATATGAAGTATCGATGGAGAGGGACGGACGACCTTGCATAGCACTTGATGGGACGTCATCGAATAAGTTCATAGTGTTCGACACTAAACCCTCAGACATAGAAGAGACGCCTGTAGAAATATGCGGTCCGGGCGAATGAGGCATTAAGTTGAAAGAGAATGTGGATACGCCCTAAAATCACACATTTGAGAATTTTCGAACGGTTCAAAAGAATGTTATGAGACCGGGAAAAGAGGAAAGCCATAAAACTGGGACATACAAATGAAGATTCCTCTTGCGATGAGAAATTGTAGTTGCAATCTGACTCAACCTGAGGAGAGGGAGGAGGGAAACCTGACGAAGCAAGTTGTGATAGGTACTGTTCGACCTGGTCTCGATCGACTAAAGGCGGAGGACCCGGCGATGCAGATCTAGACTGTGTGTATTGTGCATCCCCATCAACGCTCGGAGACTGCATTTGAGGGGACCTTGAAGTGGACCTGGAAGGACGAGAGGGTATAGGACCAATCGCGTCACTGTCTTCAGTCTTCACAGTTGACTCGGACGAACATTGGAATGTCCGTTCAGTTATGGGTGCCTCAAAGCGGGTGACCATTTCCGGTACATGATACTTATCGAATTCCTGAATGGCGGCATCCAGTTCGTGTCCTTTCTTTCCTTCCACCAACAGCTCAGCAATCTTTGCACATCGCTTCATATCCTTCGGACCGACTTCTCTGACCTTCCTCTTTTCAGTCCCTCCCTTTGCCTTGGTATGTAATGGACGAAAAGCGTATTGAGGGAACTTACGCCTATGGTCGTCAAGCGCCGCCTTCGCCTTCGAATGCCACACCTGCCGCTCGTCCTCTGGAAGGTTTTGCCATGTAAGACCGATGATTTTCGAAAGAGTGCTGTGGTTGGTCTCAACTTCCGTGGAGACGTGCTGACTTTTAATGAAGGAAGAACGGAAAAGTATAAAGGCATTAGGAGGACGGGGAATGTGATTTTCTGCTTTCTTCTTAGTGTGGGCCGGCCGACGAGGAGAAGAAGGATCATTCGCGAAGGGGAAAAGCTCAGACTCGGGAGCATCCCCGGCTATAACAGAGCCTGTATCGGGGTCATTGAAGGTGATGGGAGTGAGATTTGTGGCGAAAGAGATTCCACTCGTAGAAGCTGGTTCAACTGGCATAGTCCAAACCAACTGATTACCTATGAGAGCAGTTTCAGAATACCGCAAAAAAAAATTCAACAGTGAAATAAATTCATTTGATTAGATATCGAATGAATGCAAACAAGTTGATCTCTTACCATCAGCGCCGCTACGCCGTGAACCTCTAGAACGTTCAGCGGGCATAATATTACGGGCGCTAGCAGGCGCTTGAGTATGATCGGCGGGTGCAAGGAGGCAAAAATGGACGCTCGGGCGGGAATGGGGAGGGTTTCGCAGGAAGGAAGGCACGAGGAGGAAGTGCCGTTCACTTTTATACATACCGTGTTTGTGTAAGGTAAACTCCGCCACATTCGCTTAAGCATAACGTAACTTGTTATGAAGAATGCTTCCCTTTTAAAGTAGAACGAAATCTTTGATCTTATGACCATGTTTAGCAAGTCAGACCCAAGAAATTAGCTGTTCGGCTCGTTCTTCCGGACCGCTAAGTTTCTTCTTTTTCTGAATTTGCCCGTACGTAGGTAGTGATTTCGCGATTCAGAGGAGCTCGACCTGCCAGTGGCTGACCAGTAGTTTTAATTTCAAGCGACCTAATCAGGTTATCCTTGCAAAATGAACGGTAAAGTCACTGGTGTCTCGCCGTTGTAAGTAACTTGTTTCCAGATAAGGACTATGTGCAAAATGCGCTAACCGTTTTACAGACTTCTATACAAGGTAGCTCATCATCAAGATGATAGATTATTGCTGCTTTCCATCAAGTAGGGACAGCCCTGGACTCGGAGCGCACTAAAGCTAATGGCTACCGGTGTTCGACCCCAGTCTACCCCAGTCGATTCCCTCAACTTCTGGAAACTGGTGAATGCCCAGCAGCAGTTTCACCTGTCCAGTGATAATGGCAAGCGGTGTCATTAAACAGCTCAGTCCAAGAATGCTCATGAATAAATCCTGATCTTAAATACAAGGCGCTTGAACTTTGAAGAAACACGATGCGTTCTGGTACACGAGGACATGGTGTGAATCACATCGACACATCATATGGCCATCGTATCATATACTCAATTTCTACTTGGAAGTATTTTTGCCTACCTTACTTATGCCGTGTTTTGTTGGAGGAGAGTCCACAGTTCATTACATCCAGAAGACTTTGCCGTAGGACTACGTACCCGCAACGAGAAGCATATACATGAATGATTATCGATATCATCGAATCATTCATACATCGAACCCCATTCGAGAGCCTCGAGGAAGACCACCCTGAATTTCCGATCTCGCTACCTATCTCTCAGGACCCCTCCTACACTGTTAGACAAATGATCGCTAAGACCACTTCAATGATGTCAGTACCAGGCTGTACCAGGCTGCACCACGCCGTCGTCTGACCTGGATAAGTAGCATCTTCTGATTCCCCCCTTACCACAGTTACTCTCGATGGAGTGAAATATCTCAGGCTATCTAGAGATTCACCAGGTTCCTCATATCAGCAATGATTCGAGGCGTCGAAGACTCAGAGCTGAAAAAAAGCATCATGCTTCAAGAGACCGCTCATAGTGACATCGCTTCACCGCGGTGGATAGATTGGCCGACGACCTTCAAATTAGGCGTTCAGCCACTGCGTGCTTATAGGCTTTTATTAGAGGCTCCGAATTTCTTAGTGCTTTCCTCAAATGGCTTGACTTGTTCATTCCATCGCTCGACCCTCTGACTCAACATATAAGTAGGTTAGTGGCATTTTAGTGGCGAAGTTTTATTGAGCGAAGATGCTAATCCCTATATTCCAATATCCACAAGTTCGGGATCCCCTTGTACTTGATGAATTTTACGCTTGCATCGCAAAAGACTGACAAAAAAGCTGAAACATTCTAAGGTATTATTACTATTGTTCGCCATGTGATATATACGACGTACTAGCACATTGATACCGGCACCCTGCATTTTTGCGACTGCTATAATGCTAACGCAGGTTGGGAGACAAAGTTGGATACCAATTATCTCGCCATAGTGCTGCGTACATAGCTTTAAACCTTAGGTATTTCTCGTGCGGTCTCACCAGTGACTCGCAACTTGACAATTTCGTTTTCTGATCTACTCCGCGCACAAGTCGTTGTTATCTTAGGGAGATTGTAATCCACGTATGACTCCCTTTGAAGACAGCTATATGTAAGGGCCAACACTGAACTTACAGGGGAACGTGTGTGGCGAAGATATCCCGGGAATGATACAACCCGGTGGAACCCAATCCCACTATATCCTTTCAAGTTGTGCATATACTTTTTTCTATGTCGGAATCCAGATGTGATACCAGGGCGAACAGGTATTGTTGTCTTCTAGCAATCATGATACGCCTTATGAAGGAAGGTCCAAACATGGGCCATATATATCAGTGGGTGCAAACCTACATCAGAAAACATCAATGATTTGCCTTTTACTCACCGCGCTACACGCTATACGATATTGAAAAATGCTTCGAGCTCTCAATTCGTGGTCACCAGGTACCACGCTCCGCAAAAGTCATTGATTGTTGAAACCTGATACAATGTTGAATGAGTTTAAATATCCTTGTACCATATGGAGTCAGGAATGTGGAATAAATATATAGTGAAGTGTGAAATAAAACCTTGTTACTGAGAGGGTGGAAGGATCCCCTCCAAAATCAGAAGGCGATAGTACCTACAAGAAGGCGGTAACCTGAAAGAAAGTTTGAAAGTTCATGTCAATGTCAGTCAAGGGAGCTCGAACTCTCTGAATAAAAACCCTCAGTCTTTATCCAGCCCTATCCAGCCTGAGGTTGTACGATCCGAGGCAGATAGCACTAAGAAATAAGGGGTCTTATCTGCAATGAAGCGTCGAATTTCCCGAACATGAGGACGCAGGCGACGGGGGAAGCTATTTTTCTCTTGTATACTTACTCATGAGGCCTTGATGGGTCGTATCTAATTTGAGACATCCAAATGTGTGTACCAAAGTCAGTCAATGAAGGGGGACACAAAAACCAGGAATTATTCACAATGCATCCACAGATCGTTTCGATTAGGCTTGTATGTATTCCTTTTGGGTCCAACTTCAAAGCTTGGAGCATACGAATAAGATCTGGTTACTTCGCGATGTAACGCCGCCAAAAGGTAACGCATGCATCATAATCTTGAAGACACGTTTGTATTAATAAACTTTCTTTCCTTTCCAGCATTAAGTTTATGGCCAGAAATCCATTAGGATCCGGGATTGGTTAAAGCGAGGGCGGCAAAACACCTTAGCACGCATTTCCATTTTCACGGATCGCGCACGACGAGCTTGAGGGCCATGATCAGATTATCTTTGTAATAGTACCTCTATTCTTGCGTGAGCTATGAAAACAAGCAGAGACTGAGTCTGGGCGGAAATGAAATAATTGGAGACACGTACACGTTCCGATCAACATTACAACCTATGCGTGATGGTTTCTTTTCTTCTCCGTGGCGTTTTACCAATGCAGTTCGGGCCGAAGGGGAAATAAGTTACATCGAGAATCAAGAGGGCAGAGTTTACGAAAAACTATGCATTGAATCTGAAGGAGGGCTAGAGGAAGTTTGCAGTCCGACTGAATGGACATACAGGAGTCAACGACGCAAGATAGGAGAAGAGAGGAAACCAGAGGCTGCCTCGGCATAGTCTACTTCATCCATCTGCATTCTGCAATGCTCTTTAAGGGTATGCCCGGGTCAATGGCTTTTGTACAGCAGTACTTCTGAGCTATGGAACCTTGTTACGTTGTTAGCTATACTTATAGAATAAAGGCTGCTATTACCGAGCTTCGCTAACACGTCCTGAAGACATCACAAATATCAGCGGAAATTTTTTTCAGCGCATATGAAACACAACGTACTAAGGATTGGTAGCCAGAAACGAAGTCCATCTGCAAAACCTGGATGTTCATGAGAGCAAGGGTACTAGCTGGAGAGCGCTGTCCAGCGCTGAAAGCACTCCCAGCAGTTTTTCAGTACTGCTGGGAGTGCTTTCCCAGCTGGACAGTGCTGTCAGCTGCTTTCGAGCTCTTAGCCGAAAATACAGGTTTTACAGATGTCGACATGAATCAGTTTCGTACAAATCGTCGCAAGGGGATGAGTGAGAGTCGTTTCGCGTGCGATTTGGGCTCCCTCTGCATTCAATGAATGACAGATTGAACGGTTTCCAACAAACCCTTCAGGACCTCAGTCAGAGCCATCTTCTTGCCTTCCCGCAAAGGTTCATGCCGCTAAGATAATTGATCAGATGTATTCCTCCCCGACAAATCTCACAACAATGCTCAGAGGGGGAAGCGCGTTCGATGGATTTTCTTCGGAGCTATGTAGGTAGAACAGTTGCTGCAGATTATGATGCTGAGTAAAAACTGCGCAGCTTGAAAGACTACTTGACTGGTCTAATTTGTTGAAGGAGGCTCTCACTTGCTTCATGGTTTGGGAGAAGAAGAAAGGTCTAAGAGCTATTAAAATACATGGATAGCTGGAAGTATGGAAACTCACCAGGATCCTCGATGAATGCTAGATGGAGCCCCCATGGTCCTAGGATCTTTATGAACGAGATCCACAGCGACAGCGTCGTGAGTGAAGCTAACCCTCGAGCCAGCCATCAGGAAAAAAAAAAATTACTCCATAATGCTTTATAGCCTGCGTAACACTTGTAGACTTGTAGACAAGTCACCCTTTACATAGCACCATGTAGCACCATGTAGTAAGCTACTATGAGCTCGGTATTCATGGCTCTTGATACATGTAACACTCTGTAGTGGTATAAAGATAATGTAGTCGCAATCATGACTCCAGGAGAACACATGCTATACCTGCAATGTAGTACCGGAGAGCATCCTATATCCCTAGCTGTTTCACCGGCTCCTATTAATTTAAGCACTCACTATGATGGGTGAATGTATGATATTAGTGGTATATTAGAATGCTATATGCAATATAATCTAAGAGTATAAAGCGGTTTTTAGATTAAGAGAATGCACCGCCAAATTAGCGGAGGTCTCCGCTAGTCTCTGATACATCCAGAGCGTTCCCCTAGGTTATGCTTCAATACCGCCACCACAGTCATCTTCATCGTTGTCGTCATCTATCTCACTATCCTCAGGCTCAGACTCAGTGTCTCCAGTGCGGGCCTCCATTTCTTGACGGAGCTGTGCCTCAATACTGCCAAAGATGTGGACAGTAGAGTCATCCGATGACTCCTCACGCATCCTGATCCTTGAATAGCGATTAATAGTGATTATATTTCAATAGCAATAAAACCTTACCGAGCCTTTGCATACATTTGGTGACGGATGTTGAGACTCACTGCTGGGTTCATGCCATCCCACTTTGCAAGATCAATAAGGTAGGCTTTGTAATATTTGTCGTACTCCTCCTCACTAAATTTCTTGATCTTGTTGCATGTTCCACTGGACCATTCCGAAATAGCAGCCCGAATCTAGGATATTCATAGCATATGTAACGTTGAAGTAGATATGAAAACTCACCATGGTGAACAATGATGCCAGTGTTTGCAACAATATCGGATTGAAGTACTTTTCAAACACCATACCCATGTTGCTTTCATTGAAGATATAGCTTAACAAAAAGATGATTGGCGGATGTTCAGCTTAGCCAGTCCATGCCTCGCAATCCTGAATCAAAACATAGTTAATATCAATGTCATATAAACAGTGTACGGGCAACCTTGTATGAGAAACCAGAGAAGTTACGGCTCGAAAGTAATCGACTCAAAGCAATATTCTGCTTGACCGCACGTTTCCCAACAGTCACATCAAATTTGTAGCATAATATGATATTCGCTCGGATCCATTTGTAGACTTGACCACGTATCCTACTACTGCGAGCGGCAATCTATAGCCAACAACAGTTAGTCTGACAATAATGTTGATATCTTGCCTTACCAATTTGAGGACACATTTATCAGATATGAACTGAGCCTTTGCAGTGGCACATGCATTTCGGAAACACTTTTCCGCCCATTGGAGACGAGTAGTCCGGTTGGGAAAGAAGTCCTGCCCAACAATGCGGGCTTCGAAATCTCGCATTGCACGAAGAAGGATAGCTTCACCTTCGGCAGTGTAATCGGCAGTTTTTGCTCGTGCACCTGGCTGCCAGTTGGCACGGAGTGGGAGAGCCGCAGACAGTTCAGGCACAACACCCATTTGCGAACCTCCATAAAGAAGTGTCAGACCGGGTGTAGCATATGCAGCTCAACGAACAACTGACCTGCTTGAGAACCGGTAACACAAGAACCTGTATTTGTGTCTATGGTCGTTGTAATTGAGGTTGTAAGACGAGAACTTGCAGATGTGGTAGGTGCACTTGAGCCAGACACCAGCATTGAGCTATTTTCAGATGTTGGAGACAATGTCACATCACCGGGGATGATAATGTTCTGAAAGGTATTCTGCAAGGCAGGTTTTTTTCCGCTGACTTTCCTGGTGGACAGCAACCTATTGAGGTTGATTTGAGGAGCCTTCGGAGTTGACATGCTTGGAAGAGGTGTTGCCTATGCAGATGTAGACAAGTTAATTCTCTAGATCATAAAAATACCAACATACCACAGTGGAATACATCATTTGTGTATCTTCTTCACTTTCAGGCCCTTCAAATTCTTCTGCAGAAATGGGATTTTCTCGCGCCTTGCGAGATTTGCCTTCTATAATACAATCTATGAAAGAAATGGAGTTTCGAACACAACAAAAACTCACTGGCAATTGCAAGCTGCTTTCGAAGCTGTGTTGTCTTCTCCTTAAGCCGTTGTATTTCAGTAGTACTAACAGTATCCTCTGATAGCTTATTGAGAAAACAATATAAAGAAAATCTTCGAAACGTACGCTGCATTTTTGTTTTTTTTGTCTGTCTTGTTATGCGCGGAACAGGATTTTGATTAACTGAAGCAAGAGCAAGCCGGACAGTTTGTTTCTGAGCTGTCCTAGCTGGAGGTCTGGGCCAATCTTCCATGTCTAAGTCATTGTCAGCGTCAATGTCTAATTCTCTGGGATTAACATCTTCGTCCTCGTCTTCTTCTCCTTGGGAGTTACGGCGGTCGTAATAAACATCTTCGGACTGGGTGTTGACTTCATCATCCTCATTGTTGGACAACTCAGACAATTTCCGGCGCCCCATGAAAATGACAAGTAGAAAGAAGAAAGACACGTAGTGAGACAGGGTGAAATTGACATAAATCAAACAAACATACCGTAAATTCCCACCACTCCACACTCGACTATGGCACACAAATACTGCTGTCCCCACTGTAATGCGACATTCCCTACATTACAAGGCCAGCGGTCACATATATCCCAGGCTAGGAATTGCAGAGATAAGGAAGAAGCTGCTATACTTGCCACCATTCAATCTTTACCCATGGATACACTGCCTACTGTATCAGAGAATGATGCTCCTGGACACGAGAGTGATGGGCTTGTCAAAAATACAAATCTCTATGCAGACCTCGAAGAAGGACATCAGTCAGAAGATACTCGAAGAAAAACCAAACATGCCTACATAGAGGAAGTCGAAGATGATCCCAGGACTGACAGGGTATCAACTTCTGACCCGCAATTACGCTACATTCAGGACTACCCTCGGCAGGCTGGGACTCCACTGCATACGTGTGAATTACCATTTGAAACATTGCAGAAAGCACAGCTAAAGGAGGGTTTGGAGCCATGGTCACCATTTCAGAACAAAGAAGAGTGGGAGCTCACACGTTGGTTGATGGAATCTGGTGCAAGTCAAGGGAAGATTGACCAGTTCTTGAAACTAACAAAGGTACAGAGCTCTAACAGTGAAGTGCAAGGTCTTATTGATATTATTAGGTTCGAGAGGACATGAAACCACCATTTAAGAACACACGTACCTTTCTCCAATTCATTGACTCCTTACCCAGAGGGCCTGGCTTTACATGCACACCCATGAAGATCACAGGAAACATCAAGGACATGAACGGAGATTTTCGGACGGAAATTCTTGAACTGTGGCACCGCAATCCTCTTGAATGTGTCGCAGAGATTCTCGCTAACCCTCTTTTCAAAAACCATCAAGTCTTCGAGCCAGAACGTGTCTTTCGGCAGCAGAAGGATGGTGTTCCTTCAAATCGCGAATATAACGAAATGTGGACCGGAAACTGGTGGTGGGATACGCAGGTAAGTTCCAGTCATATGAACGTTGATCAGACTTACATGAGGTGATTAGGATATGCTCCCCGATGGTGCTACAATTGCACCAATCATTATTGCATCTGATGAGACCAGACTCTCCACATTCTGCGGCGATAAGAAAGCATGGCCAGTATACCTGACCATAGGTAATGTCGCTAAGGCGGATGTCAAGTCCATGCCTCGGGCCTCCATTCCGCCGCTCGGTACTCCGAAGATCCACTCTTATTGTTCTTTCTCGCTACACATACCCTTTCGTTCTAGTTCCTCCTTATTGTCTTTTACTTTACCCTGCAGGTACTACTCGTATAGCTCCTAGTAGTTAGTCCAGCACTCCGCACCGATGCGCCAATCCGTAGATATAAATACTGCCTGTACGCTACTGTAGTTCCTCAGTTTAATTATCAACTTAGCTCCTCTCTAAGTCTTCAGGCTCAATGCCTTGAAGTACGTTCTACTCGACCTTAGGACTTGATTGTCCTCTGGTTCGCTCCTTGTCATCGGCAATACCGCCGCTCCGACTTGGCTGCTACTTAGCTCCTCTCTCTATACTCTCGATCTCCGGGGACTAACGGCGTAACGGCAGTGTTGTTAATAACTTCACTACTGTCCCACTTGTCTTCCGCACTTAGACACCTTGTGGCCTTGGCACGGTTACACAGTGTACATGATCTTAACAGCGGAGAGACGAAAACCATCATCCAGCACGTGGGTTCTACTCGGCTATATACCTGTATCGAAGCTTGAATGCTATTCAGAAGACAAGCGTTCTGATGTCGGATGTCAGCTTTTTCACGACTGCATGCAGACAATCCTCGAACCCTTGATTGCTAAAGGTTTAGCACCTACAGAGATGGCATGCGCAGATGGGTATCTTCGCAATATGCATGCTCTTTTAGCTGCATATGTAGGAGACTATCCCGAGCAATGCAGGGTTGCTTGTTGCAGGGAAAATAGCTGTCCAAGATGTACGGTTGCACCTACGGAGAGAGGAGAGCCAGGCCCACTGAACTCAATGTACCGAGATCCAGTCATGGTAGTGGAAGCTATCTCCCGACATTCAAAAGGCTGGAAACCACCGGAATTTGAGGATCAGAACCTGCGACCAATGAATCCATTCTGGAAAGACCTACCTCTCTGTAATATCTTCGAGTGCATCACACCTGACCTTCTCCATCAACTTCATAAGGGAGTATTCTCCGACCATGTGGCCTCCTGGGCACGGAAGTCTATCGAAAATGGTCAGGAGGAAATTGATGTGCGTTATCAAGCTATGCCGACTCACCCGACCCTTCGTCACTTCAAGCAAGGTATCTCAAAAGTCACCCAATGGACTGGTGGGGAGTATCGCTCAATGGCAAAAGTATTCCTCGGAACTCTCGCAGGTGCTGCTGAACCTGGGGTGATACGGGCAGTCCAAGCCTTGGAAGATTTCATGGATTATGCTCACTTTGAAACTCATTGCGACGAGAGTCTTGCAGCAATGCATTTAGCATGGCAAACCTTCCACGCTGAGAAGTCAGTCTTCATTGACCTAAAAATACGGAAATTCTTCAATATCAACAAAGTCCACAACATAAAACACTACGTTGAATCAATCTGCTCACGGGGAACCAATGATAACTTCAATACCGAAATTTCAGAACGGCTGCACATTGATCTTGCAAAAGCTGGATATTGAGCATCCAACCGACGGAATTTCATGGTTCAGATGACAATTTGGTTGGCGTGTCAGGAGGCTGTCCACCGGTTCACAGCATATTTGAAATGGGCGGTGTGTAATTACAATCCACAAGGCCTGGAGGACAATGACGAAGAAGAGGATGACGACGATGAGCTGGATGAACCTGTGGGCAGACTGACCAAAGACTCACTGTTAGGCGCTGACAGAGAGTACCATGTGGCAAAGACACCGCCAATGCAGGTCATGATTGACTCGGTCGAGAAAGATTTCCACGCTGACTGGTTTCTTTGGTACCTCAACGACTACCTGTACCGTAACTCCCTCATTGACGACCCCAATAACTCTGATCTCACTCCTGATACACTCATTCCCATCTACAAACAAGCTCGCATCCATCTACCTCCTCTTCCCGAAGCCATTTCCGAAAAGTCTGTCGACATCATACAAGCCACAAAAGCCCTGCCATCTGAAATAACAGCGCGTGGTTTCAAAGCTGCTCAGCCAGCGAAGACGAGTACAGTTCTTGTCCGCACTGATAAAAGTGACCCCAGGAAAGGGCCTTTGCATGGTGCGTATGCTGAAACACATGATTTCTCTTTTTTGCTCATTGTTTCTCCAGGATTGCAAGCTGCTCGTGTACTGCTAATATTTCAACTTCCATCATTGATTCATACACGGTCGGAGCCACTCGCTTTTCTTCACCTGTTCAAGCCATTCAACAGACTTCCAGTTCCCAATTTCAATATGTTCCAAACTTCCTATGCTCACTGACAACATGCAAAACATGGCACCATTCTTCCTCTATCCCAGATTGTTCAAACCTGTCACCTTACACCTCATTTTGGTCGAAAGATGAATCGCGCCTGGGATAGTGCCAATGTCCTTGACTCAGCCGAAAAGTTCTACCTCAATCCTTACCTTCGACATCGTGACTTTTACCTACTCTGACATCAGTTTTTTCTCTATGAGAAGGCGAAGGACAACCAAGAGCATGAGATGCGGAGAAAGCGATTACGAATGATATAAGAGAATGCATGGAACTGGTGTGTATTCCCATATGCGTCAGTCAACCAGAGCCCTAATATGTTTCCAGTAGCACCATCCACTTTCCTTCACCTTCCAGTACACATAACATATCTCATATGTTGTTGGAATACATGCTTTCTATGTACCGTATTTAGTACACAATTTTGAAGTATATTGAACCCATTCTCATGAATTCAACCCATGACGTTGGCGTGTCACTCTTTCCACCAAACTATCACAATGTCTTCACGGCATTCTCTTGGCCACAGTCAAAGTGTCTCACCGTCGTATCGCAAACACACAGGATATAAGCCAGCTTCATCCTCACCATATCAGCCTAGTTCCAGCTCTCACACTACTAGAAATGGAAGATGCCAATGGTATAAACTACATTCTGCCAGGGCGAGGAAGAGGCTGACAGTGGTTCTCCCACTCCTCGAAGCTCTGGTATAAGAGGACAGCGCAAGCGCAAAGAGTGTGTGGTTCTGTTCTTTGTATAAGTGTACTACTATCTGACTGAAGATTTTCTAGACTAAGCTGGGCTGAGGATTCACAGATACAAACTTATACATACGTTGAGCACATGCGAGAGTTCAACACAAGGTGGAACACCGCAACAAAAAGTAGCGAAATCATTGTTTCGGACAATGACTCGGATTCTGTCACTTCGGGCATCGAGTCAACTACGCACAAGTTCGATCACCTAGCAAATGGGGATTCGCAGGACCCAAGGACGTATCGTTATGACCCCGAAAGATATGGATCTGAGAGTTATGATCTCTTAGACAAAGGTATGTTCTCAGTTCTCCTGCCTGTAGTCAAAACACCGATTCTTATGTACTAGGCTTTCGTGAGAATCTAACTGCTTCACCGAAGAAGGAGAATTCTTTGTTATTGTACCCTGCCTCTCCTGTCCCAAAAAACGAACAATCAGCATATACGGCCAACTCCCCTGTCCTGAAAATTGAAAATCCCGTTGTCAATTCTGCACAGGAGAAGCAGGCATACTGTCAGCGACTGGTTCTAGTAACGGGTGTCGGGTGTCACCAGGTGTCACACTCAAGAAAACCTCAAACAGTAAGGCGATAAAGGAAGTAAGCAAAGTTCTGGGCTAAACCAGGTAGAATAGACGAGATCAAAGCTAAGGAAATACAGCAAGTAGCTACAGCCTATATACTAGTGAACAACCCTCTGCCCTAGTAATGCCCAACGCCCTGGGTTAGTGGTAAACATGAGTAGAACATAAGTAAAGCAATGTGTAAGTAATGAAAGCTCAATCGCCATGCTGTATACGTGTTGTGAGACTGCTGTGTTTAATATAAGTAAATGAAAAGTGCATGTTGTATCAGTAAGCATAAATAATAGATCAGGTGACAAGATAAGACAAGATATAGGATAAGGGAGATAGAAGATAAGACAAAAGATAAAAGATAAGACAAGGGATAAGGAGAAAGATAAGATGAAAAAGAAGTGATCGTAACATTACCCCCCCTTTAAGGCGCGAATTCCATGACGCGCAAGTCGGTTGACAAGTGCTTCAGACGGCATGGTAGTTGGGACTGGTTCTATGTCTGGTGTAGGTATTTGTCGGAACAATTCAATGGGAAATTGAGCAATCGGAATCTCGATCCGTTTAAGGGTTCGAGGCCTGGGCTTGTTAGGATACTTCTTGTGGAAGTCCTGAACAGCTTCTTTGGCATTCGTCATATTAGCTGCAGGTTCCCACGTCATTTCATGTGGTCCGTAACCTCTCCATTTTACCTTGTACTGGATGCCATTCCGATACTTGCGTGCATCCACAACCTCTTCTACTTCGTACTCTTCTTCTTCTCCAACTACTTCTGGAGGTGGCTCGGTATTTCGGGGTTGTGTCGGGAATTGGGGTTCATGGTACGGGGATAGGTGTGTTTCGTTGAAGACATTATGGACTCTTTTCCACGTGCGAGGGATGTCGAGTTTGTATGAGCTGGATCCGATCTTTTCAAGAACTTTAAACGGTCCAAATCGTTTATCCCCAAGTTTCTTCATTGGGCGATCTGTCGTTATGTTGGTTCCTTCAAGCCAGACTTTATCACCAGCCTTATACTCTATCGCTTCATTCCGGTGTTTGTCATATTGGCGTTTCATGTCCTCAGCGGCTTTTTTCAGCGCCGATCCTACTTCTTCCCTGATCCGTTTCATACTATCGGCAAACTCCTGTGCTGTTGGGTTTTGTGACGTCATCTTCAGTGTGGTTCCTTTGTATGGGTGTCTGCCATTGTCTGCGTAGAAGGGCGAAACCTTCGTAGCTGAGTGTACTCGATCGTTATATGCAAACTCCATCATAGGAAGCCATTCGTGCCAATCACTCTGATGATGATTCACAAAAAGATGGATGTAATGTTCAATTTCTTGATTTATCTGTTCCGTCTGGCCATTAGTCTGAGGATGGTATGCAGTTGTATAGTTGCTTTCGATTCCTAGCAACTTGTACAGTTCCTTCATGAAGCGGGCATGGTACTGAGGGCCGCGATCGTGGACAATCTTCCGGGGCATTCCATGGATCGGAAATACTTTGTCACGATAGACACGTGCCATTCCTTCAGATGTTATTGTAGTATGTGTGGCAAAGAGCCGTAACCTCTTCGTGAAGTGATCAACAAACACGCTGATGGCATTATACCCTCCAGACTCCGGTAATTCGCCAATCATATCTGTTCCTATGATTTCCCAAGGCTCAGATGGTATGTCATGTGGATGTAATGGTCCTACGGGTTTTGTACGATGTGTCTTTGTGGCCTGACATTATTCACAGCCTTCCACGTAGATTCTGACGTCTCGACTGATTCCTGGCCACCAGTAGTTGCGTGTAATTAACTCGATAGTTTTATAGCGGCCAGGGTGTCCTGCTGTCTGGGCATCATGATGTGCCTGTATGATTCGTCCTCTGAGCTCTTTGTCCTTGGGGACATAGATACGTCCTTGCCAAACTGCTAGTCCATCCTCAGTTTCAAGCCATTCCTTGTCTTTAGACTCGAGGGCAACCTGTACTAACTTGTCTCGCTGGTTTTTCTTCCTTCGGATGAGATTAAGCAGATCGTCTTCAGGGGCAGATGTCTGATCCGTTACTTGAGAAATGAAAAATTCTGGTTTTAGCAGTGTGACGTCGGTATTGTCATTCTCCCCTTTCTCAAGGCCTGACATCCTTGACAGAGCATCAGCTTTTCCCATCGATTTCCCAGGCTTATGGAAGAGCTCAATATGGTATTCAGCAATTTCAACTACCCATCTGGCTTGTCGTCGATTCAACTTCTGAGGTTTCCGGAAATACTGGAGATTCTGGTGATCGGTAAAGACTTCAACAGGTTCTTTTGCGCCCAGCAAATACTGTCTCCAGTCTGATAGAGAATCCATGATGGCCATCATCTGTTAAGATCATGTACACCGTGTAACCGTGCCAAAGCCACAAGGTGTCTAAGTGCGGAAGACGAATGGGACAGTAGTGAAGTTATTAACAACACCGCCGTTACGCCGTTAGTCCCCGGAGAGCGAGAGTAGAGAGAGAGGAGCTAAGTAGCAGCCAGGTCGGAGCGGCGGTGTCGCCGATGACGAGGAGCGGACCAGAGAACGTTACAGTCCTAAGGTCGAGGAGAACGTACTTCGAGGCGTTGAGCCTGAAGACTTAGAGGAGAGTTAAGTTGAGAAGGGAGATCTAAGTTGATAATTAAACTGAGGAACTACAGTAGCGTACAGGCAGTATTTATATCTACGGAACGGCGCAGCGGTGCGGAGCGCCAGACTAACTACTAGGAGCTATACGAGTAATACCTGCAGGGTAGAGTAAAAGACAATAAGGAGAGACTAGAACGAAAGGGTATGTGTAGCGAGAAAGAACAATAAGAGTGAGATTACAATAAGGAGCAGATCTTCGGAATACCGAGCGGCGGAATGGAGGCCCGCGGCATGGACTTGACATCATCTCCTTGTCGTAAATTTCATAATTCCGTTCAACCTCATTAAGTGACCTGGACCTGAAGGCTACTGGTCTCCACTTTCCGTCGACGTTTTGCGATAAGACAGCACCATTTGCGTAATCGGAAGAATCAGCTTCAATCCGGAACTTTCCAGTCTCTCTTGGGATAATGAGAGTGACATCTTTGATGATCCGGTCTTTCAGTTGATTGAACGCATCTTGTTCAAGAGATGTCCATTCCCAAGTCACATTCCCTGTGAGCCGTGTTAGGGGTTTGGCAATTTTACTGAAATCTTGGATGAACCGGCGGAAGAAGTTGCAAAACCCTAGGAACGATTGTAGTTCGCGCTTTTTCTGTGGTGGCTGCCAGGTTCGAACTGCTTCAACCTTTTTTGGGTCCATCCAGATTTGTCCATTTCCTACAATGATTCCAAGATATTCAACTTCCCTAGCCTCAAAGGTGCACTTTTCAGGTTTCAAGTACAGTTTGTTGGCTTTTAGGATGTCAAGAACCTTTCTGACGATGATCCGATGTTCCTCAATGTTGTCCGTGAAGATAAGGATATCATCCATATAGACAATGACGTGTCCTTAATCAATGAGCTCTCGAAGGATGTAATTCATGAATGCTTGGAACGTGGCGGGTGAGTTTGTAAGTCCGAAAAACATAACTGTGGGCTCGAACAAGCCTCTGTTTGTTCGGAATGCTGCCTTCCATTCATCTCCTTCTTTGATCCGGATGTTATTAAATCCCCATCGGACATCCATTTTGGTAAAGATGTTGGAATTCTTCAGTTTATCAATGAGTTCCTGGATTAACGGGAGTGGATATCGATTCTTGACAGTCATGTCATTTAGCTTTCGATAATCCTGTACAGGCCGTAGTGTTCCATCTTTCTTTTTGACAAAGAAGAAAGGTGAAGCCATGGGTGAGCGTGATGGTCGTATTTGTCCCGATCTAAGGTTTTCC